TTCCTCAGGAATGGATCAATGGGCTTATTGAGCAGCAGGACTTCTGGGTACACGACTTAATTAAGCGATGTGGCTGGTCTACAGCTAATTAATTAATAAAATTCATGATTCTGATGCCCTGAACGCACGGACTTTTGTCCCCATGTTCGTTAGGATCTAGCTCACAAGCTACAGGCTCTGGCTCAGGAAACTCGGGATCAGAGACCACAGTGAGTGATAAAGGCAACAGTGGAGGCTCCCAGACTACAGGCGGCAGCGGAGGAGGGTCGAATAGCGCATCTGCTGGGAATGGAAATGGGGGTGGATCTGAAAGCACGGCTGCTGGTGCGGGATCAAAAAGTTCCCAAACCACAGGTGTGGGGGTGGGGTCCGGAGGGAACGGAATTACCATCACATCTCAACCATCGTCAACAATAGCCCCCATCTTCACAGCTAAAGGAGTGACATTCACGGGAGACTCAGCCACTGGCTTCCTCATTGGAAGCTTAACTCTTACACCAGGTGGCACCGTTGTTGTCTCTGGCTCGGGGACAGCCTCACTCATAACATACGTCCTTCCCACGTCTGGCTCTGCAGTAATTGTCAACGGAGTTACAGAAGCCTTGTCGAGCAAGACCGTAGCAGCAGCTACTACGACCCCATTCATTGTAATTGGTTCCTCGACCTACATCGCCAATTCAGCTTATGAGTATGTGATTGAAAGCCAGACATTGACGGCTGGGGGTGTTGTGACAGCAAGTGGAGAAACGTTAAGTCTGGCTTCGGGAGGGCAGACAGTGGTGGTTGTCAGTGGTACAAGCACCAAGACGGAAAGTCTGGGTGGCATCATCGCAAGTGTGGGAGGATTCAAGACTGGGACTGCGACACCAAGCTATATCACCGCTTCTAAAGGAGGTCTATCGAAAATTCTGGATTTCTGGGTGTTGACCGCTGCAATAGGCACGGGCTTGGCGGCTGCCTGGCCACTGTAATGATTATGTTTACGATTAACACGCACATAGGCGAAGATGCTTTTGTATATAGAGATTGGAGATAGATAATGTTTGATGCACCAATGAATACGATCTAAGATTAGCCCTCCGCTGAGTGGTATGCCTTGTGCATTTTGGCGATAGTCGCTTTAGAGCTCAGGAATAATGCATTGGCATGATTTCAAGGCAGACTTGAGCTTCAAATACTGGTAATCTCGATCATAAGCGAACGACTTCTTGAAGCAAAGGGAAGTACGATCTGAAGCTTTCTTGGGACTCGGAAAGCGCGAACTTCATTGCATTCTGTCAAGCATAGTGTTTCGATAAGGCCATTCCAGTCAATGACCGATGAAATTCACTGAGAAAAACAAGTGTGCCGAAAAGGGGAAGACTTATTGCCGGCTAATCACCTATCTCTCTCTCTGTTCTCCCTTGGTCCTCACTCATTTACTCCGTCCTTTGCCCTTTCGTTTCGCTTTCATAAATTCAAGATGTATAAACTCAAGCGAGCTGTGGACTTCTCCCGTTTTAGCCATATCCCTAATCTTAGTACGAGACGATGTGTTCTTCAGGATCTGCCTTTCCCAAGCCTCGTCCAGTGGAGTTTCTTCCTCCAAATAATCCTCCCGGAACTGTAGATCCCAAGGGAAGACCCCGTTCTTCCCCTTCCACTTCTTGTCACGTGATGGCTGTGCATCAGCGTCGAAGTCAGAGCAAGTTTTGCGCAGCTCTGCCAAACTATCCTTCTGCGTCTTGGTGCCTTCTCGGTGTGGTTGTAAGCAGTTCACGAGATCGGCTGCAAGCTTGCGGAGCTTCGAGTCCTTCTTCGTAACTCTGTATACGGATTTGAGACTGGCAGCGGTCATCCAGTTCCTTTTTTCGTCTCTGTAGTCTGATATGATAGAAGTCTTCATACAGAAATTTTGGAAGGATGGCGCTTGAAGAAATTGACCCATTGTCCATATATGTTCTGCGGACGTATTCGGGTCGATTTTTGGAGCCTGCAGAAAGTCGCCAGAATACATCCATGAAATGAAGTCCGCAAAAAGTGCGGGCTTTATTTCTGGCAACTCCAACTCTTCTTCGTCCGGTTCTGCTGCGTCTTGAATTCGTGTGCCAGCCTCACCTGAAAGGAGGGTAAGCACATCCCGATGGACTTCAAAGACCTGCATTTGTTCGCCCTCGCCAACGGCGACATTGATAGTCTTGCTACCGACCATAACTCTTCACGAGATTAGCATTGGAAAGTTCTGACAGGTTGCTTAAAACATACTTCGCAATGATGGTGATGTGATCAATAATGTCGGCTATTTGCAGGAATTCCTCACATTGCTTGGGTTCTGTATGATCTGCAGTGTCGCAGTCGCAGTCGATTTTCTTCCCTGGCGCAACCATCGTTTTCGAATCTAAAAACGCTCTCAGCATGAAGCCTCAACGGAAGTCTGGAATAATATGTAGGAACTTACTGATCCTACAATGGCTCTCTCAAAGTATCGATGGACTTGAGGAATTGATAGTTGTCGAGGAAGAAAGTAGAATTACTATATACCACTGAAAAACAAAAGATAGAGTCTCGCACAAGGCGGCCATCTCTGCCTCGGCGCTATTGGCTGTAGCCCTGGCTCACACGTTATGGGTGATGCAGTGTATGATTCTCGCGAAATCGCTGATATTCGACCTTTCATCGTCCTTGAAAGGCAACTGCTTTCGAGTCTCTCCTTTCAGACTAACAGACAAAGCTTTACTCGTCACAAATTCTCATCACGATACTAGCTTCATCATTCGACCATTTGCTTTCAAACGATTGATCCTTCCTTTTCGAGTCCTATAAATGCAGTTCAGTTCCACTCGTATATTTCCGGCGCCTCATTGTCCGGCAAGCTATACCGTCAGCCTTGTTTTCCACTTTCGAAGCCTCTTTGATTCTCGAACGATCAGTCAAAGGCAAGAGTCGCTTAGGTCGCTCTGCCAAATGCCATACACAGAAGCAAATGGATCGTTCACCAACTTTGCATGTAGGTAAAAGTGTATCCTAGCTGGAATCCATTGTGCTCGAGACTTGAGATCCAAGCGAGGCGATTCCATGCAATCGTTGCATCATCCTATTGAGCTTTGATCAACTCACCGGCATTATTTTGGCTCCTCCGTATGGTTCTATACAAAAGTCGAATCGGACACAGGCCGGATGCGGCGACGTGTAGTCACATTGGAAATATTTTGCGATACGCCACATTTCTATTTTCTATCTTTGGGTGGAAATATGCCAGCACATTCTGTGTAAGTCAGAAGTTGCAGATAAATGGGGGTTGTGGGTCCTAAGCGAGCGAGTGAAGCCGACCAAATATCTCGCTGTTCTTACGTGGTCCAACCACATATTATTCGTCACTTAACGACGAGGCGTGTCAACTCACTTTCATGTTCTGAACTGAATACTGGTCCGCCAATCCTCATAGTAAGGCATCAAATCGAAAGAATCATCTCACATTTCAGGAGCTGTCCGGATACGACTTACCATTTCTAGACCCAAGTGGGCACCTTCATTCTGTATATAATCCGTACAGACTTTGTCGATATCCTTCTTGCGCACTTCATCTTTGTATCAGTTTAAATTCCATACTTTGTTCACTCTCTAACCATGGCACCTCTTGACGATGCAGAACAATACTTTGGAAAACCAGGAGAGATCATCGTGTGTGGTCTTTCAGGTGCTAGAACCTATCCTCGAATGGGAAACCAAAACCAACAGACTCCAGAATCTCCTCGAACTGTAAGATCAGCATGCCGACCTTCTCTTCTCTGAGTATATGCTGACAAAGGTCCGTCTTACAGGTCGAGATGAGATACCCTCCTTCACCTCCGGTATCCCAACGAAACTCGGGATATGGCTCTGTTGCCGGAAGCTACCAGCAAAGTAGCCCCTCTCGATATGAAGCCCCGGAACAGTATCCGAGCTATACAAACCAAGCTACATATGGACAGTCATCGGCTGGTTCTTCATACTCCTCTCCTCGCCAATACCCAGCCAAGTCTCAGGGATTCTATGAATCTTCTAGCTCTTCGCGCTATTATTGATGTTAGTATTTATCAAGAATTCTCAACCATGAATAAAGGTAGTAGTGTTGTTCCATGAATGTCAGCTAACGGACATAGACTGTCGACCTTGGAGGACGCCTGGTTCTCGCTGATTCTTACTTGGGATCATAGAGAACTTTGGAATTTTGAATTATTTGAACTTTGTGGAGATTTCAATATTAGATAGACATACTTGACTACCAATTACATACGAGAAATAGAAGATTCAATGCCAAGCATTTAAATTAGCCACGTGACACAATGATGGTACCTAACTCCCTTGTAAATTGATAAGAGCTGTGACATAGGGATAGTCTGGAGGCCTTTCCATCTCAATTTGAGTCACTTTAGCTTGTATTGTTGTATCATCAGATTACCAGGTAATTTCCTTTCCAATGTATCGTTTCCAAACATGTGATTCTCTTACCCCACGCGATTGCGGCTGAGACCATCCTTCGGATCTTATCAGCATAACCCAATTCAACGAGACGTTATTCCAACTGCTCAGTACCTTCATTACCTGAGACCATTTGAAATCTTTCAGTCAATCAATCGTCGCCCTCAAGCCCGCTGAGAACCCGCCGCTCCCCGCTCCGCCACAATGTGCGAAACCACCTCAATCACCCTCGAAGTCCTAACAACAGGATCCCTGCGTTGTCGTCCCTCAATGCTTTCCCAGCCCGCCACCCGCTCCATCTTTCTTCGTCGACTTCGAGTAATAACAGATACGTCCTGGTCGCAATACATCCCCATCCACGTGTTCCTGATCTCACATCCCGAGGGGTACATTTTGTTTGATACGGGAATGAGTCCGAACTGTAACGATTGGGGATACTTCCCGCTTTGGATGCCAACTTTCAGGATGACGGCTCAGATGTTGATTGATAATGAGGAGGGAGTAGGAGAACAGTTGAGGAGTAGAGGCATTGTGATTGGTGGGGAGGAGGCGGGAGTGGGAAGTGGGAATGGGAAGAAGTTGAAAGCTGTGGTTGTCAGCCATCTGCATCACGATCATGCTGGAGGCTTGAATGACGTTGTACCTGGTGCCCCAGTCTTTGTCACGAAAGAGCATTGGGAATTTGAGAATGAAGATCGACTAAATGCTCTGATCGATGGTGCCGTCCCAGAACGCTGGCCTAAGGACTGGACTCCTAATTTTCTTGAGCCTTCCGGTCCGCCAATCGGTCCTTGGGAGAAGAGGTATCCAATTACGAGTGATGGGAGGATAGTGGCTGTCGATACACCAGGTCACAATCCTGGGCACGTTAGCTTGATTGTGTACGGGGATGAAGCGACATACTTCTTGACGGGAGATGCAACGTACAGTCTCGAATCACTTGACAAAGAGGAAACAGACGGGGTAATTAGTACCCCGTTGATAGCGGTAGAGAGTGTGAAGAAGATTAAGGAGTTTTGTCGTGGGACGAAATGCGTCGTTTTGCCGAGTCACGACAGAGAAACGATCAAGAGGGCGAAGGAGAAAGAAGTTTATGTACCGACGACATTATGACGAGGAGGCTGAAAACTGTTGTACACCCGATCTCCGAAGTCCGGAGGAGATGTTCTAGTGACAGTTGCACAACGAGGCGGATTTTCGTCCGACGAAGTTCCGAGTCAAGTTACAGTACCGTTTTCGTATCCGTTTTGGTGTATGCCGAAATTCTGTGAGGGGTAGAGTCTCGAATTGTTCCTAATTGTACCCTTAGGTCTTCTCTCTGTTGCGAGTCCTCCATAGCAGCAGTGAGCAACCCTCTGTCAAATTCGTCGTGAGGGCGTCCACCCTCGTAGAAGTGAGTGGCTAATCACAGCAAATTTTATCACTGTCTCATTTTAGACCGACTGTCTCACAAAAACCTATCTCTATTCGTAAATTCATGTCATGAAGCTATGTACCAAAGTGCTACCAGAATGTATACTTGACGCTTCACGGCTCCCGCCCCTATCTCCCAAACTGCCCCCTCCTTTCATTCCCTACGTAATCCCAAACCATTGCAAATCCACACTTTCATGAACCGGCACAGTATGCCCAACACCCACAGCACTATACGCTAAGAACTGATCACCATCCCCAAAAACCATCTGCGTATACCCCGTCTGCGGCGAATTCGTCAAATTCTTATTCCAAGAAACGCCAAAAACACCCTCCCACTCCTTGATCTCCTCTCCAAGATTCGGATAATTGACAAACGTATCCGCTGTCCCATGCCAAACCTGGAATTTGGGATACGTTCCATTATAAGTCGGATACATAGCTTTCACGACTGATTTCCATTGATCTGATGTCTTTACGACTTTACCGTCCGCGCAAGTAGGATCTGCTGTCTGGGGAGAACTGCCAGGACTTCCCGCCAGACAGCCTGCTGCAACGCCGGAGTATCCAGAGGCAGCTGCAATCATGTCGGGGTAAGTGGCTACCATGACGTTGGTCATCATTGCTCCAGAAGAAGTCCCTGTTACAAAGACTTTCTTGGGATCAGCGTTGTATTTGTCGATGGTGTACTTGAGCATGTTCGCTAATCCGTTCGAATCCCCGCCGCCGTCGTGAGTGAGCGTTTTGGTGGTTGCGACGTCCCAACAATTGTTATCGTGCCCCGCGGAGGGAAAGATGACTATGAAGCCGTTTGTGTCTGCGAGTGAAGCATATTTGGTTTGCTGGTAGTAGCCAGTGCCTGTTCCTCCGCAGGGGTGAAGTGCGAGAATTACGGCTGGCGAAGTCGCGAGTTTAGTGGGAACATAGATGGACATCTGAAGTTTGGTGGGGTTGGATCCAAAATCCGGGACAGAGACAAGGACATTTTGTGCTCCATTTGTCTTGTCGAAGCAGAATAGGAGAATAGTGAAAAGGAAGGCGACGGAGAGCATAGCTGCGACTGGAACGCAAAGGTTGCGACGTCTAGTCGTGTGAATCATTTTCGGGGATGACTGAGTGAAATATATGAAAAGGATGAAGTATGGAAACAGCCGTCATATTTCGAGGACTACATGGGAATTTATGCAGACCACATGGTTGTTGGTGCTACTCTGTGGGACAATAGATAAGTACTTCGTCATCTGATGTATGGCAAAAACAATTCCTGAAATAGCACTGCTGGAGTACGAACAAATGATTGGAGCTCTAGCATAAGTAAAAATTGTTGAACCACGACTGCCAGAAAATCGGTTGCAAGCTATAAATTGTTGTGTAGACATTTGAATTTGATCCTGACCATCCTAGGAAATAGAATTGCATAGTGCGTTCAGCCTCAGGGGATGTGGATAAATGTAAAATCGATGTGGGGTACATGTGGCCGGGAATGCTTTCGGCAGCTAGATCAGTAGGGTCCCTAGTTGTAAAGTGTCCCAGTATGATTTGAAGAAACACATGATATGATGATTGATCTCCCTTCGCTTTTCGTCCTTTGTTTAGCAACGCCCCGCTTACTTCCGCAAGGTAAATTGTAACATCAGATCCCCCAAGCCAACCGTGAAGTAGTCCTCAGTCTTGTCCAAGAGAGTTGATCCATCTTCGCCTGGGGCGAATGAGACATTGAACTGTGTAATGAGGAGAGCTGTAACGGTCCGAAGTTCTATCAGAGCGAGATTCTTGCCTATGCATCCGTACCGACCTGCGAAGTTGTCAATAATGAGAACAAGAAGAAGTCAATTCACATACCAACTGAGAAAGGAGCAAATGCAGTTTTGTTGTAGATCAACTCGGGCTTGCTGTACCAGCGTTCGGGTATGAACTCATTTGGACGTGCCCACGCTTTCGGTGCTGCTCAAGTGTCAGTCTCAGACCCATCGGCGAAAGAGATTGACGCCGATCCGAAATTACACTTACATCTCCCCATAGTCCATAAAGGTACTGCAACAATTGTGTCTCCTGGTATTCTTGTCTCGCCAATCGTTATACCTTCTGGAGGTGTCAACCTCGAAAGCCCAGAGGGTACCGGAGGATGAAGTCTTAAAGCCTCGTTGATCATGCCATTGAGATACTCGGCGTTGCCAAGATCCTTGGTATCGAAGCTTCCATCTGGTTGTATGAGGGGCTCCAGTTCTTCTCGAAGCTTGTCGGCATGCGCAGGTTCTCTAGCTATGTGGTAAAACAGATGGGTTAGGGTCGCAGCAGTAGTGTCACTTCCGGCCACAATGACCAGTCTTGAGTCTCCGACAAGCCACATGTGGTCTCTGACTGGATCCGGATCCATGGGTTCTGCTTCTAACAGCCAAGACATGATATCGCGATCCTTAACTTCCATCTTGCGGGTGGTTAGCCGAGAACATTTCACTCAACGACATTACCAACCTGTTTTCTCTTCTCGGCTTGCTCTTCGCACCAACTAACCCATCTCTGATATGCGGAACCGAGACCAGGTATTCTCGTGAAAAGCATTATGAGCCACGGCATTGGTGAAAAGATACCAATTGGTCTTTGGCCTTCAGCCAGCAGTTTGATAGCAAAATGCTTCTCGCCCGTCTTTAGCATGTCGAAAGGACGTCCGAAAGCAAGCTGACCCATGACATCGAAGGAGTAGTAATTGAACCACAAGCTTGCATTCAAGGGCTTTCCACCGAAAGATTTGATTCGGTCGATAAGGAGTTTGGCGAACTCTTTGACTTTTGGTTCATATGCATCGAGAGCTGCCTTGAAGTTAGTAATTTCTCTGGACATTTTATCAGATATGTTACCTTTCATGCTGAAACCTCGATCCCACACACGTCGTCTTTTATCATGCTGTGCTCGGTCCCTACACTGATGCATACTGACAAGTGGATCACCGCCATCATACCATGGCGCTTTAGTGCAGGCGGACCTCGCTCCCATGATTGCTTCCACCGCATCAGGGTCCACAACAGACAGCTCGCCAGGGCCGATTCGAACAAAGTCCCCATACTCATTATGCCATCTGTCTAGCCTCTTGTAGTTGTCGTAGTTCCCAAGCTGGGCAACGTGCCAGAATTTGCTGAGCTTCGCAAGTGGTGGACCTGGAATTGAGCCTAGACGGTGGAAAAAGGCTCGATATATGAGCATGCTGGCCCATAATGAGAAGAGGTACGAAGCTGCGAGGGTGAGTGTGGTGAGTGATGCTTCGGCAATATTAAACTTCCCAAACCGAATAAGGGCCACGAAAAGGATGGTCGGTATAAGGAAAGTGAGTTGTGCCAGCCTGACAACTTGTTTATGATGCTCGCCACGGATGAAGTAGAGCAAATGAGAAAGGACACCAGAGCCAGCTGATAATGCCGCCCAGCGAGGGAGATCTGGTACGACGTCCATGTTGAACGTTCTTTCCCCAACCAGACAATGCTCTGTGAAAATATGTTCTGTAGCAAATTATATAGAGGTGGAAAAGGAAGTTGCAGAATGCACTGAATATGTAGCAACAAAGAAGAGATGAGAAAGTAGGAAAGAGATGTCTCTATCAATGTAACTAGTTGTACCAAGCTGAAGGAGAGACTAAGTCCACACTTGCGTGCTTAGCTATGGATAGTTCAGGTCTCGATGCGGGGGAAGTATGCGGGGTGCCGCTCTCCTCGGCTGCCCGAAAGTTTAAATTAGGCGATCCTGTCCAGCCCCTTTCCGAGGAAAGGACAGCCGGAATAGCCAAGGTTTAGCGGCCCAGACACTTTTGGCGTCGATCGGGTACGATAGTATATCTGCATTTGTACATGATGCCTGCTAGGAGTACGCATCAGAGTTCGAGGGGTATGCAAGGTTTATATCGGGGAGCCGGTTACTGCAAAAGAGTAACTGGGCTGGGGAACAAAACTATTTGACCTTATGTCTCAAGAGCCTCGGTGCTTCTGGATATCGTTGGAGAGTGTCTTGGACTTTAAGGAAACCTATATGAAATACTGGCTTTGGGATCCCAAGATCTATGACTCTCGCCATCGTCTCTATGATAGGTACAATGATAGCCTCAATGAATTGCAGCCATTGCTTCAGCTGGTGACCTGGAAACCGGATAATTTCAAGGTAGTCACGTGACATGAGCATCAAGAAGTCTTCCAACGTTGTTGTGTTGTTTGCAGGCACCAACGAGGAGAGCTTCTCGATCCAACGGAGCATAGCGAATGCGAAGGTCTGAAAGGTCTTGCTCTAACGTCTCGCTCGTCTCCTTCGCAGTGTCGTATGTATCATGTGACGAGACTCAGTTCCTGAGCATTTGAGCAATGAAGAATGCCTCGCATCTTGCTCCCCATACAACTATATCTGCCAGGTGTGCTTGTCGGACTCTCGTGTTGGATAATCTTGTTGGAAGGAGATGCGATGTTGGTGCCACAAGATGGATGGATGGTGCTTGGTCATTCGGTCTCAGGGCCTATCGTTTCAATTCTCGCAGCTCATCCTGCTCATGCTGTCATGATGATATGCCAAGGAGGTTGAAACAATCTAAAGGTCCCAAGCACCGTCTCAAGCAGTCGGACGTAAGGTTGAAGTAAATATATATCTCAGTCAGGTTCGGCGGGTTTCTCAGGCCGGTTGAGCTTGTGCCTCGCTCAGTCCCGCATGTGTTCCACTATTTATTGACAACTTTCTTTCTTGTCGTGCGATGATCATCATGCTGCGCCCGAACTTGCCAAGCGGTGTGTCTGCCGGTGTTGGTTGTCCTCAAATATGTTGGATGTGGTTGGTGTTTGGGTGGGGCTGGAGGAATAATGCCCCGGATGTCTGAAGTGCAGCAGCTAATTCGGCCGTACGAAGGAACACTAAGGTTGGATATACTGGGGCAAGCCTATGCACCCAATGATTTCTTTGGTGTTTGCACACGCATAACTAACGATGCGGGAGGAATTCGTACCATGCAAACGCATCATAAGTTTCTTAGTGGGTGAAGGTAGGCCAACTTACGTCCGCACTCTTCAACCCCTGGTCTCTGGGTTTGTGTGCCCCCAAACGCGATGGTGCCGTGAAGGAGTATATCAGCCGCACTGCCCCGCGCAGAGGATTCACCATCAGCCTGGAAGCATAATACTTCGAACAACTCCTTCTCCCTTAAAGAAATTCAAAGTTCGCTTCACAACAATAAGTTCTTTGAACCAAAATCACCACAACCCAGACAACCCAAGATGGCGGCCACAATGGATATCAAGCCCATCCTCCCACCTACGGCGTCGAAAGTATCGGATATTAGAATATTCTCTCCCGAATTCAACAAGACCGTAAGTAGATCAGATGCTTCACTCGTTCTCGATCTGACCTGTGAAGGCTCTACGCAATAATATGAGCATGGGCACGATTCTCCTCATCGGTGCCAGTTTCCAAGCTATTCTCGCTCTGCTCCCCATTCCACGCATCTACAGTGGCTTGCCAGCGGTTTTCATGCTCGTCCTCAAGATCACGGATACAGTTCTTATCACGTACAACATCAAGGCAAATCCATATCTGAAGAATATGCTGCCCAAGAAGACCACTGCCCAACCTCTGGATCTTAATGGAAACTTTTCCGGAGCAGGAAAACAGAAGATCGCCGTTCTCCTCTTGGGTGCAAAGAGCAACCACCCATTGGGGTTCTTTGCACCAGATTTCGGCAAAGTTGGGGGCTATCTGAAGAAAATGAGTGATCTGCTTGAGGACGACCACACTCAAGAATCCGGCTGTAAGTTCCCGCCTGGACCAAGCTATGTCACATGAATTAATATAAATGCAGTCCTTGGTCAATCATGTCTGAACAAGACTGACAAGAACGGTGCTAATGAGTTTGTTTTCATCTCATATTGGCGCAGTCTTGAAGATGTTCACCGATTCGCTCACGGTAGCCTTCACCGCGAAGCATGGACATGGTGGGAGTCTACGCTCAAGAGACACAACTACATCGGATTCATGCATGAGGTCTATGAGGCTCCAGCTGGTTCGTATGAGGGCGTCTACATTAATTTCCAGCCAAGTTTGCTGGGAGCTACGACTTATCTGAAGAAAGACGGAAAGATGGTTGCAGGAGAAGTCAGGCCAGAGTATATCAACCCTCTGGTTGATGCGAACAAAGGCCCGATGAGAACAAGCAACAACCGAAGAGGCTTGAAGGACAGAAAGGATATTGCCGATGAGATGTTCAACGAGAACAATGCCTATGAAACGGTTGGCACCCTCGGTGGAACGAAAGAGGCGTAAGGTGGAGAGCAAGGGTCATCTTGGAGGCGTTGGGCGAAGTCGTTTTTCACCAGGGACGGATTAGGGATTCCATAGCATCTCCTGCATAATCTGAGCGAGCGTTTGTGTTGCACACCATGAATTTGATGAGACTTCTTCAGTATCCCACTCGCATAGCACCTCGCATGCACGTGTTTCACTGCACGTAAGAACAAAATCACTCCTCACGACCTGTCGAAGACGTTGAGCTTTTCTTGGGACCTTGGAGGAGCACAACAGTATCTCGAGCTTTATGTGTAGGAGAGACACCACCAGTCTTGGCATTTCAGCCCCTTTTTCATCGCGATCGAAGATTAAGCATAAGGGTCTGGTGGGGAAGCAAAGCCTCATTCAAGGTGAGTTAGCGTATCTCGGCTACGCTGTGGCTTGCACTCGACCAGACGTTGTGATGCGTCTGCAACCGGAAACTGGCGAAACTGGCATCTTCAATTGACAAACCGTCACTTCATGGCCAGCTCAGTCATGATCAACAACAATCGAGGATCCTGTTGATGTCGAGAACCGTAGAGGCATTGGGCCTCAAGCTCGCATCCCGAATACCGTCCGCTCGTTATAGCCCCCGATGTCTTGGGACCTGCTAAAGAGGTTCATCGAATCCGATGTCTTCAACCAAGATCCCTTCCTTTCTGTCGCATACCTCTCGTAAGGAATTTGTTGCTCCACTGGATTCACGGAACTAATGCTATAGCACAGGAGATACGCCGATCATGTCGGAATTCATTATGTCCTCTGTTCGAAGTTACGACAATTCAGCTACGAAGAAATTGAGTTTTTCCTCCCACAACTCTGCCATCTTATTATCAGTGTCGACAACGAGTCGATGGCGCTGGAGGAGTTCATTCTAGATTTATGCGAAGAGTCGGTGAATGCTGCACTGCTTGTGGGTTCCGTGAATGTCCGAGGGGAAGCATTGAAGTGCTAATACGACGAAATAGACATTCTGGTTATTCCAGACCTATCTCCACGACCTATCTGCGAACCCGCAATCCGAAGCCTTCAAAACTTGCCGGAGGATATATAACAAGGTGCAGCATATTGTGTTCGGGCTTGCGGAACCTGCCAGACATGAGAAGATTAAGGAGAATGTACTGCCTGTCACCGTGTTGGCCAGCTTTGTCCTTGCCAGTGTAGCAGTTCCATTTCTCCCAAGATGGGCGGGACCATTAGCTATAGCTCAGGCACGGAAACCTCAGCCTCAAGGAGATGTTATTTCGGATGCAAGCCAGACGCAACAGAAGATTGTGCGTAGCCATACAACCACACCTGGATCCACACGGACGAAGAGAGCAAAGGAGGCAAGCAGAGTATCAAGTGTACCTACAAATGGAAGCATACCAACGGAAGCTCGACCGAAATCTGTTCGAACAGCTTCCCTTACCAGACCACAGTCTTCTGGTACCGATTCTGTCCGAACGCAGCCAATACATCCGAAGCCCCGTCCAGCACACCTTGAATTGAGTACTTCTGATCCTAGACTCAGTTCATCATCTTTACCTCTACCCGAATCGAGATCACCTAAAATGACAGCTACAAGGCCAACGACTCCTGCTACAGCTAGTTTGACAATGTCACAGCGTCCTATCGAGAATACACACAGGAAACATTCACATCAAACCCGACCACTTACACCATCTGCATTATCCGACGCTCAGAAAGTCAAACTATTAAGACAGAATTATTTTCGATGCGAGACACAGTTCATTACAGCTTTAGAGGATATTTCCAATCGTCTAGTAATGGTCCCCAAACCAGCCCGGCTCAGTGCTCTACGTGCTGAGCTTGCTCTTATTGCCCAAGATCTACCAGCTGAGGTTGACATCCCCGTTATCTGTCCAGCGACATTAGTCGATGGTGTTCCGAGCAAGAGCCGTCACCATCGCATCGTTCGACTCAATCCCGCGGAGGCTACAGTGTTGAACAGTGCAGAGAAAGTGCCTTATCTACTTCTGGTTGAGATACTTCGTGATGATTTCTCGTTCGATCCTGCAGCAGCTGACAATGAGACTCTACTGGGAAAGCTTCTCTCTGAACAGGGCTCTAGCCGGAAAAGAATTTTTGATTTGTCAGAATCAGCACAACTCCAACACGAGACCAAATCGAGCGAAGCTATCCCTGACAGCGTTTTTGAGCCTACCTCAGGAGACCTCGGAAGTTCTCCTCTGATCAAAGCCGTTGATGAAACTCCCAAGCCGAAGGAGAATGTTCCACCTTCTCATCCTCCTCGACTGTCAAGTGGCGCAACGACTCTCTCGACAGTATCTGGACTTGCAACACCCAGGACATCGGGAGCTTCAACTTCTAGATCCAGTAGTCCAGGCCGGAAAATGACTCTGCCCAGTCATGGAAGATCTGGCGCTGCAGATCAACCGGATTTTGGTGCATTGGCGACACATATGAGGACCGCGTCACAGATGTTAGCCCAATTAGAGTCTACAGGCGGAAAGAGACCTAAGCATGAAGTCGCAGCGATCCGTGCGAAGATTATAGCTAGCATGCAAAGCTTGGAAGAACAGAGTTTCGACTTGGACGATACAAATCGCGCCCCCACATTTGACACGATCATGGCCAATGCAAACTTAGCCGCTGCAAACATTAGCGCCGAGGACATAGAAGAAGAGGTATCGACTGACTCACCGCTAAATTCTGGAGCTGGAGTTGCTCGGATGGAAAACGATCAAAAAACCGGTGGTGTGCAAAGGAAAGGAGACAGGGATGATCCAAGTGCTGCAACATTTGGAGAGGCTTGGAACATGAAGAAGGAACGTATTCGAAAATCCTCACCGTATGGATGGATGAAGAATTGGGATGTTGTAAGCGTTATTGTGAAAACTGGCGCCGATTTGAGACAGGAAGCATTCGCATGTCAACTGATCCAGGTTTGTCACAAGATATGGCAGGATGCTCAGACTCCGGTGTGGGTGAAGCGTATGCGAATTTTGGTTACAGGAGAGTCTTCAGGATTGATCGAGACGATCACAAATGGAGTCTCCCTACACTCGCTCAAGCGCAGTCTAACTCTCGCCACCATCGAATCTGGTCAGAATCCACGGAGAAGAATTGCAACTTTGAAGGACCATTTTGTGAAGACATTTGGTCCACCAGAAAGCGATGCGTATAAGACCGCATGCGATGCTTTCAAGAGATCACTGGCAGCGTACAGCATAATTTCGTATGTGCTGCAGCTCAAGGATCGACACAATGGTAATGTTCTCATCGACAACGAGGGACACATTATTCATATCGACTTTGGATTTATGCTTTCGAACTCACCTGGGTCTGTTGGTTTCGAAGCTGCACCTTTCAAGTTGACCCAAGACTATGTTGATGTATTGGGAGGTGTTGGGTCGCCAGATTATGAGCACTACAAAAAGCTATGCAAGCAGGCTTTCCAAGGTAAGTTGCTAGAGTACGGGTCTCGACCGTTGGCTAACATGAGGATAGCCCTGCGACGATCCGCGGATAATCTTATCGATCTGGTCAGTATGATGGGCCGAGAATCAAAGATGCCTTGCTTTTCATACGGCGTTCAACAAGCCGTAACGAGTCTCAGGCAGAGGTTCCAATTGCAGCTCAGTGCAGATGAGGCTGAGCAGTTCGTGGAGACTGACCTCATTGGAAAGTCTTTGGGGAGCTACTACACACGATTGTAAGACTACTTCTTCACTTCCCAGTCTCGAGCTAACATGCTAGATACGATACATTCCAGTATCGTACTCAAGGTATATACTAGGTGCTTGAACGTTTGTGAATAGCTGGGATGCATCTAGATGGCGTTGGATATAGGCATTTACACGGTCCTTAGTGACCCGGTGGCTTTGTGCAAAACATTTATGTGATGGCTTCTGGAGCGATCTCATGTTGCGGCGTATCAAGGGACCTAATGGTGAGTAACAGCACTGTATGTTGCTAGATGGTCATGAATTATTTGAGATTCCCATGACTGTCATTGCTTCTTCTATTAAGCCACTTCAAATATGCTGCTTTTTGTTGTGGGCATTCAGCATGAAGCAGTATCTTCGTGCTAACAGAGCTCTTACAAGAAGATAAAGACCCATAACGTGTGCTTGGCGTTTGATCTGATTTCAAAGAGAAAGATGAATATCGAGCGCAGTAAGAAGTGATGCTCCTCGCTCTTTCCGCCTTGGTTTTGCTCTCCGGCTCGCCACTGCTTCTAAATTCCCTCGACCACAAGCAACGGCAACTCGCTCTTCCCACTCTTGAGCATGAGTATCATCTACCCTTTTGCCAGATATCTGCATACTCTTTAGTCTTGGAGCCGCTGTCATAAACCAAGATGTGCTGACTTGTCTGCAGAGGTCTTCTTTGGTCCCATATTGCTTCCAAACGACCGTAGCGAGATCTTGCCTGGACTGATCCAATTCCGCCAAGAAGGAAAGAGCAGATGGAATTGGCCTTTCCTCGCTAGTCAATGAGCTCCTACTTGCTCTTGCTTCAAAGCGTGTTAAATCGTACGAGGCTCGCGTAGCTCGACCCTTTTTGCACATACGCGCGCCATTTCAAGACTAGGCCTACTGAAGATCCCTCTGCTACTTTTGAGACGATTGTCCCGGACTAAAGGTCTACTTCGTTGCTCAGACGTCAATTTCTGAAGATCGATTTCTTTGATAGATGTCGCCGCGACGACAATCAGGCACTAGATCTATCTTCCAGACATAGATAATCTTGCACGCCCAAAAGCACCGACAGCAGAACACCTTTATATTAATCTGTGCATTTCGCTCGGTGTCCGCCTTCCTCATTGAGGCGCAAATCTCCTAGCTACGGACAGAAAGAAAATCAACAACCTGCGCTAGCAAGATATTAACAAGACATTGTTTCTTTCCAGGAAGGCGCAGGACAGCAAGCTTCGTACCATCACCTTCTTCTGGCTGATTGTCTACCAACTGGGACTGCCTTTGGATATCTGCGTCAAATACTTGACCTGCTTTTCGCGCAACGACAAAGCCGCGACGAAAGTGAGAGACCTACTTTTACTTGGCTTGCTTTTCGCACAACAGCAAGGCCGCGACGATAGTAAAAGACCTGCTTTTACATGACTTGCTTTTCGCACAACAACAAAGCCGCGACGAACGTGAGAGATCTGCTTTTCGCGCAATAGCAAGGCTGCGCCGAAAGTAAACCTGAGTCGTCCGAAAATTCACCAGCTACTCGGCTGATATCTCCAGATCTAGTAGCCTTAACTTTTCAACGTCCTACAAGACAGTCAACCATACCCACAACTTGCAAAATGCCACCAGCCAAGTCCCACAATTGGTCTCGCTTCGAGGTAAGTCAACTTATGAGATCGCTGCTTATGATCGTTGCGCTAACATATCTACCAGCTCCATACCATGCTTTGCCTCATTGCAAAGGGAGTGCACCTCGAAGAGCGAGTCAGAAGATCTGATGCCCCCGGTACTGCTCGAGTCAATGCCTACGAGAACTTCGCTACACAACTAAACGTCGCACTTCATCGCAATGACTACAAGAGTGACATCTCGAAGAGAGAGATCACCTATATGCTTGACCATCTTCTCGCCGAATATAAGCATGTTGTTGGCAAGGGTGGACTGGTTGAGCGAAATGCCGGTGGTCGTATCACTAGAGCCATGAGAATGTCGTTCGCAAGACCTGCCCGTGGTTTTAGTGGAAGCCAGACCGAGTGGGAGAATGGTCGCCGTTATGAGGTTATGACCCCGTACCTAATCAAGATGGGAAAGTTGAACCCGAAAGATCCCATGGCTGTTGAGAGGCGTGTTGTTGAGATGTCTCTTCTATCTGCTGTTAAGCTATCTCAATTTGCCACTCGCAAGCCCGCTGCTCGACGTATCCAAGCCGAAGCTGCCGCTGCTTCCCTCGAGACCGAAGCTCTGAGCTCAGGCAACATGTTCATCAACTCGACTCAAGATACCTTCGCCAACGCTTCCGCAAAGTCCCGTGTCAGCAAGAATCTCGACTGGAACGAGCCAATTCAACGTCATCTCGCTCGATCTGGTCGTTCTACTAACGCTGAAGTTTCGGATGCCAATGGCCAAGTCAATGGCGGATCGTCTCAAGCTCATGAAGCTGGTTCTATGGTTATTGATGATGACCTCGGACGTCGTCAACAAAATTACGCCGATAACATTGGCAACGAGGTTGACATGTTCCTGGATACTTTGGGTGACTCCATGCTGGTTGACAGTGTTGATCCACCCCGAGGACGTTCCCGACGCCGTCAAAACTATACCGATAACATTGGCAATGATGGCAATGATTCCGAGATGTCTGATGCACCTGCTGAGGTCTCCCCGGCTGCATTCACGGCATTCTCAACTGATCTCTTCGGAAATGGTTTGTCTCGTTAGGGGATGGATCATGGTTGAGCATATTGACCTTCTCGTTTCTGCTTGCGATTGCGCTTCTGGGCTTTGAACTAGAAGATGACTCAGCGTTCATTTGGCAAATTAGATAGATTTTGGGAAGTTGGATGACTAGCTAGGTATTTAGCTTAGTTGTCCGTAACTAATTCTATGGATTCGTCACACATTTTGATATCCTTAAGTAGTGAGTGACTTTGGAACATCTGATACTTGAGCGCGTGAACATTGAATCAAGTTCTGGCCATTGTTGGGATACTCAACTTCCTTGAAATGTCCAATGACTGTTGCACGTCTTTGAATCTTCACAATGACTGTTGTATCTTCAATAAACCAGGCTAAGACTGGACATCCTTCTACCATGTTACTCGAGGCTAATTCGAAAGCACCAAATTCCATGCCAACCCAAAGGTAGTCCAGCTCTCTTATTTCGGGACCTACATTCATTTATCCCAATATCCTTAGCAAAATCTGGACAAAATTGTCCAAAATAATTGACAACAAAAATGCCATTGACAACAGATTATATTGTTTCAATTACGGACAAATCGAGATACAAAACCTCCCACATTCTACTCTATAAAGATGAATTTTACAGACACCCGGCACCAGGCGCTAAAATGGAGTGACAGAGGTCTTGGTGTGTGTGTTTTTTTGTTTTTTTTTTGAAGTGTTGAAGAGAATTACAAAGGGAGAATCAGGTGCGTTTTATACTCACTAGGACCGTTTTATTTTCCTGTGCAGCGTGCTTGCTTTGAAAGGGTGAATGGGAAGGAGTGAATATAGTCTTCCTTTTCACAAAAAGACATATGTTCGCCTGAGAGGTTCAAATCACGACGGACATCTAAGCAGGGTCCGGCATTCAAGGTACGCGAATCTCCAAACCAGAATCTTGGAGACTCACTCACCTAAATATACAAAGCTAAGCGCTATGGATTGTTGAAAGGATGGCAGGAGGAGGACATGATCAATTTATTCGAACAGTGTGAGACCCGGGGTTCGGTCCCGATGAAGTGAATGTCCCCATGAACGACACCTAAGTCCTTTCAAGTGCGGAGAATCGATGAGTGATCGAGCCAGCCATAAGTCCAGAGGCGTCTGTAAAACAAGAATCCTACCCATTGTGAGGATTCTGCTCTCAAGAGTTGAACCAAGCTTGATTTCTATTCTTTGAGACGGATCAATTGCTTAAAATTTTTCGGGCTTACCTTAAGCTAGATTCGTGGCCTTTGTTTAGAATGATTCTTACTCGTGGTTTTGTTCTTGGCAGGTTATCTACAATTAAGATTCATTTCGTAGATAATCTGCCGACTACCTACCGAGGGAATGCAGATGAACCCCCTGAATAAGCGAGCCCCACGTTTTCCCTATTTGATCGCCCGGCTACATACGCTAGTACTATTCTACTCGGGCATTAAGTGTTTGGAATATACAAGATATGAGGAAACGAGACTCGAAAAAAGATGATGGAATGATTTGAGAAGGAAGAATTTGGATATGCCAACCTACAAACGTGGGAAAATTTCAGAACGAGACAAAGGAATCAATAAGCATCCGTGGTTGAATTTCTAATTGTTATTAAATACTCAGTAGCCACTAAGATGACTTTCTATGCAGGTGACATGAAGCAAGTCCCTGGGTATCACTATCACTGCGTAACCAAATCGCTCACTGCCCGAAAACTCCATCCCAAGCTTGCCAGCGCCTGTACAGAAGATATCGAAATGTTCCAAGTATACAGCCAGAAAGCCTCGCCATTCGTTATTTCATGGGAATATAATTGATGCGAGAACAAACTTCCACCTCTCTCATTGCCTCATAGCGGTTATCGCTTTGGCCGTTTCCCTCTTTTGGTGGAACTTCCTTCACCTCCGCTGTCTTCCTCTTCCTCCTCTTCCTCATCGTCTTCTCCCCTCGACCGAGATCCATGGGCCTTGTTGTTGCCCTTTTTGACTGAGATCAAGCATCCCTGATGCTTCAGGGTCTTCGTAAGCTCGGTACTCGCTCGCATTCCCTGAAACTCCTTTGCGTTGTATACGTGAAAGACACTGCTCCAAACAATACTTTTGACGGGCTCACGACTACCAGGCATCATTCTGGTCGGATCCAGGTTGATGAGGCTAAATTTGAGGCTGTATGTTCCTGGTGTCCTCACACTCAGGTCCGGGAAGGTAAAGAAACACCCTTCAACACCATGCTCGTCGTTCCCGACAAAAGGAGACGCCACCAAAGTGCCCATGAGGCGCCGCTGTTGCCTCTTCTCGGTGGTCCCAGGCATGGCTGTATCATCCTGGTTCGTTGCTGGGTCCCACAGCACACAATGCACCACTGAGTACGGTTGACGAATCAATGCACGAATCTCTTCTGGAGAAGAGTTTGGGTCTCCAACATCCATTTGGAGAATTGGTGGAGGATCAATAACCCGGCGGTCGCGTTCACCAAACCCACAAGCTCGAGCCGCAATGGGCTGTTGACGCATCCGAAGTCTATACGTTGGCTGTCGTCGCGGCTCACTCACAGGACTACTCAGATTAGCAAATGCACTAAAAATTACGGCGGCTCGATTCGTACCTAGGACCATCACTCAAAAGTCCAGATATAGGCATGGATCTGCTCTGAGGCATTTGGCGCGGTGACTTAGAGTCTCGGCGCGTGTATGAAGCTTCGGAGGATTCTCCGCCAGCTTGTTGACCTTGATTTTGGTAGCGAATAGATAACTCAGCCGAGCCTCTTCGTCCTTGAACGGGATCTTTGACGATGTCTCTTCTTAGGGCAATCTTTTTGGCTGTTCTGCGTTGAGGGGCAACCCCTTGGTTAGATGGATTTGCTAAATGAAGCTGTGGTTGCAGGGCAACCAACGAAGATTCTGCGATATTCTGTGGAGAGTGTGAGTTCATGGGAGGTTGAGGAGGATAATATATATGCTGTACAGGTGCATTTGGATCAAATTGTGCCAGCCATAACGGATGCTTTGTCATGTTGTATGGAGGTTGAAATTGACGAGCAACGTAGGGACTCGACTGCGCCTCCTGCTCTTCGTGGTCGTGTCTCAGAAGGGATGCCATTGGGGGCAGAGAGGTAGGAGTCATGCGGGTGGGATCATCCATTGAAGGAGGGTATGTATAAGATGGTGGGGGAGGAGGCCCAGTATAACCTTTCGGAGGTTCTGTTCTTAACGACATGATTGGACAGCCGATGCAAACAGCAATAGAGTGTGGTAACGAGACTCTTCAAAGGGGAAAGGTATGGCCCAAGGTGACATGAGTAAAGATAGAACTATTTTGGAGAAGTCAGAAAGAGTAAGGTGGGAACGTGGAGAGGTTATAGGGGGGGTCATATATACCTGTCAATTGATGCTGCAGCTCAGGGCCCTTGCTGCATGAAGAAAACGAGTTCCCGGGCAGCGATCAAAAAGATATGCCTTCGCTCTGCCTTGGCCCGGTAATTCTGCACACCCTTTCATGCGGTACCAAACTTCTCGAGCTTTGGACGAAGTTCCGGATCTACCCTCTGTCTGTCTGTCCAACGGGTGACTGGGGACGGGGCCAGCTGTGTTGCACTGCGGCACCGAGCAGCGCTTAGCTGCAGTCAATTGATGCGGACAATTGGAGGCAAGGGGATGGTGTGATGAGTGTATTCGCGGGTGGAGAGGTTCTCGAGTCGTGGTTATTATGCGGCGGAGCGGGTGACTTTCTGCAGCGGACAGGAACGAAAATATAGGGTTACGCATCAAAAGGGGATTGGGGTTTCGAGAAGGCTGGACCCGACGTGGGAGATATATAGAGGAGGAAAAAGTCGCAGTGTCTCGCACACAGTTACGGGTAGGGCGGACGACGCGGGTCAAATCATCGTCCTGAATAGCAGCGGTGGTTGAGATTGGCTACCGGGTTCGTGGAACTTCGAATTGTTGGATCTCGATGGTGCGAAGTGGTGCAGGTGTGTGGCAGCTGAGGAGTGGAGGAATGCGTTGTCTGACTGAAAGAAGGAGAGGGGGGAGAAACAATGTCTCTGTCGATGATCGAGAAGTAGCATGAACATCGGAGAATTAAAAGAAGCGCGGCGAGCAGTACAAGTACAGTACGGGTCGTCCAAGGGAGGTTCGACTGGGGATGGGGATGGGGATGGGGATGGGGATGGGGATGGATGGGAATTAGGAGATTATTGGGACGAAAGGCGCGGCGCGGCGCGTCGAAATAGTAGCGAGCGGGGTCTGGGTGCGAGTCTGGAACCGACCTGAGTGAGTGAGTGACTTCTGCGTTCTGCGTTCTGCGTTCTGATTGAGGGGGAGAAGGAAAGTCGAAGGGAAAAAAGGAAGTTAGTTAGATCAAGGAAGAGAAGAAACGCCAGAGCCAAACAAGCGCGGGCGCGGAGCAGTTCCAAACCTGGCAGGAGACCCGTCGGTTCTGGCGCTGGCGCTGGCGCTGGAGAGAGAAGAAGTTTTAGCATGTGCAGCCACTGCCACTGCCAGCCAGCAAACCTGTACCGTACGGAGCACACTGTACTGTACTGTACTGTATTACATGGCTCATGGACGCTGCTGCAAGCCCCATGGGCATGGGTACGAGTGTGCAGACCGGCAGCATCCATGAAGGAAGGGGCAAACAGTTTGGATCTGTGAGCGCGCTGCCGCTGGGGCCCAGAAACCGGGTGGTCCAGTCAAGTCGAGTCAAGCCTCCGGGAACAGAGCAAGCAAGCAAGCCTGCCTGACCTTGATGCTGCTGCTGCCATCCATCGCGTCCAGCATTGGGTGGAGGAGTACGGTCAGCACTGTCTGGAGTCTCAGGAGCAGATGGGCATGATGCGCGCTGAATGGTGCCGCGGCGGCAGAGGCCCGTGGAATGCGTGGCTTGGGAGATGCGCAGGGATTGTTCCGTCCTGAGTGAGTGAGTGATTGTGCCGAATGCTGGATCGATGTCTGGATGTGCGATACAGTACATTGTTCAGAGCTGCTGAGCGGGAGCGGGAGCGGCTGGACGTGGGTTGGAGAAGAGAGTGAAGCCTGTCTTGCCTTCTTGCTTGTTCGGAGCAGGTGCCTCCTTCAGTCGTGGGCAGTCGTGGCGGCCTATTAATTATGGGACATTAAATTTCATTCATGGTGGAGTATTGCTCGCGAGGTCGACATCTTGGCAACGGGAAAAGGAACAAAAAGAACACATACAGTACAACAAGTTTAGTATTCGAACTAGATGGAACGGGGACTAGATTGATGTAACTTTACTTCGTTTCTGAGTACTGTACATTTATTTAGTTACTCATCCTTTTAGCTTCGCTACGCTGGAACCGAAAGTTTATTCGACATCGCTTACAGCCCTCGCTCACTAAGAAAGTAGTGTAGTGTAGTGTCTGTCTGGTTTGACTTTCGACTTCAAGCAAGTAATTTGCAGCAACATCCGCCATCCTCCACTCTATTCGCCATCCCGTCTCAACTGGCCAGCCAATTGTTTTGCCCATCCGCATTTCGTCCGCTTGGAGCTGCAATTGAGTTTTGTACAAGGAGAGCTCCCAATCCTCTGGTTGACGTATGTCAAATGGCATGCTTGCACCAAGGCTACCACCACCTACCGAACAACCCCCTCGGCATCAAGTCTCCCTCCTATCGATTCTCGAGAAGCGCATGAAGATGAAGCAGCCACAATACTCTACTACACTACACAGCCTACTGCGAATCCGTGCTCCTCTTCCCATGCGAAATAACCATACGAGTCCGATGACCCATTTGGAAAACGCTCCCACATATTTCCCACGACAAGCCTCCATACATGAAGCGATTGAGGGGCTGCTCCCGCTGCAGACCGCTAAGATGTCTCAGGCCCTGCCCAATATCACGAACCTCTGAACATCTGATGAGAACATCCCGCGCACATCAACCACTATTTTCCTTCCTTCCCGCCGTTGCACAGACTTTTCTTATTCCAACAACACGATCGTCAACCAGGTCATCTGGCGATAACACGGCAACAATTTCAAATCCATGCCTGGGAAGCTTTGGAACGTCTGTGTTTATCCCGCTGTGGGTTGCTTCTTTCGTGCACCACAACCGTCGTGACCCTGCTCGTGGAGGACAATCAAACCCGAATCATCGACTGCCTCCGTTACGTAGTCAGAAGGTCGAGGATTCATGGCAACGTCCCTGGTCGGACACACCCATCTGCCGGTGAACTGCGGGTCTTGAAGGACAACATAGGACGAGATCCACTATTGCAGGAGAGGTTGTACGCAATTGATGCACTGAATTGATAGTACAAGCCTCGTCTTGCCAGCGGGTGTTTCAATTGGAGGCCAGAGAATGTCATAGCATACTGCTTTACATCTTCAACTCAGACAGGTAACATCGGGAAGCACCCCCACGACGTCAAAGGTGGCCCCACCGTCAATGCTGGAACGCTGACGGCTGTATTCAGAAGTTGGCAGTTGACAGGTCACAAAGGTGTCGCCGCGGTGCGGATGTTGCACTGCGGACGATGACCGTCACAGGAAAGAATATGGGGCCCAAGAATATCCCTACAAATCCCTCCTGGGCAGAGCTTGCGGCCCACAGCGTAGCATGGCGGTGTACTTGACTGCTGGTCCTCCGAAATCATGGGTAGCCAGATATTTGTTTGATAGTGCAACTTTCCTGCAGAGAGACCAAGAGGTGGGGTTCAACCCGAATTCCTGGAGTCTGACTTCCAGGGGCAGCGGTGTCCTGCATTGAGCCTCGCCGTTCTCATCCAATCAACCAGCACAATCAATTAGCCATTTCTCGACAGCAGTCTGTTCGGCCGGATAGTCGGGATTGAAAGGCGGCTTCTGGAGACCTTGGGTCGCACCAACCGTACGGGCGCGTATTCTTGTGTACGGGATGTATTTCTCAAACATCAACCACGACCCCGTGTGAAATCTCAAGTACGACCTAGACTACGAAGTGGGTTACTGTACCGCGGCACAAGAGATCAGGCCATCGTGGCGAAGTGGGAAAGCCCTAAAATCAGATCGAGATCAAAGCCTGCTCAAAGGAAGAATGATCCCGGCTCTCTGAGCCATCGCTGATGACAACACTGCGACTTTTATGGACCAGCGTCGCATTGCCGGGAGGAGCAAGCCACCCCGCTCGGATTATCATTCTAGAAAAGCAATCATTTCGGCGGATTAGGGCTTCTGAATGGAATCCTTTCCGAGGTTGCATCGCCGATGCATTTCGAGGAAACGCTCTGAAGCCACGAGCCCGCCATCAATGCTGTCGCGGAGCATGAACCATCTGAGGGGTTGCACTTGCACAACCTCATTTCTATCCCTTGCTGCTGCTGCACGAGACGAGTTCTTTTCGACTTTATCAAACCTCTTGAACTTCTTTTTTCGCTTATGCTAAACTTCGAGCGCCATGGCATGAATCGTTGATCTTCAACAAGTGCCGGGCAGCTCCGCTGTCAAACCTTCCTTAGTGGGCCCACCATTATTCGCAAATATCCGATCGAAGATCAACGTCTGAAACATGCACCAACGACGCAGAGACAAACCGTCAACGGAATGCTTGTACCACATTCCATCGAGATCTATTGAATGAAGTTTTGTGAACCACCTGCCTTTTAGGAGTAGATCCAAGCTGCTATGGCTGCTTTCGGATGAGACCGTCTCGCTCTACCATAGGCTCCAGGCGCAAGACCGTCTCGCAATTTGGCAGCATGCATCACGACCGTTCTGAGAACCGGGCTCCTGGCAATGCGAAATCAGCCGCGATCTAACCAAACTCGTCTTCCCATGGTTTGATACCGCAGCTGACCTTCCCCCACGAGTCCAGCGGGACGATATTCGGCCCTTTCCAGCTCCTTCGTGGACGGAATATTGATATCAATCTACATCCCATCTAAGCAGTTGGCGAGTCAAACCGGGATCCAACATCCAGCGTCTCCAAAGAATGAGAGAAGCAAAGCAACGTTTGCTCGATTCGTAAATCACGACATCAATTCCATTCTCCGTGTAACCATGCTCCGCGTCTCAGCGAGGATCGTCGATTAGATAGTCGCGTCGTGTTCCTGGGTTGCACAAACATGCCAATCTCAGCGGTATGCAAATGTTTCTACAAGCGAGGTCATACAAGTGACAAGCTCGCGCTCTACCATTGGTGGACGGAACGATGCTGTCCTGTCGAGCTTGTCACGATCTCTCCCCAATATTCGGATCTACATGGGTCCAGTCTCACGGTAAGTTGTTTGCTTCCCTTCCTACCGCCGTAACCTCGCATTTTCCCTCGCTTCCGAGTCATAGGTTCCGAGGACTCGGCCGGCTACGAGTCGCTGACCGAATAACCGGGAATGCTGCCTTTGCCCGAGCATTCTGCCCAGGAGCATCACGATGTGACGATTTCGGGCACCGAACATACCTCAGAGTATTCACCTCGAAAATAAGCACCTTGACACAACTTAACGTTACCTTGGGTTGTTCAGCCTTCAAGTTAGCCAATATCTGCATGAGTGATGGCTTGGCATACGGTCTTTACGCTGCTGTGACCAGCAAACTTTGCACATTTGAAATCAGAACGGTCTTTGACCTCCGAAGTGTCGGTGAGATGATCAGCATCGTTCGACGTGCAAGAGTTACACTACATCGTTGAGGTCGGAAAGAAGATGACCTCGTGAACTGGGCGTGAGAGACGGATTTAGGTAACACATCGTGGTTCGGGCCTTTTCACTTCATGCGAGTTGCTACTTTTTTTTGCAAGTTGTCACTGCATAATCTTCCGAATGATCTCCCGTTGGGAGTACAGAGCGTGTGCGAAAAGGTTTTTGAGCGTTCTAGACTTTACGCCTCATGGCTAGCCTGTACAGGTGCCCGCGGGATGCTCAGGGAAGAGAGTTCACAATGGGCTCAAAGAGCGAGTTCTGTCACACATAAATGTTCTAGACATAGTTTTGGAATCATGAGGGCTAGAAGCTTGTTCTTTGAGATCAGGAGATGTTGTGCCAGCTTTTTCACTGTCAACAAGCATGAATGCAACATCTCGTGGCGGCGAGCGGCAGAGAAACGCTCACACGAATCTAACCTCCATGCTTTGACTCTGTATTGTGACTTCCTCTAGTACCTCCTTCCGTGGAATTAGTGGTTGCCTCTCAGAGTACTGGGTGAAGTTTGGCCTCTCATCTCGTCCACTTCAGCTTTCCAAAAGGATACCTCTCTAAAAGCATCTGGTGCATATCGCATCAGTCAGCTCAAGTCTTTTTCTGTATCTTCCTGCTCTTCATGCGTCTTGATCCTCGTTTGGATCTTCCTACCCCTCTTATCCCAAAAGTATGCACCTGGGACGGCACCTGGTCTCAGAGACTGAAGTCCAAAGAACTCGAGATTATGGAAACCCGTCGTCGTTGAGACCATTCATGGCGCAAAGGGCAGTTGGTGCGTACTGAGCAGAGAAATTAGATGGGTGGCGTTTCTTTCTCTGTCTTTATGCTCTAGTATTAAATACTGGACGTTACATAAAGCTACGAAGTTTTGTGGCGATCAGGAGGTGATGGAGGGACCTCTCCAATTCTCCAAGGTCTGTATGAGAGATCAACCATTCAGGAAGTGCGCATTATTCGTCGTTCTGTTCAGGCACCGCAAGTGTCCATCGAGTGACGTTGGACGAAAGAAGACCAGAGCAGTCATCTCGAGGAGACACTTATGGGAATTATGATCACAGTTGCACATCTCCAACTCATTCTTTCGAATGTGCTGAAAGTTAGATGCATCCATGTTTCCATTTCCTATTTCTAATCCATCTAGCATTACAATCAAAGTCATTTATTCCTCTAAATGCTCCCCACTTCCTCTTTGATTCGTTGAGCCTTATCTCTTCCTTACCTGACCCTCAACTCACAACTTCGCCCTCCCAACCTCAATACCCTTCCAAGCCAGCGCATCAAGCGGCTTGTAAACAGTGCCATCTAACCAGAAAAGCTTGTCTTGGTCCTTCTTTTGTCCCGCGTCCCAGGAGCGTTTCATGATATCTGTTTTGGACTTTTTGAATGTTGCTGTTGTTTCAATTCTGGGGTTAAGTGTTAGTGGTGACTGATAGGGGAAAATAAGGGCATCGGGGACGTACTCTTTGGTTATGCGTACGAGACGAGGTATGGCGTAGCCAGGGAGACCGGTTTTCTTGAGTCCGGTGTAGAGGCCGGACATGAACAGTGCGTCCCCGGCGTCGGTGGTGGAGTCGAGGGTTAACATTGCAGCGCCAGCTTGGCCGTCGTAGCTGGATACTGTTAGTTCCATACTTAATATTCGGGGATGGGCTTCAAGTGAAGCCATATTAATTGGCAAAACAACGTACCTTGCCAACTTAACCCCAAACACAACAGCATCCTGAACCCCATCTAACTTCGCAATATGATCCCTCACCTCCCCAGCACTCACATTCTCTCCCTTCCATCTAAACGTATCCCCCATCCTATCATGAAACCTCACCCACCCCTCCTTCTCATAAATCAGCAAATCCCCCATCTTCTGCCAAATATCCCCCTTCTTAAACACATCCCTCACAATCTTCTCCTCGGTCGCCTTCTCATTCCCCAAATACTCCGTCAACAACGCCCTATTTTTCACCCTCCCAATCACCTCCCCAGGCTCCCCAATCGAGGCCTTAGTACAGAACCCCGTCTTCGGATCCCGGATCAACTCCGCCGTATCAGGATCAACGCGAATCAGCAGCGTATCATCATCGAAGAAATTCCTCCGATAGAAACCCGTGAAGCCCACCTTCCCCGCGCCCCACGCTCCGCGGTTAAAGTTGTCGAACTTCGCGACTCCCTCCGTACTCCGATAAAACTCCCTCACCTCATCGATCCCGAAGCGTTCCTTGAATTTCTCCCAGATCTCGAAACGGAGGCCGTTCCCTGCTGCTACAGTGCAGGCGTGTTTCCGGTCGTACTCGCCCGGAGGAGAGGAGAGCAGGTATCGGCATAGTTCGCCGACGTACAGGATGCGGGTGGCGCGGGAGTCGTGGACATCTTTAAAGAATCTACTGGAGGAGAATTTGCGGGCCAAGCATAAGGTGCCGCTGTTGCCGATGGAGTAGGCGACGCCGGTGAAGAAGGCTGTTCCGTGGAACAATGGCAGGGGCGAGTACGTTCGTAAGGGGAAGTACTTGGTGGGGTTGAAGTAATCGGGGGAGCTGGGGATGGCGGTTAGGACGCATTGGTGGTTGCGGATTGCACAGGCTTTGGGCTTGCCGGTGGTGCCGGAGGTGAAGATTAGGCAGGAGAGCTCGGCTGGGGAGGATTTCGTGGCGGGGGTGATGGTGCTGGGTGTTGGGAGGAGGGAGGAGGTTAGGAGGGTGATGGGCGATTCGGGTGGTGGGGGAGGGATGGAGGGGAAGGCGTAGAGGGAGAGGGTGAAGTGGCGGCGGGGGCCGGTGATGAAGGGGGCCAAGTCTGGGGTCGAGATGACGGTGTTGGCTTGGGAGACTTTGAGGCAGTGTTCGAGGGTTGCGTCTGTGGATGATTAGTTATGGATCACGGGACTGAAGTGGAAAGGAGAGCGGTAACTGGAGAAGAGACTCGGTTTGAGTGAGAGAGAATAATACTGAGAGCATTGAAACGAGCTCAGAGTTCATAGATGGAAGAATCCAGGGCGAGAGAAGTGAGAAGTATAAGAACAGATTTACGCAAAAGACTCGGAACATGAGGAGCTGGGTAAAACGAAAGAAAAAGTAGCTGACCTCGAAGATTGATATTGATGAAGCCACAGATTGCACTCAATTTCGATAGAGCCAGGTAGATAATAACCATCTCTGGAGAATTGGTCGTAAATACCGCAACGGCATCTCCCTTCTTGATGCCTTCTTTCTCAAGGAAAGCTGCCAAGCGGTGTACATCTACCTCGTTTAGCCATTGATCTCGTTATATTCCGAAGCAGACTCACCTCTCTTCAACTCTCCATACGTCCAATCCCGTCCTTCAAACCACAGTGCATCAATGTTCGGATCCACCTGATCAAACATCTTGTACAACGTACACGTGTCTCCCAACTCCTGGATCTTCATCCCCAACCTCTGGCCGAACGACTTCTCATACTTAAGAGTCTTCAGATCTCTCCCAATCGACAACTTTGCATTCACATAGGCCGCTGCTGCAGTCAGAGCAGCAGCTCCGACGACTGCCGCTTGCTGCGATATAGGAAGTCCCACATCCATCTTCTCTCCTATTCACACCTCGTCAGAATTACCTATTCAAGGATAGTCCCTAGGTAAAGAAGAAGGCAGGTCTCTCCTCGGTATCTGGTGCTCGGTCATAAGCCAGGAGTGGAGTGATGAGATATCATAAATACGCAGTCTCGGTCGGTAATCAGAGGAGAGAAACCGCGGTTCGCGGTTATGTGAACAGAGTTTATAGGTTTCAGCAGCACTGCCGTACAATCCATCCGACCTCGCTAGAGGGAACGTTGGTTGGGTGAGGAACCCGGTCTGGTTACACTGCTCCACTTTTTAGCTGGAGGAGGGGCCCCAAAGCCCCACACTGGCGTTGTTCGTGAGTGACCCTGACGGCTGGGTCTAGTCTAGCCTCTAGTGGGATGAATACTTATGCGATTGAGGCACTTCACTCGGAGCTTCATATTTGACCTCCCTTCGTTCCTTGTCCAAACTCTGCAGACATATTTGTATTTCACATCGGATTGTTTATCTTTTGTTTCGTTCGAAAATAACAGTCACAATGACGACCGCAGGACAGAGACTATCGAGCGTGCTTTCACACCTGAACCCACTCTCTTCGGGGAGGAGTAAATTGCTGCAGAAGAACCCGGATGATATTGTACGACCCTTCGCTTGAAATATTGGATAAAGCTGACGGACAGGTCATCACATACGCAGCTCGAACACCTCTCACGAAAGCGAAGAAAGGTGGCCTCAAGGATACCCCAATTGACGACCTGTTGATTGCCCTATTAACGGTACTACCCCATATCCTCTCTACCACCAAGCTCACTGCTGATACCTGAGCAGATTGTCCGCGAACAATCGAAGCTCGACCCAAACCTCGTCGAAGATGTCTGTCTCGGAAACGTCCTCGCCCCAGGCCAAGGTTACATGGCCCGCGCCTCAGTCCTCGCAGCGGGCTACCCCGTAACGGCAGCAGCGAGCGTAGCCAATCGATTCTGCTCGTCCGGTCTCCTTGCAGTTCAGCAGATTGCCAACCAGATCATAGCAGGTAGCATCGAAGTAGGAATCGCGGTAGGAGCCGAGAGCATGTCTACATGTCCCGACAATGGAGCCCCAGTCCTCAGCACGAAGATCACCACACATTCGATCGCGAGCCAGAATCTGCAGCCGATGGGACAAACGAGCGAGAATGTCGCAGGGGATTTTGGCATAAGTAGAGAGAAGATGGATCAATTTGCCGCGACGAGCTTTCAGAGAGCAGAGAAGTCGCAGAAGGAGGGGTGGTCGAAGGATGAGATTGTGCCGATCACGGTACAGGTCAAGGATCCTAAGACTGGTGTTGTGGAGGAGAAGGTCATTGATCGTGATGATGGTATTAGATATGGAACAACTGCTGAGTCTTTGGGCAAGATCAGAGCTGCGTTCCCGCAATGGAGCCCGAGTCAGACAACGGGAGGGAATGCCTCGCAGATCACGGATGGTGCGGCTGCTATTTTGTTGATGAAGAGAAGCAAGGCGGAAGAGATAGGTCAGCCTATCTTGGGAAAATTCTGCGGAGCTACGATTGTGGGGCTCGAACCTAGGATCATGGGAATTGGTCCCAGTTATGCTATTCCCAAGATTCTGTCAAAGACGGGATTGACAATTGCCGATGTGGATGTTATTGAGATCAATGAGGCTTTTGCCAGCATGGGAGTCTATTGTGTTGAGAAGCTTGGGCTTGATCCTGAGAAGGTGAACCCAAGAGGTGGTGCTATGTAAGTATGCCGATGCTTTGTTGTGACGATGACTGACGGGCTGTAGTGCATTTGGACATCCATTGGGTTGCACGGGTGCGAGACAGATTGTTACTGCTCTTTCTGAGTTGAGAAGACAGGACAAGAGGATAGCGGTGACTTCGATGTGTGTCGGCACTGTAAGTATTCCCATGACTTGGGTGATTCAAAGCTGACCGGACATTCAGGGAATGGGCATGGCTGGTGTCTTTGTATCTGAGCATTGAAGCGAAAGCATGTGTATATGATTTGAATAGATTTTTTTGGCCACATAATCATTTCCTATTTTCATAAACGGGTGCCGGATCTTTCGGAGCCAAGTGGCGTTTTCGAGTGCTTGTTCAAGATCCATTAATACATATCTTGTGATGCCCGGTGTGGCCCAGTTGGATATCCATAGGAAAGTCTCTCTACAACAGTTTAAAATTTCAGAGCTTCACCGGCTTTGGTAGTGCCGATCGTGGGCTTGCTATCGCTGTTGTTCCACTGATCAGCATGCGAATGTTTGTTCAACTATATAGGTGGTTTGCTGCGCGCCTGTCTTCGATGAGGCTGAATACATTTTGTTGCATATCTTCGAAATCTTCGGATTTGGAACGGACTTTCAGAGCGTATAAAATTCCTAATGTATAACAGACATTTTGAAATTTGGTGCCCATCAAGTTGTTTGAGCTTGTCGCGCTTGATTTAGTGGATTAGAACAGAAAGCTATTCCAGCAAGAACTCGACTTGAAAGCCGCCTTCTATTCAGTCCAAATCTGCAGAGCAACAAAATGAAGAACTCGTATGCCGGTACTTGGCAAACTCAAGGTCGAAGAACGGAAGTCGTCACCGCCAAGATGAAATCCCGGCATTTCCCCACACAAGCTTAATCGCAAAATCGCGAGGCCGAACATACAAATTCTTCAGACGATGATTATTCCAAGGCGTTCAGCCATTCACATCAAAGTAATTCAGAATGAAATCGAATGTTGGCGGGTTACTTACATGTGCCGATGGAGTCTAGATGTTGTTTGAAACATTCTTTAGGCTAGGATCGCCAACATATACGCGGCGCCAAGAACGGTTGTCCACCCGCACAGACTTCTCCTGTGGCTTGCTGTCCAATGACAGCGCATATGTTGGAAATATTCTGTTTGGATGGAGAAGCTGGGATCGTGAAGTGGGCGACCGAGGTGGGCAGACATGAATTATATCACATGCACGTCCATAACCTAGATGCAGTTTTGATGTTGACGAGTTCTCGCAGGCTTCAGTCTCCACTGGCTATCCTACCAAGGAAAAGATGAGATGAGGTCTATGCAAGTTCATCACAACCCACAATGGGAGTAATATAAGTATATCTTACGTCCACCTTGCAATTGTTCTCTACCGCATTAGTTGTCATCGTCTTAAGTCTTTCGTTCTTGCCAGCTTTCACCATGTATTTCTCATCTCTACTTATCAGCGCTTTACTTGCTCCACTTTCAGTGGTCGCTCACCCAGGGCATCATGAAGCTCTCTCTTACAAGGAGATCACTCGTCGTGCTGGTCTTTCAAAACGCTGCGAAGGTGCTGCTGCATCGATGAATGCCAAGCGATGGCTTCGACATCAGGAGCGTCGTTCTCTCGCTGCTCGTGCCAACACAACGGTTGTAATTACCACCGAAGCACCATACTACGACGTGATCCAAAACGACACTTGCGTTCTTACTCCCGAGGTTACTACGGGTCCTTACATCTGGCCACAATCCCAAACTCTTCGTCAAGACATGGCTGAAGACCAACCAGGTGTCCCACTTTACCTCGATATCGGAGTCCTAGACACCAATACCTGCGAGCCTCTCGAAGGAGTACTGGTCGATCTCTGGCACTGCAATGCCACTGGTTCTTACTCCTCCTTCGAAGCACTCGACCCCAACACACCATTCGCCGAACTCCTAGAATCACTCAACAAAACAATTGGTCCCGATCTCGACCTGCACACCGGCAATTCAACCTTCCTGCGAGGAATGTGGCCCACAGACGCCAACGGAATGATGGAAATGAAGACCATCTTCCCAGGATTCTACGTCCAGCGAGCCATTCATATTCATGCTCAAGTACACACCAATTGGGTTGTGGGGATCAATGGCACCATTGTTTCTGATGAAACAATTAGTACTGGACAAATTTTCTTTGCGGAGGATTTGAGTGAGCAGATTATGGCTTTGGAGCCGTATGCTAGTCACACTCAGATTAACAGGACTACGAATGCTGTTGGTAAGTTTCATATTATGAAGTATAATTTTGAGCTGGAGCTAATTGAGAGTAGATTCTATTTACTCTTCTGAGGATACAGCTGGGTTTGACCCGGTAATGGCGATTGTGCCGCTTGATGGCGAAGATGTTACGAAAGGGATGGTTGGCTACCTTACCTTGGGTGTTGCTGCTTAAGATATGCGCTGTGCAGAAGCTTAGCCTAGGGCAATTGGTACTGATTTTGACCTGTATATATCTGATTCAATGATTTATTCAAACAGTCGATCACTTCTGCAACGTGATAATTTTATGTTCACATTCTCGAGTCGCTGCAAAGTGAGAGTCGAATGTGGGGTCAAATGGCAATGCGGCTGCGGGGTAATTTTATTGTTGAGTTTCTTGTCGAGTATTAATTATTTCTGAAACAAAAGTTAGACAATCTTGAATTAATGAAACGAAGTGCCTGAAGTGCCTCCATTGTCTGTTAAAGGCGATAAGTGTATTCTTCATTGATGATTGATATCATGACTAATAACAATACATGGCCTAGATCAACGCCACCTCTCGCTTAGAACCCCTTTAAGTCTTGGTTTTACGTAGCTTGAAAGCTGACTCGACGCCGGGGGCACAGCAATGAGCTGAAGCACAGCCCTTGAAGTCACTCTAACCTTCATCTTCCTTCAATCCTTTTTTCTTGAAATCAAAATTAAAACGAGTACAAACCATGGACGTCTCAACACTCCTCCAACAATTCGAAGATCTCAATCACTCCGAACGAGTGAGACGCATGGTAGAGCTTGGCACAGAGTCCAAGAACAACGACACGGCGAGAGAAACCATCAATGTTCTTAATTATGGGTCATTGTACGAGAAAGCTTTGGCATTGGAAACATGCTATGGTAGCCGAAACATCACGATCGCTCAGCAGGCGCTGGCATCCTCCTCCAGACACCTGAGGAAACGAGCTTTGAACCTAATAGGACTTCTTGGTACTGATGAGGAATTTCTTGATGCACTTCGGAGAGTACCAAATAATCTACAGATTCATACTATACGACGCTTTCGAGACGCTCGTCGGCATCGGCAGCGACTTCGGGTGATCGAGACATTTCTGGAAGAACTGGAGAAGACGAATCGCGACCCCAATCTATTCAGGAGCCTTATTTCTCTTGGTTCCAAAGAAATCCTAGAACGGCATCTTCCTGGGTTGATTGACGGCGTTTCGTTCAGAGACTGGTCTGAGCTTGCGAAATATCATCCCGATGTTGCGCAGAAAGCACTTCAAGATTGGATTGATCAATCTTCTGAAGATGAAGATCTGCTTGTCGAAACCGTCGTTCACGTTCTTCGTCAGTGGATGGCCCACGAATACAACATTGGCCGTGCTGTTACCCTCTTTAAAGCAGCACATAAGAAGATCTCCATAGATTGGCTGCCTGTGAGGGAGCTAGCTGGGAAACGACCAAAAGAGCTTTTTCAAATTCTACTTGACAGCGACGAAGACATAGAGGAACATGTATTGGAGAGGTTGGAGTCCAGGATCCTTCGAAAGCTTCCGCTAAGCCAGTTCCTCGAGGTCTTCAAACGCTATCCATTTGTGATAGATTCGTGGAACGCCCCTGACAGTTTTGACGATCTTACCATTGAGCAGCGTAAAGCGGTGTACAAGATCGTTCATGTGGGTTGGCGGAACCAAGGTGGAATCATTACACAACTTAGTCTTGAGAAGCTACCAAGAGAAGAACGTATTCTTGAAGCTCGTAGACACCTCACGAGTAGTAAATTTGTTACCAATCCAGAAAGGAAAATCAAATACGTTGCTTTGCTCCCCTGGGACGAGGCAGTGGAGCTACAAGCACCTTTCCTGCGCTCAAGTGATGCGGACACTCGTGCGTCCGCACTCAAATGTCAAATTTCAGCTACCAAGTTCGACGATTCACATCTCAATGATGCACTGCAGCTTGCATTGGCACGGAAGAACGAGCAAGATCCAGTCAAAAAGGAGATGATTGCAGGATTGGTAGAGATACCGGCTTCTCGATGGAAAGAAAGTCACTTGAATGACCTGGGAAATATATTGCGCAACCTTCTGGACACTTCAGATACCTCTACCTGGACACTGTACAGTATGACGGATCTGGTTACGGGGATCATTTCGTACCACCCTCGTTGGGCGGCGAAACAGCTAGCCACTATTATTCGGGAGCGCAAACCCCCGTTGAATCGATTTTGGCTTTCGGGATATATTCCAGTCAAGAACGTGATGGAGGTGTTGGCGGAAGAAATGTCTCCAGTACTCGCAAATCTGCTGAAGAAAAAGGATGGAGCCACTCTGGAGAACATAGCTACAGCTTTCGACAAGATGACCAAGCACTGGCCTGAACTTCTGGATACTTGTGAGAAAGTTTTGAATGATTCAGAGATGAAGCAACACCATACGGCAATGTTGAATATCCTGAAGGAGCACCAACCTCGCTCTTGGAATCGTGTCATCCCGTCACTTCTTGCAGGGAATAGAGAGGTAGCATGTGAGGCTGTTGTTTTGAAGTATATCCATACAAGAGAGCAGAAGTTTCTTTGGAGCTATCTCAAATCTGGAGACGAAACCAAAAGAGACAGAAGAAAAGCACTCGGACATTTGAGCAACAGTAGAGTCGGCTTCTGGCGATGGACACAAACTCAACAAGAAGCACTCACAACGATCTTGCTTGACGAATGCAACGACCAAGAGCTGGAGTCGGATAAGAAAACTAGTAACATCAAACAGCTCAGTGCTTTAGCCTTTGTGGACCCCTCTCATCTCATCAACTTCGCAAATGATGATGAAAGTCCCATTGTTCAAGAAGTTGCTCTAAGATCATTGGGAAAGTTGGGTGGAGGCCAAGGAGTCCCCGTTCTTATCGAGGCTCTGTCTGATAAACGTGCTCGAATCGCAATATATGCTCTGCGTACTGTGCTCAAAAGCATGCCAAAAGCCGAAGTATTCTCCATCTTGAAATCAGTTCCTCAGACAAAAGTCACCGTTGCAAAAGAGACTTTGCGCTTGATTGGAGAACTTGAAACTGACGAAGCATTCACGTGGCTTCTGGAGAAAGGCAAAGAGAGTCTCCATCTTGACGTTCGTCTTGCTCTTTTCAAGGCACTACTGTCTTTTACAGATCGCGATGAAACGTGGGAGTTCTTTGAAGGTGTGGCAAACGATCCAGAACCAGACATGGTCAAGATCGTAGCGACAATTCCAGAAGACGGTCTTTTGTCAAAAGCCAAAGAGCGCTTGTTGGCGCTTCTACTTCAGCTCCTTGCTCATTCGGATCCTGTTGTCAGAATAGCAGCTCTCAGGCGTTGTCATTCAAATCCTATTCACGACCCGGACAATCTTCTCGCACCTCGACTCTTTGAGCTTGTTCATTCAGATATCAAGAACGAGGGTGAGGCGGCATCAGAAGCTATCTTCAAGACATATGCTACCTCCAATATCGAACTTATACGAGATACTTATCGCAAGCTTATTCATAACAGAGAAAGGCTTGGATTCTTCCATGATCAGTATTGGTCCGTGGCATATGGCAGGAAGAAGATGTTCAATCCTGTTACTCACATGATCCTCGATGTTCTGAAGGAAGATCGATTTTCAGTCAAACGTCGAGTCAAACTCATGTTTGATGCCTTGTATTGGCCAGAAATCAAACCTCACATCTTTGAAATTGTGCCCGAGCTGCACGCAGATGCGCTGGTCGAGGCTGAGAAGGTCATTGAAGAAAATTCGACAAGATGGAAGACGGAAAAGGATGACTTGTTGGAAGCTGAGTTGGAGATGGCTAAAAGTGGAGACGAGAGAGCGAGAAGATTAGCATTGTCATTCTTGATTGGCGGTGTAGACGAGAACAAGGGATGGAAAAGAGCGGAGTCTGACCGACTTGAGATATATAAGCAGGACTCTTCGCCATTGGTGGCTGAAAGGGCTTGGGAGGTTGAGATTGACGAGGAGGCCAATGACTTGGATGATAAGGAGAGCACATGATTTATCAAAGAGCTCTGAAATCTAAAAATCTTTCGGGCTTGCTCATATGAAATGGGTTCTATAAAGTACAAGGGGACAATTGCATGAATGACAAAAAACGCCCACGATACCCAACTCATAGTTCTGTACCTCTGATATTCTGCACAATTTGAAACTCGCCCAACATCATGTTAGGCTGCATGGCCTTCCCTGCTTCGTTTCGTAGAACCATAGTCGTATTGACACCAAGCTTAATCAACTCATCCATGACATCTCTAACCCTTGTAATGGGAGTGAGGTCCTTGAGTTGATACGTGATTTGATGTCCACCCATCATGCCGTAAAGCTTGGACCTCCTAAGCATGATGACAGTCAAGGGATTTGGAACGGGCCAGAGAGGACCGCCAGGGCCAGGATTCGGCCCCGGATTGTTGCCGATTGGGACGAAGGGCGCTGGGTTGATAGACTGGATGACAGGAGCGGGAGCAACCATAGGAGTGAAGGCGGGTGCAACCGCGTTCAAACGTCGTCCAGGAACGAATTGTGCTGCAGCCGGGTTGAAAGCTGGAGCTGCAGGATTGATCTGAGCAAAGGCGGGCCGAGGAGCAGGTGGTGCTTGGCCAGGAAATACGGGCGTGAAGGACCAACCAGCTTGCTGATCTTGAGGAGCTGCAGCAGGTGGTTGAGGAAATAGAGGCGCGAGAGGAAAGCCACCTGGCTGATTTTGAGGAGCATTCGCGGGGTTTCCATTTACTTTATTAGAATACCACTGTTGAGACAATTGAGGTTCTTGATATGGCGCGTGAGTCCCGATATTCGTTCCGTTGGCTATCCGTATTGCATCAATGTGGTTGGCTGACCGAACGACCAATTCTCCTACTGGTACTCTCTTGGAAGGATTTATGAGCAGGCATTCTGCAATGAGAGACCGAAGTCCTTTGCTATACATGGATCTTTGAGGATTTTTTTCTGCCTCCAAGTCTTGCGATGCACCAATAGTGTTACCGCCTGTTTGAAGACGTGTCGTCATGTTCGAAGTGTAGCATTGGAGCTATAGACAAATTAGTATGCACTTTTGACAGAAATCTGGGAGCTGAGGAGTTGGAAAACATATTTTTCGATGAGCAGCTTTCGAGAATAATCTCGAAGACCTCGGCCGGAATACGAAACAAGGACAAGATTGACGTACCTTGTCTGGGTCGTTCTCTCTTAAGCCTCCCCAGTTCGGGGAACGATTGTGTGGTTGGCGCATAAGAACGTGCATGATCAATCCCACTTGCCAAATATTACTTGGAGTTCCAAACTGTCGACCTGGAACCGATCTGCTAAATGCCTGTGAACTATCAGTCGGATTACGGACAAAATGGGCAAGATAGCTTACCGAAAGCCACGGTCGTTCGTTGGGAAAGTATCGAGAAAGTGCGGCATGATTCATCGCTGAAACTTGCTCCTGTTCGTCAACAGTTAGCAGATGGCATAGTGATAGGTGATCAAAATAGTGTCTTACTGGTAAGTACCACGGAACAGTGCCCGTGTTACTGACACTATCCATCCAAAATGGACTTTGAATTCGTGGTACCGCTGTTGCAAGGCCGAAATCAGACATCTAGCAAATGATTTTAGCACTCTGTCTTGTTTGTTAAGTCATACGGACCTTGTAGGAGGGGGTATTCCTATGTTCGGTGTCATCCAGTGTTGCGCCGACCAGGACTGAGAAGGTTAGTCATGTAAAATCTCCCCGGAAAATATGCATTACCATTTTCAAGTTTCAGGTCAAAGTGAACGATCTCTGTTCCAACCCATGCTTGCCGCGCGAGATCCTCGCTTCCACGATCTAGGACCATACATGCCCTCGCCAGACACTGGAAAACACACCAGAGTTCGTACTCAGGAATAGGCTTGTTTCTACAGTATGACTTAGTCTCAATTGCGATTCTTAGTGTGGAAATACATACTGGTTCATCCATTTTCCTAGCCAATCGTGAAGATCTCCCCCTGGGCAATACTCTAGGAATATTCGATGGACTATTCCATGATCAAATTCGTCTGTTTGCTGACCTACTTCTTCATAAAGTTGACGATACATTCGCACAATATGAGGCGTATTCGCTTTTTGCAAAAGATGAAGCAACTGTGATTCTTTCTCAAGTCCATCACCCCACCTGTAGGTCGGACCCGCTTTAACGGCTTGTTTGACAGCGACATCTTTTAATGTTTTCTTGTCACGATCCGGACCCTCGTAAGTCCAATAACCGACCACTCCCTGACCTCCCCTCCCGAGGACTCTGACTGGCTTCCAGCCCTTGCCGACTCGGTTTTTCCATTTACTTTCAGAAGCCATCCATGCTTTGCCAGTATATGCTTCAGACTTTGCAGCCTGCGCCTTTTTGAATGCTTCGATGGTCGCGAAGTCCCATTTCCAAGCGTCAACAGGATTAGAGTCTGGTAGTGGTGGAATTTGATTTGGGAACTTGGGGGTTTGACCAGGTTGTGGGTCTGGGGGCAGGGGCGGATACTTGAGAAAGGGGACTGCGTTTGTTGCTTTATTCAAGGCATCTGCAAGATCCTGCATCCTAACTGGAGCTGAATTTGCCATTTCATATGCAAAATCCTGCAGCCTAACTGGAGTTGACTGTGCCATTTCGGTGGCGACGCACAGAATACTGCGACACTCAAACTAGGAGTTGCAATAGCGAGAAGTATTTGCCTGCAAAGCCCAAACAAAATCCCTCGAAGGTAATAGGAAAAGAAGACTGGACATTGGTCTTTCTAAAATAAAGCGCCATTGTAAGATGATTGCATTCATACATTGCATTGTTTCTACTTGTGCTCATTGTTGCATGCGGTCAGACATGATATTCTTTGTTCCTTTTCTCCAAAACGGCATTAAATATATGAACCTTGTTTGCCCTTAGAATTGGACAAAGAGAATATTGAATAACTGGACAAGAATGCGCATAATGGAATTGATCGTCAAATTGAGCACAAAATTCTACCAACTATCGTCCACATCCCACAACGTTTTATCGGTCACGTGACCATAACTTTAATGGATAATGGACAGACGGAGCCCGAGCAATGAGACAGAAAAGATACATTGGAACAGAATTATGTACTAGACATTTCGTAAGATGTGCAGAGTGAATGTTGGAGATGGCCCCTTCCAAGGCTGTGAAAGAGCAGCTAATCACGTGAAATTCTTGTTTGCCACCTCAGAGTGCCTCGTGTTCGTGGTCTTCGAAATAACGTAGATTTGCGAACTCCACAGAAAGACTATCATCGTTTTTTACACCAGAATGTGTAGACTACTTGTCAAACGCCTGGTCATCTTCACCTGAAGTCTCAGCTGGAGATGTTGCCACCTCAACGCGCCCGTGATGGCTTTGCGCCCGCGAGCGTGAGTGCGAGATTTGCCCAAAGCCAGCCAACACACACATTGAAGATGACCGCCTTGGAGGAGGAACGCACTTGACAGCTTCTCGTCATCTTGACTCACTGCTTGCCTCAGCCTGGAAGCATATTGCGAGCGAGAGCTCCGACGGGGAAACTGATGCCCGATTTCAAAGTAGATAAGGTCACGTGTACTGGCGTTTACTTTAATTCCGAACGATGTTGACATGGCCTCCATTCGCTAGGGAATCTTTAGCGAGCTACAAGCCGAATCGGGAGGAACTTCTTCCCGAACGAAAGTTTATATCGATACCCATATCTATATACAACACCGTGTGCGTCAGATCTCAAGATGATTATATATATGTTGATCATCTCCGTGGAGAATTGGATTCAGCATTCTCGCAACAAAACTCTTGTTAATCAAGGTCTTATAGTCTTTCCGTCCTTTTATTTCGACAGATTTCAAAACCCAATAATTAACATACCACAATCTCACAGCCACGCTAAAGATTGCAATGTCTCTGGTACCACTCTTCATTCAGCCTTTCCGGACACTCCGTCTTCCTCCTCATGGCTCCTTTGAATCACAGACTGTAATTGTCACAGGTGCAAATACTGGGCTTGGTCTCGAAACGGCACGACATATTGTCTCTCTCGGGGCTGCAAAGGTTATACTTGGCGTACGTACTATCACGAAAGGCGATGCCGCAAAAGCAGATATTGAAGCAACCGTTGGACGGAAAGGAGTTATTGAAGTTTGGGAGCTGGATTTGGAGAGTTTCGATAGTGTTAAAAGCTTCGCGAGCCGTGCCGCGAAGCTTTCAAGACTCGACACTGCAATCATGAATGCAGGTCTTGCAAGTGCGCAGTGGAAGGTAAGTAAGCATGGTTGGGAAAGGACGATCCAAGTCAATGCCTTGTCTACAAGTCTATTGTCTCTTCTCCTCTTGCCCATCATGGTTAGAACCAAGAGAGCTTTGCCCGGTACTCAACCGCATTTTGTCATTCTTGGAAGCGATGTTCACGCCATGGCGAAGTTTGAAGAACGAACGGCAGCGAACAGTCTGGAAGCTCTGAACGATCACGAACTTTGGAAGAAGGCAATTGATAAGAATCCAGCTGAAAGATACTGGGTCAGCAAGCTCCTGGATTCTTACTTGACAATCGAATTAGCGCAGCTTGTCCCAACTATCAATGGAGACCCGGCTGTCATTGTTGATGTGGTTGCACCGGGATTCTGCAAATCCGAGTTGCTAAGCCGGGAGCCAGGGGTGCCTTTTATTCTGGTGGTGCTGCAAACTTTGACTGGTAGGACGCTACCAGAGGGAAGTAAAACTGTCGTGGATGCTGCAGTGAGGGGGAGGGATGCACATGGGCAATATCTCAACCACCAGAAGATCACAACGTTTGTCTCCCCAGTCCCTTCCAGTATCTCGGCAAGGCTAACTTCTGGTAGTCAGGGCACTTTGGTTACATCAGATGAAGGCGTCCGCGTCAGGAAGAAGATTTGGGGTGAGATTCTGCAGGTCCTCGAGGCTGTCGCACCAGAGATTGGTCGGATTACGAATGGCGATCTGTGAGCAGGGCGCAATTGTTGTGCGTTTTATGTTTCTTTCTCGGGCGTAATAATTGGCTTATTGAAATTCAGAGAGCTTTTCTCGTGGCCATACAATACCTTAATATTATCATAGTTTCGCCGAGGAACGAGAGCCTTGTGTTGACGCAATGAGGCTGTGGCTTTGCTTATCCATGCTGCTGCTGCTGCTGAAGTGCAGCAGACTAATGCACGAATTTTCGGCCCACACTACATTTCTCGGGCCTGAAGCAAAAAAGTGCCTATCGTATCTGCGTTGGGAAGTAACACCCGCAGCACAAGAAAGACCACCATTTCTAGCCATTCGGATCCTTTCCAAGTCAGCCCTGATTTGCGGAAGCAGTTTTCGGGCAAAGGCATCACATGGCACTTTTTTCGAATACAAAAGAGCTTGTGCTACCTCAATTTACATACATTTCCTGAAGTCTTTTGACCCTCTGAACTCTCTAACTTCATATCTTGCAATAAGGTCATCTACACCGCTTTCATGTCCTTCTAGATGCCTCGTATCCAGCCGTGTTCGCCTTGTTTTTGCCTTATGTCGGTCTCAACATGATTCGTGTGTACTCTGGCAGAGGGGGGAGGGCGTCCGCATATTTAGTTCATCATGCGACACCATTGACTCAACAAACATCCAAAACTCCCTGTGGTTTTGAAGAGGAAGAACTTCGGAGGGGTAACGTCAGGCTGTCAGATTTAACCCGATCCGCGGCCTTCTTAACGGCATTTCCCACCACCCACTATCAACGTTCCGCACCAAAGCAAAGAGAAGAAGATATTGCTTGTTATGCAATGTTTTGATGTTTCTTTTCCGATGACGGACTGTGTTGGCTTTCCCGGAAAGATGGTTCCCGGGACAGCTAACAAATACTTTCTGGCTCGGTACTCGGACGTTGAGCAGCGATGCATCAGACACACCAGGGATTGAGATGTCCAGGGGCTGTGTAACTTTTCTCGGTGAGTACTTTGGGATGTTCTACATGGCCTCAATATTAGGCTCTGGTTGCCTTGCAGTCACCATTCGCGAATACATCTTCATGATACACCCCTGGACTTTCTCGCTTGGACGTGGTTTCTTATTCAACCACAAGTTACATGAGCTGGGTCGAAGATCTAAATCGCAGCTGTAGCTAGTATCACAGCTGGGAGAACCATCGAAGAAGGAATATCTGTTCGTTGTCACACCGCCGGTCAATACCCTTGGAGACGCCCGCTCGCTGGGGCTCTACCCTCGAAGTCTACGGGCGAAGCGAACCGCTGCAGGCATGACTGACCCCTTTTCCCAGGGACCGAAGATTCTGCGTCCAGGATCGATTCCAAGGGTGATGTGTATCTGCCAGCCTTCTTTGGTCAATGAGTGGCGAGTCTAGAAGATACAAAATTCTTCCATTGCCGCTCACTATCGATTTTTAAATGGAAGGGGAACCAAACCACCCAATCGATAATCGCAGCTCAGCTTTTCCAACAGCTTGGGCATGGGAGCTGTAGCAATGGATTCCGAAGACTGTGAGGCAGAACGTCAAGTCTCAATAGCAAGGTGAATGCCCTGACGTCGTTGCCCTCATTTCCTCCGAAAGACGTGGCGACTGGCTATCATTCAAGATGATCCAAGGCAGCTGTTCCAAGCCGTTTCATGCTGAGCACTCAAGCTCCTGTGCTGAGCTCAAATATAAAGGTGATTCTGGCCGCCAGAACGGTCTCATTTCCAACAATCTCGAAACATAATCTTATGCAGACGAGATCAGCATCATGAGTCACCGCCCTCGAGTCTCTTGTCCTATTGCAGGCTGTTCCAAGACCTTTTCACGCCCAGCGGATAAGTCTCGCCATATAGATGAAGTTCATGGTGATCTCAAGCAATGTCCAGTCGAAGGTTGTGGTTGGCAAAATGCCAAACGTAAAGGTCGACTTGAAGCACATATGAAGAAGAAGCACCAGGAGCTCGTCAGTGGTAAGTCAATCCATGCAACAGTAAGCATTGAAAGTATCTAATTTTTCCTTTAGTTCCCCTTGACATTTCTGCCCTCTCGACCCAGCAACAGCAACAACAGCAGCAGCAAGCAGCATCAACTTACGCATATGGTATGTAACAAATCGCAATTACGGTCGGAATACTGATAATTCCAGCGAGTGGGCAATCGACAAGTTATCAATATCCAAACACTACTGCTATGGGCACCGCATACGACAACGGGCAATCAATGCAATCGGCAGCTACCTACACCCAACCACTACAATACTATTACCCTCCCACGACTCAGCCAGCAACGTACGGAGATGGGACCCAGATCACAGTGGATGAAGGTGTTGGAAACCAAGATTCGGGCTATATCCAGGACGAAGATGTCTCTGAAGATGCCAACGATCAACAGTACCAACAGAACTATTGGCATGCTGAAGATTAGGTTCTATACCTCCTGTACCACAACATTTGTACGAAGTTGGGCTGCGTATCTATTTCTTGGTGGTAGATTGAGTTACATTTTTGATCTAGACAATTATAATCAAAAAGTCGTGTAGTTGATAAAACCAATGCTTCTAGAACAAGTGACTACAGCCTCATCCAAGACTCTAAATCTGCCATATTACCGACAGCTTGTTACCCCTTGCATTTCGGAGTATTTCCACGTGGCATTATCATTGTGACGGCACATATGAAGTATGATGGAGGCGGGGCAAGCCTTCTTGCATATTTTGGAATTCTCTAATCTGTTTACGTCTTTGTGGAAATCACACAGTAGCTGCATCAAACTATGAGGCTGAGCTGCGAGACCGAAGAATTGGAACTACTGCATCTGAGATTGGTCTGAGACATACGCCGCGGGCCGAAAGAATGATAACGGGCTGTGTTGGCTGGGTTTATGCGTTTATTGGTGAGGCCCGTTTCGGTGCTCGCTTAGGTCAAAAAGCCCCCTATTTGGGATGAGGAGACGAATGGACCCTTGTTGTCGCACAAAAGCTCGAAATTTTTGATTTGGTGATTCCAAACGCATCATTATAGATTGCTTGATAGCCTCGTGCCACTTCGTAACAGCACATTGACATGTCTACCTTTTTCTCACTCCAGCCGCTGCGGCCGCATACTCAACGCCCGATCTATATTGCCCCTTTCATCTGATAGCACACCGTCTGTGAAGGAAGAAATGTGATTTGATCCAAATTTAAATGAGATTTGGTGTTCGCATCTCACCCGTGTGAGGCGTTTAACGCCCGTTGAACATCATTAGGGCGGCGACTGAAGTTTTGGAACAAGGCTTGAGGAGGCTCATTGTATACAGGGATTCATGCAGGGCTGAGCCCTGAGAAGTGGGTAGATCAGATACAGGGGAGAGGCAAAAAGTGATGTAAGATAGCGTTACATCAAGTCCACCAAGCGCTTAATGTGAATGAGACTTCTTCAAACAACCTATGTGAGGTAGAGTTACCCTGGTAGAACTTAAATGTGGCCCAGCAATAGCACCATGAAGTGAGCACCATGTGGAGTTCATGGATGTTCCAGCTTATCAGCGGACATATAGGAGGGGAATTCGTTTCAAGTGGCCAGACATCCGACTGCATCTAAATTATGTTGAAGTGCCTAGATGAATGTCCAAGCTTTTGAGTGGACCCTGTTGTGATCGCAAAGTAAGATATCACACAAGGATACAGAAGCCGAGGGTAGGACAGACTTTTCCAGAATACTCCACTGAAATAGTGCATACGCAACATACCAAGCATCATCGGAGTAGTGAAGTTTCAGGAAGTTGTGGCTCACCACTGTAATCTCCACTTGAGCATTAATTTAGCTTGTTCTCAAGCCGCCTCGTCATACTCTGACCCTCTCTCCGAAGTTGAATGTAGCGATCATCCACCGCCAAGCACGATGTCCGACTGAAAATTTTTGATACACTTGGAAATTTGAAGGTACCAGGCTGGTATGAGAGACCAGAAATGGTGGAGGACGACAAACCCATGGTAACTACGCAAATTATGTGAGACTTACTTGCTGAAATGGGAGCACATATCACTTGGCCAAAAAAATGCACATTCATATCTTCGGTGACTTTCATTGAAGTTAGGTACGGTTGCCGAAGCCAAGTTTCATAAGACAACACTCTCTCAGTATCCCGTTTCTTGCTTCCTGCATCCTGTATCGTCACTTGCTCCTCCCCTACTCAATCCGTCTCCAAGCTCGCACCCGTCGCCTGTCTTCAAGTAGAAATTGTAGCCATCTCCTTTCTGCTGATAGCTTCTACGCATCGAATTGAAGTTACTGTCCATCCAGACATATCCCGCACATGAAAAAAGCGACCACCTGACGCGAAATCTCCCGGAACGACTGAAACATGTTAGCACTGGTACCATCCAGTTCCAGAAGGGAGACCTCGACATACTGTTTACATTCTGTGGAAGCAGAAAGTACCTCAAGCGAGCTCTGGCTGCTTGAAAGTTCTTCATCAAGGCCAATGACTCGGCCTCCAACAAGCTCCATGAAGGATTGTCGCGACGTCTCAAAAGTTCACGAGTGAACGGCGCAAAGTTGTCTATTTCAAAAGAAAGAATCTTCTTCAGCTTCCAGTCCATATTATTTCGTGGCTCCACAAAGATAACATCGTCATCAGCAGCAGCAGCAGCCGTATACCCGAGCACTAGAGTCAACTCTCGAACTCCGATTTCCATGAGCATGTCCATAAACACACTAAATGACTGAAGTCCGTAGGTGCAGAACCACTCCCACATAGCCCATGAGATGGCAAATTTCAAAGGCGCAATCGGCTTCAGCGTGCTAGATAAAGAAACATGATTGCAAGTCCATGCTTGTCGCATCTTTCTGTCCATTCTTTCGTTAGGATAAAAGTCATCCTTCCCTCCCGAATCAGAATGTACTAAGTACCACACAGTATCAACGTCCCCATTGATGTAAATCTTCGGTAAGGAATCGGACTCTTCTTGACTTCGGTTCTCTGACGGGGCGTACAGATTGTGCTGGAGTTGCAAGGCCTCTGTTCGGGAAGCTTCACACGCACTCAGAAGTGCTGGTTGGTTCCCCACTGGTAAGAAAAGGTGTCCAACAGCTTTGTCAAACCTATGTCTGAGTACGACAACTCGAGGTTCGCTCAGAGCTGATCGAAATATCTTTCGTCGGAGTTCAAGGGGAAGTCTGGAAAATCGGCAGAACGGTACACCAGAGTTCTCTTGCGCCGCCAGAAGCTGGCGATCCATGTTCTTGACCTCCAGCTGCAAGCTCTTGTTCTGTTGTCGTACCAAAGTGACACTTTGATCAAGCTCCTGAACTTTTGCGGACAGTCCTTGATTATGCTTCTCAGCCAACGCCATGTTCAGCTTGAGAGTGTCGACCGCCGCGAGGAGAGAGTGGAAAGCCTCCATGGAGATTTGTATCGTTCCGCCGGTCGCAGAAGCCTCAAGTGCTGGTGTCTTTGGAGAAGCTGGAACCATGAGGACCATACTCTCGTTGACGTTTGTGCCCGAGTCGTCGGCGGAGGACTGGGTAGACAATTTGGAAGAGGGCATTGAGACGATTCTGATTGTCGTGTTGTTCGCGGAAGATATCAGTTTGTAGTGTTGAGGGAAGATGTAGAGTAGATGAGACTTGCGACAGGGGATAGATGTTGTGGTTACAAAGTTGAGTTCCGTCCTAATGGATCTTTAGTAATTGTCTTTTGCGTGATTGACGCGGAGCTTGTTAGTTGAATTAGTTTCCCGTACGGGGAACGCGCCAGCGCCTATACTAACATACTTAAAACGTGATTTGAGGCATAGTAACCGATTAGCAATCTGATGGGCCTCATCCCACTCGACTATTAAAACATTGTATTGTATACATCAACGACTTCTCCGAGGATGTGAGCGCCTAAGTCAAACAGTTGAAGTGGGCTACTTGAGCTCTGGAAATGGCGACGAATTGGCTCTACCGTGTTAGTTGGTTTCTATGATATGATTTTGGAAAAAGGAATATGGTCGTATAAGATACAGGGCTGCCAGCCAATCATATCTTGTTTCCGACAGCTGGGAGGAAGAACTTGGTTATGAAATCATATCTTAGAAACCAATTAATGCTGTACTTATTTAGAAAGAGATAATCCACGGGGCTATTCAATTTTACCAATGCACCCGGCTTTACAACCTTGACTTAAACTTTGGGCTATCGCCTAGTCGACCTGCCAATTTTCAAAACTTCGAACATCACCAGCAAGTGTTTGTGCTCTTCTTGACATGGACACCAACGACGAATTCTGGAGCAGTGGGAGCACTCATCTCAGTAAAGAACAATGCAGTTCAAATAAGCGGAATGAGAAGATAGAGACTGTCTATGAGCAGCAGCATAAAAATCGAATAATATCTTAAGGTTGATCCCATCATGGCTTTTGAATGCACTAGCATTTCAATTTCACCTTTTCCTCGCGCGCATGGTACTAATTGATAGTGGATACACGGCAAACTTAGTCCTAAGATCGCCCTTCTATCTCTACCTGACTTCACACATGCCGAAATCAAGCAATAACATTACTTTGAGTACTCACTCACATATCAACGTACAACGCACTCTTGCCGAACTCACCAGTACCACTCTATTCACACCCTTAATCACCTCATCTCCCCCTTCAACAACCCCCATCACAACCTCAATAACTCACCACCAACCCCACCGCCTCACACCCCTCCACAACCACCTTCCCAATCTTCAAACTGCCCCCAATCGTCCCATACCCGACACCATCCGGACAAACATACGTCTTCGTCAACCTCGTGTCCCCCTCACTCGTGACCTCGCAACTCAACTGCCCGGCATACACATGACACGTCGGTGGATTCTGGCCGTCGGCTACGACGGAGGGCGGAGAGAAGAAGATGGTTTCGTCGTAGGCGTCGTTGTTGGTGTTGGCTTCTAGGAGTGAGAGAGTGGAGGTCGTGTTTGAGAGGTGGGAGAGGATGTGTCCGCCTGGGGAAGTTAGTTGGGTGGGAGAAGGGGGAGGGAAGGAGGGAGAGTACCGGAAGAGTCGAGGGTGAAGGTTGTTGCGGGGATGGTGGGGTCGGATGTGAAGTAGAGGAGGCCGAAATAGGGGTCTGCTGGGTCGATGTAGATGTATGCTTGTTGGCCGTTTAGGGTTGTGTTTGTGCTGTTTGCGGTTAGGGTGAAGGGGGCTGAGTCGCTGGTAGAGTTTTTAGTGTGGGATTTGGAGAGGTGGGAGAAGGCCGTACGCAAGAGATAGGGTTGAGAAGGTTAGGATGAGGAAGGTGGTGATTAAGGAGGCGAGCATTTTGGGGTTTGGCTTGAGCTTGAGGATGAAAGTAGGAATATTCAAGTCGCGAAGTAACTAAATTCAGTTTAGCTATGTGAATTGATCTAGGATTCATCACTTACTCTCGATCCTCAAACTTGCCTCATGTGGTTTCCCACCAAAGAACTAGGTTAATCACTACCGCTACCAAGGTCAGGCCATACCACCAGGGAAAACTCTCGCTCCCAAAAGTCTCACACTCGATCTTTTAGCCAAGCTTTCCAGCACCTTCAAACTTATACAACCCACACCTCTCCCCTGAACCCCTTTCACCAACAATTTTACCAGGTTACCCCAAAACTTGACCCAGATAAGAGATACTCCGTCAATATCATCGCAGATTCGTATCTCACCGCACCACTTTCAAGCCACAATATCGTATATCACCAAATGCAGATAGCCCGCACAGACCATAATCTCGCATCTTTAGCCTGTACGGCCTAAATTAGCCGTCATCAATATTCCTGAATGAGCGGATGTCGGATATGTTCTGAATTCAGTCCATGTCTAGTGTTCCTTGCTATGTATACAGTATTCGATGCAATTATTAACGACGTCCTTCAACTTGTCGTCGGAACTTGGGAAAGCAGAAAACACTTTGTCACGATCCCCCGGAATACAAGCGAGCCAAACCCCTGATCTTAGCGAGCGTATTAACGGTCTTTTGGCCCGAGGAATTAGAGCATACCTATATCCTGACAAGCCGAATCTCCAATCCCATCTCAGACAACCTCGGTTTTAAAATGTCCCAATCTGTTTACGCACAATTATTGACAAGATTCGCGGTCTCGATCTAAATCCCATTTAGTTCCGCCCCATACCTTTAACCTTAGCATGTGGGGTCACGGGCCGCCCGGAACTCCACCCCTCTCCACCTCACCCCGCTACGGCCCGCTCCACTCGCCCGCCGCCCCTCAACAGAGTCCAAATCCAAGCGGACCCATGGATAGTTTCGGCTCCGCGGACAACAACATTGACCTTCTAAAAGTGATCCTGCCTGCTATATTCATTCCATTCCATTTTATATCGTTCCCTCTGTCCCCATGGTCAGTGCCGTCGACGGACAATGAACTCTCGAATGTATGTATGGCACATTGAAAAATGAATAGTCACCTTCTCTCACACCCCACTCTGTATTGTATTGCATTGCCTTGCCATATTCCTGTTCTAAATTACGCAATCTTTATAAAGCCCAGCCTTCTCTGCTCCTCTTTTCCGCGCTGCAGGCCTCGATAGTATGTAAGACGCCACGCTTCAAGAAGAGCTGTCAGTCACTAGAACGATGTGTCGCCTCTGGGATCGATCGGCGGTTGTATTGTTATCTTCAGAATCGGTATCCTTAATGGAAAAGAACTCGCGTTCAAATCCCTGCACGTGCTTCTTCTTCTCCTCTGCCGTTCAAATGTCAATTTTCTGTGTCCGACATTTTCGGGGTCCGAGGGTTTGGGTTTAAGACGGATATCTATCCTTTCTTTTCGCCTCCCCAACAATGGACATAGCGCAAAAGTCCTAGGAAAATAGGGAATTAATTCAGAAGGCACTCGAGTTCCAGCAAAAGCTAGGACTTCATAGCTGTTAACACAACAAATTTCATTTCATCTACCAAATAAACCCAAAACCAAAGAACTCCATCAATAAACAAACAAACTCTACATACAATTCCTCTTCCCTTCTCCTCCCCCCCGCTGCACCCCAATCATCTCGCCTTCCCATCCGGCAAACTCAACCAAACCAACCCCCCTACTACTGTAATAGTAACCACCGCCGTCAAGAACCCCGCCCCAACCTTCTCCCCACCCGTCGGCGGCAACAACGCCGTCGGATCCTGACTACTCCCCGTACTCGTCCCAGCACTCGGATCGCCCTGACTCGTGCCGCCCGAACTGCCCGTCAACGGCGCGGCGGCCTGCTGGATCAGATTACTCTGGATGACCTCCAGCGCGGCCATCTGCTGGCCGACGCCCGAGGTGCCGTCCCAGACGGCGCCTTTGTACCAGGAGAGGCCGCACATGCGGCCGTTGGGGTGGTCGGCTGGCGAGCCGGAACACTGCAGCGCGGCTTGGCGGGCGGAGGTTTGCAGGAGGACCATGACGCGGTCGTAAATGAAGGGGGCGACTTTGGTGGAGGCGGCGAGCCAGCGGGTGAGGTAGGCTTTCAGAGAGAGCATGTCGATGGTGCAGTGGATGAGGGTGGCTTCGCAGGTTACTTCGAAGCCGGTGTTGTTGGGGAAGAAGACGTTGATTGTTTGGTTGAGGAGGCCTTCGACGCGGGTTTGCCAGAGGGCTTGGGTGCTTCCGTTTGTCTGGGATAATGTTAGGATGGGGGTTAGGGGGGGAGGGGAGGGGAGACGTACGTAGTTGTACATTGTTGCGGCGCCGAGGAGGAAGATGCCTGCGTTGTAGGAGAATTGTTGTTTGTTGATGATGGTGCAGTTGGTGCCTGTGTCTGTGCCGTCAAAGACGTTGTAGCTATTATCGATGAGACCAACAGCTGTTAGCCAATCCCAGGTCGATGTAGCTGTGTCGGCATAGCTGTCGTTGCCCGTATATCGAGCTAATCGAGCAGCGATGTTGAAGAAGCATCCGTTTGCAATGGAGTTCTTGTAGTTGTATCCGTTGAGGAATGGATACGCTTGCCAACGTAGACCACCTCCACAGACAGTGTCGAAGCGAGCTAGTTGGGTGTTGTGCACGGCAATAGCAAGCGAGAGCCATTGTGGCTGGTCTGATGGTGGGTTTGTGAAGTTTAGTTCAGCTGCAGTCATTGCTGACAAGCCCCAGAAACCTATGGAGGTCAGCTGCTGGTTTGTCGCGTTGATGGAGTAGAGGAATTACCTTGATCATCGTTGCCCATGCCGTTTGTTTGATTTGCGGGGAGATAATCATCACCGGAGCCTACTTGGTAGAGGAGGCCTTGCTGTACAACATCGTTATATGTTGAATCGCCTGTGTAATACCAGCTAGGGGTTGGTTAGTCACGTTCATTCAAATGAGGTGATTGAGTAGTCCATCGAGATCCCCAGTTACGAGTAGAACTAATGGCAAAACAAAGCTCAAGGAGTAGGTAGACCTACTAATCGATCAAAGCACCAAACATTCCACCAGCCTCCCACCAAAAGTACCCCGCATCCGTGATGGTAGGATTCGGAGGCGGACCTGGCAACAGACCTGGCGTTTGACCCGAGTAATTTCCCCGGTAATAGGTCATCATGTCATAAGCTATTGTACTTGCGACAGACTTTATCGAATCTGGATCACGTGTCAGTATATTCTTCCGTAGAAAAGGGGCTTGAAGTGATACAGACCTTGAGAGGTGAGGTCGAGATCAATCCCCATCGCGACCCGGCTACAGACGCTCAACAGCGCCAGCACCGACAGGCGGGGCGCAAAGGACCGCATCATGTCGCGATCATCCGTGGATGGATATCAATCTGAGCAATGCTGAGCGAGTGTGTGAATATTGATTGATATCGAAAGGAGGAAGAGGAGTCGGCGGATGTGATTCTCGATTGATGCGCTGAGTCAGCTTGTAGATTATTGCGATGAACGAGTGGTTGGTTGGTTGGAGCGACCGCGAGATGGACGATTGACAATCAGCTCAATCAGGCATCAAAAGCTTAATTACGATAACCCCTCAAAACAGAACGATTTAGGGACTCTCAAAGTTTGCGCAATTATTTCATATCGCGCGCGAGCAGGAATTATATTATGGGACAGCGATCGAAGACGGAGGACGGAGCAGGGCACGTTGGCACCGAGGAGTTGGCGAGGCAAGCCTTGTTTCCGTACCCGCCACACCTGATTGAATATATGAAGGAAGACGAGGACGACCTGGCAGTCGCGACATGGGGAGGAAGAAGGCAAATGGGATTTACGTAGACAAGCTTTGGAACTTGTACAGATCAAGGAAAATACTACGATCATAATAATGTAATGCGTTTGTTTCAGTATTTCGTCTTTCATTCATAGGATTCCTTGGCCAAACCGTTTGCCTTTCTGGCTTCACTCACTCACTCACTCACTCACTCACTCACTCACCCACTGCCAGCAATATTGTAAGATTACGTGCATTGGATATCTTTCCCGGAGATAATCAGATCCTATCCTATCCTCTCTCTTCCCCTTCTCCCCAGCAGCAGGATCAGACTATCCGCGGATCACCTTACCTGGGGCGAGGCACAGCTGACGCTTTAATCTCCCTCACAGCATCTGTCCATGATCTGTCGGTCCGTGTATGATGCGCGTCTGCCAACGGTTGGCTGGGAAGGTCGCATTTTGCTGTCCCTGCAGGGCTCGCACCGGTAAATACGAGAAAATTCATAAAATTCCTCATCCTCCATACGAGGATCAGAGGGGCAAGCTGGGGTTCAGTGGTGCCGATTGGGGAAATCGGGTCGATCAGATTGGGGCTGTGTCAAGGAACCAGACAGAACCAGAACCAGAACCAGGACGGGTTTGTCTCTGTCACTCACGGTCGCGGTCATTGTTGCTGTCAGCTGCAGGAGAGGGAGAGGAGGTGCGACGAGGGATTGCGTGAAGAATAATGAATGAATGATGAATGAACGATGAATGAATGGCCTGTCCTTGACTGACATCTGCCATCTCCTGATACGACTGCATCGTACACTATTATTTCCCCCATTATTGTTCCATCCCGCCGCCGTTGCTGTGGATGTGGATGCGTGTATGCAGGATTTAGCGACGTCGGTGGCACCTGGTCCTGTTTCTCCCCTGACCGCATTTGACGATTCTCCATCGGATCGCCAAGTGCCAAACCAACTTTCTTTAACCTTAATCCATTCATTCATTCTTTTGTTAACACCCACCATCCACCTCCCACGACTGCGAATTGTGATCTCTCCATCTTCCTTCGGACAATCTTCGACCCTCGCTGAATGCAGCACGACACTCGTTTCTCCTCTCCCTCGATGCAGCATTAAATATCCCCGACGCCTTCTTCAGCCCGCACGTCCGCGACGCCGTTCGTGACACCAAACTTGGATAACCGTCACGATGCGTTTCAACCCCGCCACGACAGCGGCTCTGGCCGTTCTCTCGCTGATGGGAATGGTTTCAGCAGACCGGATCTTCGAATCGTCATCGTTGGACAGCTGTCAGAGTAATTCCAGCTTCACCGCCAGCTTGTTCACCATCGTCTTCGCTCCGGATAACAGGACGTTGGCCCTGAACGTTATTGGCGATTCTTCCGTGACGGGAAATGTCACCTTCAAGGTCCATGCGAGTGTTTATGGGTATACGTTCCTCACGGAAACATTGGATCCTTGCACGTTGGGGCTGGCCAGCATGTGTCCCATGAGCTCCATCCAAACCGACTTCGATACAATCTACACCAACGTTTCTGCGTCAGTTATTGGAAGGATACCAAACATTGCATACCAGATTCCAGACTTGGATGCAGTGGTTACTGTTTATATGTATTCGGTTGACGATCCGACCGTGAGTCTGGCTTGTTTGGAAGCTAGGATCTCGAATGGCAAAACGGTGGATCAAGTAGGGGTACGATGGGCCACGGCGGTCATCTCCATCGTGGGACTCATTGTCTCGGGAATCATCTCCAGTCTCGGATTTACGAATACTGCTGCGCATATGATGATCTACACCCTATCGCTGTTCAGCTACTTCCAAGCAGTTGCTATAATCGGTCTTTGTGCAGTTCCTCTACCTCCGATCGTTCAATCGTGGACGCAAGATATGAGTTGGTCTGTGGGAGTGATTAATGTTGGGTTTCTGCAGAGATTCGCAAGATGGTATCAGATCGCAACTGGTGGTACGCCTTCGACGATTCTCACGACTCTATCCACAAAGTCCGTCCAAGTCGCCAAGCGCAGCATGGAAACAGCCCTGTCCCGGCGAGCTACAACCGAAACAACAGCGAGTGGGGACTACATTGTCACGGGCATAGCTAGACTTGCTTATATTGAAGGTATGGAGGCAACGAACTTGTTCTTCACAGCAGCCATCTTCTACTTCATTTTCGTGGTCTTTGGCGTCATTCTTGTGCTCCTCTACAAGGCGCTCTGCGAGCTGTTGATCCGATCGAAAAAGATAGGAAGCGAATCCCATCTTTTCCATTTCATCCACAATGGGTGGCGTATCACTCTCAAGGGCACGATTTTCCGATTGATCCTGATTGGCTATCCACCTATGATGATTCTGTCTCTCTGGGAGTTTACGCAGGATGATTCTCCCGCTGAGATCTTCTTGGCTGTTGTGTTCTTCTTTGGAATGTCCACTGCTCTGGCATATGCCTCTTTCAAGGTCTTTAAAATTGCCAAACGCTCTGAGCAGATGTACAAGACAGCAGCGTACTCCTTGTACGCTGACGCCACCATCTTGAACAAGTGGGGCTTTTTGTACACTCAGTACAAAGCATCAGCATACCTTTACATCATCCCAATGTTCGTGTATGCTCTGCTGAAGGCCGCATTTGTTGGACTGGGACAAAAGAGTAGAGAAACACAAGCAATTGCTCTCGTCATGATCGAAGCCTTTGCTCTCATCGGAGCTTCCGTGGTTCGCCCATGGATGGATAAAACAACAAACGCCATCAACATTTCCATCTGCGTCATCAACTTTCTCAATGCCATCATGCTCCTAATCTTCACCAACGTCTTCGACGGCCCCGGCCTCCTTATCGGCGTCCTCGGCGTCGTATTCTTCATCGCCAACGTGGTCTTCGCCCTCGCCCTCCTCGTAATCGTCCTCTTCGTCATTGCACTATCCTTCATCCGCAAAGACCCAGACACCCAATACCTACCAGTAGCCGACAACCGCGCCTCGTTCATCAAGTCCCAAACCACACTAAACCAAGAACTCGACGCCCTCGGCGCCACTGCCCGCGGTCAAGGCATGAGTCAAGAGAAATTTGACGGCATCGACCACCGCATGAACTCCCTGAACTCGAATCACCAACGCACGTACTCCAACCTGGCGTACGATCATAGCCGCCCCATCACGCCCATCATGCAGAGTCCGGCGTTCGCGCCAGCGGCGTATAAGGATGAGGATCTGCCGAGCTCGAGGAGTGGGGACATGTATCGAAATAGTGATAGTGTGTCGGCGAGGTCGACTATCGAGCCGGGGTTTAGGGCGGGGAGTCCGGCTTCGAATCTTTCGGCTGCGAATAGGGGGCAGAATAAGTAAGATTCCCTTTTCGTTGCTCGGTGGTGCGAGGTTACTAACTGGAATACAGTATGTGGCAGCGTGGAGCAGGATACACGTGAAATGAAATTAAGGGGAGGACGTTTGTAGCAGCATAGCTCGGCGGTGTTTTCTGGAACTGGATTCTGGCGTTAGGGCATTCAATGGGTTTCTTGTCTGGAGTGGATCACGTGGAGAAGGGTGGAAGTGTATATAGATCTTCTATTCTATTCTATTCTTTTGTAATAACAGTTCTCCTGATTAGGATGGCTTTCTTCATCTTCTCTGTCTGAGATTTTGGGGTGATGGAAAGGAGAGAGGTGATGTTCCGCTCTGAGAGAGTTTCGAGCGATTATATCGGGAGTTTCGCTTTGTTTACATTACATCTTACCTTTCTATAGTGTTAACGCAAGCGGAATTCACGGTCGATTGTTTTACTTCTCATATATCCATAGCCTCCCCCAAAAATATGGGTGACCCCAATTAAATCGCTAGTCGCGAATCCATCTCTCTCAGTTCTCTACTCTTGTACCGTAGCGCGCGCACGAACTCCCTTCTCTGTCTGCACACTGCTTATTTATCTGAATTTGTCCCATCTTGGGGACAAATCTCAAGTGAACAACATTTTCCATCTCAGATGATGATTAGTATGAAATGACAATGACAGGAAAGGATAGGACTTGAATTAATTCCCTCCTAAACTCGCAATCTTCCTATCCATCTAAAGAGCCAGTATACTTCTTCATACTTTAAACGAACCTCAATGACCTCACTCAGCTCGAGGTGTGCTACTGCTACTGCCGCTTCTGTACTTGCAAGGAAAGAGGCCATCGACCTGGATGGCAAGCAAAACCTGGGAAAATGGAAGGCTAACCGGAGAAATCCACGTGATTGGAAGGAATGGTTGATGGATTTGCTTGGTAGCTCCTTTTGGTTTGTTTTTCGTGGGTTTTACTTGTTTGGCTTGAAATTCGCTTGTTTTTCTCGGGCTCGGACGCGCCGGGCTACGATTTCTCGGGTGATGGCCCTACTGCGTATCATGAGTTCGATATTGGTAGCTAGTAGCGACAAGGTACCACATGGAGCCTAGTACAAAATGTAAGAGCTGCTTGCCTAAGTACTGCAGTGATTCGGATCTTGTATTTCATCTTGTGCCTTTGGAGATTTTCGTGATTGGAAGTCCTTGATGAGCGCAAGTCTAGGTCCTGTGTCGGGGGATGATTATGATACTTTTTGCCTGCCAGCTTCAGTGTTTTGATGTTTGGCGATGGTGTTGTTAAAACAAGATCTTGGAATGCTTCTGAAGAGTCTTGTCTTGTTTTGGTACTGTAGAGATTCAGGTGATTCAAGGCGACTGGAGATGTGTTGTCTTAGAATTGCTCGGTTAGTATGGAGGTATTCAGTGATCCCTTAGAGGGAGGGTAGGACGAACGGACAGTGGCAGTGGTTGAACCGCCGCATGCGTCTCTTTGTTGGAGTACTTTCATCATGGCTTCTTCTCTGTAATGGTCTGATATCATCTTTTGGAAGTTGGCAGCAAACAGGGCTAATGATAGCTGCAATATAGCATCAGGGCATTCGAATTGTCACAAAGAAATCAGTAATGCAAAGTATGCTATGGCATTCATCCAGTTCAATACGAAATGCACCTTGTTTCCATGCTCCCTACTCCCAAACTCTCATAACCACCCATCAATCCCATCCAACCCACACCCCCCAAACCCATCTACTCATAAGTAACCGTCACGGTACTCCCCGAAATCGTAGTCGAAGTCAGAATCTTCCCACTCGAACTCTCCAACTCAATATTAATGGCCCCATCTCCACCCGGTGTCTCCGTAACCCCGTTAATAATCGCGCTCGCTCCAGTAAATGTGACGGTTCCGAAATTGGCAAAGGGGACCAGCGAGCCGTTGGATTCGAAGTCCTCGACGATCCACTCGGCGCTGGTGCCGGGCAGGCTGGAGCCTTGGTTCGTGAAGGTGTGGGTTACGGTCGTGCCGCCGCTGGTGAGTTTGGTGGTTCCGCTGTTGGTGCCGGTCTTGGTGGCTGTGACGGTCACTTTGGGAAGTTAGGACTTGCTCCTTTCATATAAAGAACAGGAGCTGGATCTTTGGGAGGGGGATGGATCTTGTTCCAGCGCTCGAATTTGTGAAAGGGGGCGAGGAGGGGGGACAAGGAAAGAGGCTGCTTACCGACTGATCCTGAAGTTACGGTGATGCCGGAGTATTCAACCACTGGAGTGTGTTAGTACCGGTTTTGCTTCAATGACAAGAACTGGGGAGGGAAGAAGTGTTCCTTGGGAACAGGGTGAGCTACTTACAAGAAGCGGGGAGGTACTCGTACCAAGCCTCGTACAAGTACTCTCCATTCTGAATACACCAGAGAACACCAGTCTGAATCAGATCATCATCACTATACCCATCAATTCCCACCCAAGCCGCTCCGCAATACTCGGTACTGGAACTCCCTCCCGACGGAACGCTGGGCTTCGGAACCGTAAAAGTCCCGGTAACCTCAGTGACGCCTGAGGTAGAGATAGCAGCACCGGCCCAGTTGGTGGACTCGACGGTAGTTGCGCTCCCGTTGACCACGGCATCAGGAGCTCCCTTGAAAGTGCCGGACTTGCGGGCTGCGGAGCGGGCACGGACGGCGTTCACGGCGGCTTGCTTGCGAGAGGCGAGGGGGCTTGCCAAGGCGGCAGTGGCTAATGCGGCTAGAGTAAGGAACTTCATGTTGGAGGAAGGATTCCGGATGAATGCAGGGAGACAAGGTGGTAGACAGAGAAGGATCTGATAGAGACTAGAGTATCGTATTGCCGGCTTCTGCTGTACACGGATCCAACGTCAACGACGGGTTGGCAATTAGGACTTTATATTAATTTGCATCTCTTCCATCTATATCTATATCTGCATCTGCATCTGCCTCTCTGCAGCTGGTGATCGTCCTCACTCACGCCCACAGCTCACGCACAATTCGGCTCTCGACCGAAATAGGAATGTATGATCCATTCAGGATCCTCTCCAGACCTCACAACCACCATGGTATGTATGGTAAAGGCTGCCCCCCCTCGGACAAACTAAGGAAACAAACTATTGAAAACGTACCGCAGCCCCCTCCCCTCTCCCCCGTCCGTGCCCACATCCTACCAACCTGCCTATTCCAGAGCGCCGCCGTGGCGATAAGGCGCGATAAGATATGGTGCCTGATGGGTGCCGAAAAGCTTATCTGCTACAGTACTGCACCGAGCACGATTGTTACTGTATGCAGAGGATGCTTAATCGGCAGGGGCGGGCGATCCCGCTTTAGCGGGGTATTGTAACGCTACCTACACCTACACCTACCTAGGTATTCTTGCAAAGGTGGGTGGGCAGGATGTGGTCCCAACGCCTTCCTTCTAGATCCTCGACTGTGGGAAGTCTGGCGCAATTGTTCCTCATGTAACATCTTACCTAAGCTGAGGTTGCAGTACCTTCCACATCGAGTGAGAGAGAGCATTCGGCTTCTTCCTTTGGGCGTTTACAAACCGGCTTGGCGCCTGCACTGCCGGACGTGGGGAACGGGAACAAAACGTGAACAGAGCAAGAAGTCCGTCTTCTCACTCTCTCTTCCTCTCCTTCCTCCTGCCGTCTTTGTCCTTCCCGCGGCAAGCTATCTCGAATCCCTCTGCTCTTGCAAGGAAACCCCCGTTTTCCCTACCTTGACAAATGCATAGCTGTCAAAATATGTCAGCCCTCGCAGCAAATCGCAATTGGGCTTCGGTTCTTCAACGAGAGCGATCTGCAAGTCCAGCCTTAAGTCGCAGCAAAAACCATCCCATATCTCCATGCACCGGGAAACGTTACTACTGACAGGGCTAGGTATAGGTAGCTGAAAGTGGGGTGCTTGGCAAGATGGGATGAACTCGGACCACAACCTTAAAATAGAGGGGGCTTCTTAGCCGCATCGCATTGCGGAGTCATTCGTCCGTTAAGGATATCTGTAGATCTTTTCTCGTTGAGGAGAACTGATTGCGCGGCCGGCCAAGAGATAGAGTTTAACTCAGCTTACAGTAGTCGGAGTGATCAAAATTCCGGCTCGGGGTTTTAAGGCAGGAAGTGCGACATGGGTCGATATATGCCGCAAGACGGAAAAACTTTTGAAGCAGAATTATTCCTTTGATGTTGAACAATAGATGCGTCGAAGCTCGACATACGCTCGCTCATTTCTTCTAGGCAGGTGATAAAGATACCCAAAGCCTTCAAGATGGATCAGGAAGGAGGTTCCCTTTCATTCCGGTGTGTTGTCTTTCACTCCCGTGTGTCGTCCCATCAAGCCTTGCAAGACAGAACTAAAAGCTTGACACATGCGGCTTGACGGGAAAAAAAAAGCCACAGTGCACACTACTTTGTTCGAGCTGCAGAAATGAGGCTCTTGAACGCGTGGGGGAAGGGATTCGATGTACGTAAAATGTCGTGTCATAGCAAGCTTGCTTGAATAATGTGTATCAAGATTTCCAGTGTCATGCAAGCCGTTGTCCTCGAGAGGATGAAAAGGGGTTACAAGCGAGGGTTCACGTGATTGATGGACACGCTTGAACCGCTAAGACTTCTTCGGTATTGCTGCGAATAGAGTTTGGAGCTTGGGCATTGCTGGAAGATCGCGTCTTCCGCCTCGCCTTTTTGACTGATGGCTACTGGGTGAATGGGAAGGTTGAAGAGCTTGCTCTTAACCATAAAGGAGTCAACCCACAAAATTGGCACTGTCTCAAGCGGCGCTTGCTTGATGTAGATGGGAGAGAACAGCGAGGAAGGGGAAGCGAAAAGAATATGAACAGAATAAACAAGGCTAGAAGAAGACTATAAGAATGTATGCGCTTGTCCATGGTGCAAACAGGCCTCATGCTGATATGCGAGTGCCCAGATCATGAGGATCGAATGAACATCTGCAGAAGAAATATGATCGCAGACTAGACATCTTCATAGGGTAAAGTATCGGGCGGCCAGCCATGATAACCCAGATGCAAGCTAAACATCCTTTCTGTTAGATGGAAGAGCTGATGAAAGAGGGCATAGCTTCTTGTACTAGTCAAGAGCGCCAAGTGCTTTGATGTTTTGAGAACAACATCATGCTAGCATCTCTGATAGTAAAACCGAGTTTTGGGGTTGGAAATTGACCTTTCCAACCTTTTTATCGCGTTTTGATAAATAGACTCATTGTACTAACGACATTTAGCGTCCACGATAGTAGCTCACAGAGAGCGGGAAAAGTCTCCCAGACAGTCAATCCCTCCATCCTGGATGAATAGTTTAGAAACATTAGTCCATCTCTTGGATGCAAGAGAACATGAAGGTAATGTTTTCTCCAGTCTGCCAAGACCTTTTCGGCTGACTGGATGTGAGGCTTCTTTCGCTGCTCACTGATCTCCAGCCAAATGCCGAAGCACTCGATTCCATCTCGGGGAGGTTGTGATTATCCAATTGAGAGGACGTAATTCCTTTACATTAAAAGGTCAATAATGTTTATTACGGTAAGTATAAACCAGATTATGATCCATCCCTGTGTCTCTTTCGAGATCTTTGATCATTGTTCTTGTCGGGAAAGGACAGTTCTTTTCGTTGACTTGGTTGTGCTTGTGTCGTCGATTGTCCAGGCAAAGCTGAGGGTAGCTTCTCGCGATGATGAGGTTGAAGGCAGCGCTTAGGATGAAAATGACTGGTGAAAGCTTAGCGTTTAGCACCGGACTGGCTGGAGAGAGCGTGAGGGTGACAACTATGTGATTGGATAGGAATTTCCCTTGGTATTGTAGGGTCTGGGTTTATGTATTTGCTATAGCCCGCTAGCCATCATGCGAAAGCTAACTTGTCTGGTATCACAGATCGTGTATGAAAATCTGGTGCAGTGGACTCAAAATAGTATATTCGATTCGAAGGCGGTTCGTATCTGGTGGTTTTGGAAGAGGAACTGGCAAGTGTTTGGTTGAAGTCTTCCGTAAATACGGTTGAACTAACTTGTATCTCGACTGGTGGTAGGGAGAGCCCCTATGGTGATACACTTTCGACTGTAACGTATTCAACAATGAAAGATGCCCTCAGAGTCTTGGAAGGATCGATGCCCGCCTAATCAAGTGAGCTTGTGCCTCCTGTGGTTTTTGATGGATCTTCAGAAGCTAGAACAGTAATTAGATGATGGCGAAGATTGTTCGTCTGCAAATACTTCTGGGAAGGGAGGAAGTCCTGCAAGATTCTGAAGAATCGAGGTAAGCCACATAGCGTCTCATGGAGGAGTGCAATGCAGCACAGTTGCGATTTACCTCTGTGCTTGTTCCAGACTGACATAGCATCAGATGCCTTGGATGGGACTAATACATATGGTGTTGTGTTAGGGTCATCAACCCGGAAAACCCTTTGGCTAGCGGACAATGATGTAGCGTTATAGTCGGCTTGGCGCCGAGCCGGGCCGCTGACGACGAAGCTAAAGCAACCCGATCAGCTTTATACTACAGATTTTGTTCCCTTCCTTCTTTGCTTCATATTCTGCACTCGAAATCTATCTGCTCCGATATCGAGATGTCCGCTTCCCCAGGCCCGGATCCGCGCCTCGAAGGCAGAACTTCAACATACAATCGTGATGAAGTCGTCCGGCTCATTACAGAATTCTACCAGTTTGGCTCTCATGATTTGCTAAATTGGACTCTATTGACGCATAACAGATTCCTCGCTTGCATGCCATTCATAGAGCCAGAGGATATCCAATACCCTGCCCCATCTGGCTGGCCCAACATTACACCCGAGCGATTCGCAGCTCTGGACAAGACGGATGCTGTCATTGATCTCCTTGCACATCTGCCGTATATCCGGAATCACAGTTTTGGTCTAGGTCGTGGAATGTACTCGACGTGTATCTGGTTCCAAACTTGCGCCCTCAACTATGCAGAAGACCCCTTCAAAACTTCTCCTCTCGACCTAGAGAAAATCGAATATCTTAAGCTGCCTGTGCCAGATAGTGAGCCGGTGGTCGTTCCACCCCACGTGGCAGTATGGACCGAGCAAGAAGTCCCTCTTGTAGGGCATATTTTCATGATCGACACAATGGATGGTAAGTAACGATCAGAGTCTCTGTCAGTTGTACTGATATCTCTAGGAACTATCACGGAATATCCCGATTGGCGCGATTGCGGATGGGCGCAATATCCTCAACACGACCCCCGAAGCTGGCGAAATGAATATGACAAGACAATGCTTCTGTCAGAGTTCTTGGATGAGATGAAGCAGGGTTACTTGGAATTGAGGTGGATCCCATATTGGTTTAGAAAGGTCCCAAAAGTTTACGTGCGTGGCGGCGCTCGCAACGATCGTGGAAACGGTGACGAAGAGGTATGCTCCCCACCAATTCAAAAGCTATGAATGTCCAGATCCTTAGATGAGACTAATATTCAGAGGATAGGAGTTGTACAAAATTATGATTGCTCACGGATGGCCGGATGAATTCAGGAGAGATGAGTGCAAGGCTGCATTGCTGGCATGGAGAACACAAAATGAGGGCGAGTAGGAGCAGGCATAGTCTATTGATTAGTGATATGCCACAAAGACTAGTACCATGTCGTATTAATGTTTCTTTTTACACGACAATCTGTGACTTAACGACTTCTATCACTTCTCAATGTCTGTCGCGGCAAGACGAGAGGAGCTTGAAAGCTTGTGAGCGAAGAGCAGCCATCGTTGGTTTCAACTATTGGATTGATTAGCTACGAAACTCATTTCTAAAGCATCATGTAATGTAGTGCTTCATCTTTGATTTCAACTTACCAAAGAAAGGCATCGTGGCAAGTAGATTTACCCAGAATGAGGTGTTTTGTGTAGTCACGTAGAAGCTACTGTACCATCCCGTCAAACAGAGGGATATAAAGAGAGCTTCTCTGCTCCTTTCTCATTTTCGTTTCATTCTTTGTTCCTTTCCATATTCCACTTCACGTGGGTTGATAGGTTTGAGGAGTCTGTTTGTTTCACCCGCCAGCGTCACACTTCAGCCTCCAAAGCCAAGAATAAGCAGAGGGAAAGGGGAATGAAAGGAAGGAGAGGAAAATGGAAAGTGGAAAGAGGAATTGAATGTATGGAATACATAGATAAACCCCCCTTAAATGGGTTCGAGGAGGCTCTTAAGGCGTCTCTTCCTATGTCCGAGAAAGCTGTACATGCCAAACAAGACGCTGAACACACACGAACACACACACTCCCTCCCCCTCTCCCCCTCTCTATCTCTCTGTGAGATGCAACATGATATCACGAAATACATAGTTTAGTGCAGCTTGCACTTGATTTACGTCGTGCTTTGTGCACTTCGCGGTTGTAGTCTTCCATATGAAAGGGTTTCTTCAAACTTCTTGGACGTCTGACGTCCTTTACAATGTGTAAAGAAAGATATGGTAAGTGAAATAATGATGTGTGGTGGGGATGATCACAATGCTTTCATTGCAGCTGTGTTTCAATTGTGCTCTTTGAAGCCAACAAAAGCCATGCAGCTCTCTGTACCAAACTCAATTGGTGTTTCTGCCTGCAGTAAAGGTGAGGGTGGATCAACTGTATTTAAGAAAGCCTATAGTCCTTCAAACTGGTAGAAGGAGTCCCAACTCTACCATCTCAGATCAGATGGAACTTACTAGGGCAGTGACTGGTATTGTTGCAGCATCTTCCAGTGCGGAGAATGGACTACCACCTGAGGTTTGGACCATGATACTCCGAGAGGTATACTTCAGGTTTCCTTCTTCCCCAATCATGCCCTACAGACGTGGAAGTAACTCACATTCATGAAGAACATATGGCTCCCCGAAGCAACGCGGCTATGGAGAAGGGATTCTGAGTCCGGCAGGATAATCTGGCAAGTCTCTGAGTGCCAGAAGGAGCTTAGAAAGCTGCGACTTGTTAACAAGACCTTCAATTCGATACTCGCATCAATCGCATACGAAGTGGTAGACCTATCTACTCCCAGCTTTGCTGAACGACTTAGACGACACGCAAGTCTAAGTTTTGATCAGCAAGATGGTTACATCGAGTTCAGAGATAATATCTTGCGATATTGTCAGAAGCTAAAGCTGAAACTCATTGATTTCCCACATCATGAAGAGCCGCTACATTCCCAATTCGAAAGGCTTCTCCAAGAATTGTCAAGTGTTGAGAATCCTTGCAAATGCCTCGTACGGATTGAGTGAGTCTCAATGGGAACTCACAACAGATGACTAAAGACATTCATGCTGACCAAATAGGTGGGACATCAGCGGTTTCGAGGAAGAGCACATTGAAAAAGTTTCGAAGTACATCCTAGCTTCAATCGAGCCAATCTTGAAGAGAAGTGTTCGTTGCCGTATTGATGCTTCTAGGAGTGTTTTCAGGATACAAGTGACCAACCAGGATGGTACGTTGGAGCACGGCGAGGTGGGGTACAACCGACGAAGGGCGTTGACCCCTGAAGGAGGAGTCTCAAGTTCACCCACTCCACTGATTCTCGACATTCACGAAACCTATTACAATCCAAAAATGCTCAATTTCTTCGGAACAAAGTCTTCACTCCGGTTTCCGCCAATGATCGAGCTCAAAATGAGTAATGTAGGCTGGAGCATTGGAGATGATTACAGAAAAATGTGGGATTTCTCCTCCCTTGGAAACTTGAATTTGAAGAGTGTCGACATACCCGGCTTCTTCACTACAGTTAAGCCAGAAGAGTTGGTAAACTTGCGCAGCCTCAGCTTGACCGATGCTTATGACGAAGTTGACCAGATTGAATCAATGAGGGAGAATTTGCAAGACTTGTTTCGACAATTCAAGAAGCTCCAGAAACTCAAACTCAAGTTTGGGTTTTATTATGAAATTGTGTCGATTTCATTGACATGTGGGCTGTGGAAAACCTTGGAAGTATTAAGCCTCCAGGATTAGTATGAAGATACAGAAAAATTCATATCTGCATCGGAGATCGCTCAGCTTGGAGCGGAGTGTAAGAATTTACGGGATTTGAGGGTTACTCTTCCTGTGGACACGCAAAAGGTAAGCTTCCGAATTTCACACTTCACAACATCAACCTCCCATCGAAGAAGGTATTCCTTGAAGATTTGCAACTGAATTCTGGAGCTCTTGGCTAAGGCTTCACTGTGCAGCACTATCAATTCTTCGACGCTTTAGGACAGTTGGAGGACGTGAAATGTTTCACCCTTTACGCCGACGGGGACAAATTCGAAGTCTACGGCGTAGGTCGCTACAGCACCGACCCTGACTACGACGGAGCATATGTATTGCTTGACCATCTCCGAAAGGTCAAGTTGGGTGAACCTATCGCATACTGCAGGGTCAAAATTGCCGATTGTTGGGGACGGAGGAGAACCGGAGAACGCGCGAGAGACTACAACGGTTATCTTGGTCATAGAGAGTTTAGCTATAGCTTGAAGGACGAAATGTTGGTGCGAAGTGGATCATCAAGAGTTGATGTCTTCTATGACCTAGTAACGCCTTCAGAGGGTGATGAGCATGCGGATGAGGAGGAGCAGCGCGAGGTCGATGATGATGAAGGCAGAGATGACAGTGATATTTGTGGTCAGGCTTGAGATCAGATCTTGAGAGTAGATAGCCTAAACTACAGCTAGAAATAATAATAAGTGCATGAAAATTCAAATGGTTGGTAATAAAACAGCTCGATCAGGTATACATACCTGTATTGGGCCGGTGATGACTTTGTAATTCTTGCGACTTGCAGCAAAACTTCTCTTCCTCCAGGAAATACCAAGTGAAACGGGGTAACTCCAATCGCAGGCTCACCATTGTTGTTTCAGTTACGAAATTATGGCTTATGCGCACGAGTGAGGTCGGGGACTGTTGCGTCCAAACTATGCAGCGCGACTGTTCGATGTGTATGCTCTGGTGTCGTGGCCAATGTTTCTCCGCGGCTAGGTTGATCAGGCAAGAAAGCAAGTAGTATCGTCCTTGTATATCTAGCATGATGTTTTCAATTCTTCATGTTCCATGTTGATTCTGGAATTGGGCGTGGGCGTTGGACTTGGTGTTCGGGAGGTTTCCCCTATCTAGTTCGCTTAATTTGGCGAGGCAGACGGATGAGACTCAAGAGACTCAAGAGTCTCAAGAGTCTCAAGATTTGCAAGGCAATGCGCAAATATTTGGCACTAATTGAGAGTCTACAGGTGGCTACGATAGAATGATTCAATGATGCCAATCCTGGATTACCTACGTATTGGATCGTTTTCCTTACTCCTCTGTAATACCGAATAGCAAAGCATCACGTGGCTAAGACGCAACGACTTTGATTCGTTTTCAGTGCACTTGTTCAGTTGATAGATCGCTTCAAGATCACTAGAGGGTTTCGAGATGGGTATTCCATAGTAAATGATTTGAAGTGATTGGTCAGCACATCAGAACGGCATTCTTTACATCATTGATTGAGTCCGTGTTTAAGCATGGCGGGATTGTGCATTGTGTAATCGTAGGCTCTATTTAGCCCGAACTTATCAGTGGATACTTTTGTACACAATTCGATCGAAAATACTTCTCTATTCAAGCCGCTGCCGAGAGCTGGTCGTCATGCATGCGATGCTGCGTGTGCGCCACATCTCGGGTCCACAATTCCATGCAGCATCGTTGAACATGCGCTATGTAGCGAGGCTGTGCGATGAGGATCGGGAGTTATTGGATTTCGAAAGGAAAGATGGTAGACCATTGGCGAGCAGGTTCCAGGGCCAAAGCTACCTACCTAGGTAGGTGCTCGGTGAAGAAATTGCACAGCCCCAAAGGGTTGGCGCTAGCACATCAAGAATATATTGATCTTTGACGCACTGCCAAATAAATTATTCAATTCAGTATATCCATTCAACAATCCCAATCGCTATACAGTGTGCGCCGCAATGGCATCTAGCTCACAGAAGACGATACCTTATCGACCTCTCGATCCATCGCGGGTCGAGATCCGGGTCATCAGCATGTCCCCTGATTCGAACCTGGCCGGCAGCAGCATAGACTCACCCATCTCTATCTCTCTTCATATAGTCTCTCTCAATGATCCGAGCGTCAGCTATTTTGCCCTTTCTTATGTCTGGGGAGATGCAAGCAATACAACCTCTATCACGGTGGATGGCGCTCCCTTCGCAGCAACGGCCAACCTTGCTGCCGCTCTCAGGGTTTTTCGAACTACTTTCGGCGGACAGCCTAATAAGTACCTTTGGGTTGATGCGGTATGCATCAATCAAGACGACATGCCTGAGCGTATCGCACAGGTCGAGCTCATGGGCCGCATCTACCGACAGACATCGAAGGTGCTGGTTTGGCTGGGCCCAGGCGACGATCATGTTTGTGCGTTGTTTACCTTTCTCCGTGTATGGTCCAAGACCTTACAGATCTGGGTTGCTGCAACAGGCTCATTAGAGCCAAGGTCACAGCTGTTGGCTGAGTTGGACAAGGTCATGAAGACGTCATTAGATGTTTCGGGACTACGCTTTGCTTCATCTGAGGAGGTCCCGTACGGTGAAATTGGAGTAGTGCCGACGAATACTACTACTGCTGTCGAAATAACACAGATACACCCCATCGACACTTTCATCGAAGTGTTCGTTGATCGGCCTTACTGGAGCCGGACTTGGACCTTTCAGGAACTACAGCTACCAGAAGAGGGCATCTTGATCTGTGGCAACAATATCGTCGTTGGCCTAAGCGAAGTCAGTAGCGTTTTCATGTGGCTGAATACCATTGGTACCCAAATGGTACAGCAAGGTCGCCCCGAGGAAGTATCTCCTGCTGTCTGGCGCGTGCTCGTTGGGATGGTGACGGTCTTGTCGAGTTTGCCCTACGTGAAACAGATGGATCTGAAGACGCAGATGCAAGTAGCCAAGTCTCAGCACGCAACAGTAAACATACTGCTACGGGCAACACAATTCCGCGATGCAACGAATCCTCGCGACTTGTACTATGGAGTGCTTGGTGTAGCAGATCTACCTGGTATAAAAGTTGACTATGCTGCTTCTGTTGAAAAGGTCTTTACAAGTGCTTCTGAGGTTCTCTGTAATGGTGGTGGCGAAATGTTGACCTATTTGCTGTCCTATGCAGGGATCGCAACGCCCCATCGGACAAAATACAATTCGTTGCCGTCCTGGACCACGACTCGTGGGACGATTGAAAGCATGTTTTTGCGCGAGATATTCTGGATTAACAGCCATGCTGGATATGGCGGAGAAACAACATCGTCTTGCACTAACCCCACGGTTTTGGACGATGATCGCACGCTCTTGTGCGAAGGAGTTGTAGTCGACACTATCGATGACGAAGTCGTCAAGTCTTACCGATTAGATGAGACACCAAATGACAGAGAGGATTTATCAACGCTCTGTATCGACGAGACGGTTTCCTTCTTTTTTGGCTGTCCATCCGACCACTTCCTCTCGGATGTTGTTGCGCGAAGCACACCCTATGCCGGCGGTGGTACCCAATTTGCGGCTCTGATGCGTTTCTGGCTGCAAGACCATCTTAGTAGTGGATCTTATAGGATGACATCTTTCAAAAAGATACTGGGCCAGAAGAACCTTGAGAAGAATCTTGATCTTTTAGACGCTATCCAGATTTTTCTGCTTGCTTGCTGCCTTCGGGATCGAGACACCACCCGGCTGCTGGAGATGAAGGGCAAGCAGTCTCAAGAAGACTTCGGTCACAGTGTACTACGCGCACACCAATTCATTGTCGACGGCTTCGTGAATCCTCGCTCATGTGAGTTCTCAGATTCTGCTGCTGAGACTTGCCTGACGACATACGACGATATATTGCGCTTCGTCTCGTATCAGAGACGGGCGCAGTTGAGCGAAGAAGAGATTTTCACTTTTAAATTGCAAACTTTCCACCTTGCATACTCTGCTTTATTTCGCACAAAATCTGGGTATATTGGTGTAGCTAGATCAGGAATAAGACATGGGGATAAGTTGTGTGTGCTTGCTGGGGCAGACGTTCCAGTCGTCTTACGCCCAACTGCAGAAGAGGGCTTCTATGAGCTCGTGTCGCACGCTTTTTCAGTGGGATTAATGCATGGAGAGGCTTGGAAAATGGTCGAGAAGGGCGACAGGGAGGCTGAAAGCTTTCTGATCCGGTAGCTCTAGGCGGGTTGACCTTCCGAAGAAGTCTGACTCGGCAAACGGAACATCAGAGAGCTTTCTTCTAGAAGCTTCCCGATCGATTTGTACCGATTATCAAGCTGATGATAATTATTTAATTGGCCTACTTCTTTGTTTTATTACTTTGGGATTGGTCTCGTTTTCCTGCGACCATGGAAATCGACCCGAGGCCGCAGTTTCCATCTGGGACACTTCTCTGCCAGTAAAGACGCAGGACCTCGACCACGCTGAAAAGGTATCAATGGCCACGTTTCGGCTACATTTCAACAGGCTGAATCATCGCAATCTGGAGACAGGTGCATTGTGGAACAGCTTAGTGACATGGCGCTGTCAAGTCCTGGCTGTTTGAAGGTTAGATTAGACACACCATTATTGATCAGTGCTTAATGATGACTCTAGGTACTACCTGAAAATGGACACCGAGAGCCAATCTAGTCTACAATTGGCTTCGTGGCCTTGATGCAGCCTTTTTGTCCCACCCAAAACGTTGAGTCCGCATCATCCCAGGATGAAAATTGCGGCAAAGCGCCCCAATGTTGCTGCAGCTGCCAACACTACTTCGTGGAAGCCTGGTCATACCTTGCTACTGCACGGAAATGAACTAAAAAGAGGAGATTGGGTACGGAACACAGTCGAAAATAATAGCCGCCGAACTGACCCTCGTCCTCATTTCGAAATATCCTACCAACCAAAATGGACTACCCCTGCAGAGTGCCTACGAAACAGGCTGCTCAATTCCCAGCACTGCGGATGAGCTTTCAAGGGTGCGTCAGCCATAGCACGTTAAACGCCCAGCTCCAGTGGGAATTTACACGGCAGGATTCTAATCCTGTCGATCGCACGTGGAAAAGGGAGATTCTTGAAGATCCCCAAGGATTGTGTCGTGCAGTCCATGATTCGGAAGTAGTATTTCTAAGGTCGCCGGCAGGGAGCTTATGAAAGAACAGGCCGTCTCGTATTTCAAAACGGCACATTGGGACATAGTTGTCAATGTTGAGACCTGACCAAACCTGCATCTTCCTTGAAACTGGGTACGCCGCCCCTGTTCTGGAGGAATTAGAGACCAAGAACCATTGGTAAGCATTAGGAAGACAGAACTATGGCAGTTCACGCCGGTTGGCCTTATGATGGAGCGGTGCTCTGCTACGACCCTAGATGAATAGATAGTCTTGTCAAAGTTAGACGCGCTATTGTTGATACCACCTAGACAAGATATTGCAGAATATCTCAAAGGGTCACGGATGTTGTATTGATCCTGAAAGTATGGATGAAACGGGGCGACCCGGTCCTAGTGACCTTGCATCGATGCCCCGCGGGCGTCCGATAACAATAAGCTGGCCTGAAGGTTTGAGCCCAAAATCAGACTTATGTTTCGGTTCCAGTGTACTTGGACGTTCAAGTGGATCATCCAGTCCTCGATGCTTCCTCCCTCCCGATGCCGAACGCATGATGACTTCCAGACAAAACGCGAGGCCAGCCTTCTAGAATATTGGAGCCGTTTCTTTCTATCTTGATGGACATTCGGAATCCCGACCCGGACGCCACAGGTTTGTCAATCATTCACAGCTTTTTGTCAAAGCTGTTGCTCCTGTTCCAAATGCCATGGTTGAGCCAATCTTTGACTCCTTTCTCAAAGCACCCTCAACGCTTTGATCTCTTCATCTTACGGTGCCTGCTTATCATGTCACTTCGCGTGGAAACTGGCTGTGCTGGATCTATGTACAGTACACTCTGGTCATATTAGCGGTGTAAAGGGCTTTTTTTGCGATTACGGGAACGCAAGCAGGTGGTATACATTTAGTATGGCAAATCCCTCCAAATTGCAACAAAAAGGCCGACTTGCTACTCGACAAGTGCATCTTTGCAAAATAAAAGTATGGCAGACAACAGCAGATTTGCTTGTTCGTACTCATCATGCAATCGGAATTTTAGAAGGCAAAGCGAACTCAATCGACATATAAGAGACGCCCATGAGGAGCCAAGCCGATGTCACATTCCTGGTTGCAACTATGAGTATACGAGGACCTACGGTATGACAGTCCACATGCGGCTCGACCATGGTATCTCGTCAGATGGTGGGGTCGATTCTCCAAGAACTTCACGGCAGAGTTAATTGAAGGTGTAGGCCGCTCCAGGAGGACGCAGATAAGCCGTTCGAGACGAAGTGCTCAAGGTTCACCATCTGGTGAGGAGTTCATGAGACACATATCGACTCTGTAGGGAGATACATGCTGATACTGTGTTGCTAAGCAGTCCCTGAGCCTCCCTCTCTTTCTTCGAGAGTCAACGAACCTTCGAGACGGCTTCAGACACCAACCGAGTCCATTACACCAACGAATACGGCTCAAACAGTTTCGCATTCAGACCCTATTCCCATTCATACCCCTCTGCTGTCGACGCATGTCCAATCAAGCAGCAGCCGCCTAAATGCCGATAATGGAGACACCAAATCACAAGCTGCAGACCCATGCTGGTCAGAACGAGCCAGCTACTACTCACCGAATAAAGTGATGCTGCCCATAAGAGTGGCACAAGCTCAGAGCAAGGCTGATGGCAAGGTTGAGGATGAGGAAGGGGATTATGCTATTCCTGCCGACATGGAAGTGGAGATCTTTGACGACTTTTCAGCAAATGCTGGAATTTGAGTTTCGAGTGCGCAAGTGGCGATAGAGTTACGGCATACAGCTCTGGATGGAGCGCGCACAGTACATCAAGCCTCCTCCAACCTCACTTCATGATTCAATAATTCAACTCTTGTCTGTGTATTCTCGTTGGAAAGAAAGCCCGCTCAAAAACGCCTCGTAGAGTCACAGCTCGTCGCATAGCATAGCGCAGCACTCAATAATTTTACATATACATACCATAGTAGCACTTGCTTCTCAAAGCGAAATCTGTGTACATTCTCAATAAGATTATCTTGCCTTATATTCGTGACAGAGAGCAAATGATCATGACGGTGAGACCACTCATGTGCCTTGCGGATAGATGCCAAGGAAGCAGAGACTTCCGAGCCACGTTTCGAGTGAAGTGTACCATCTGCCCACCTCAGCACAGCTAGCATCTTTGGCTGTGACTGTTCGAATCATGATTCTTATCCATGTTGTTTTATCTACACCGTGCTTGACTAAAAACCAAATAACCTCGATCCGCTAAAAGCCAATACTTCGACGTAATCCACTTTGTACATTCCCAGCAGCACACCAACAACTACCCTCGAACTATCACTCCACTGAATCCATCTCTCCAACATTGTGCCATCAGCCAGCTGACAGGTCAGGGCTGCAACAACGACTGCGCAGACCCGCAGATCCACAACGGTCGCGAATCAGCTTCTGCGACATTCGACCACAAACTGCGCGATCAGAGAAGAGAGAGCGAGAAAGCATATGTGACTGTAAGGTATGGACGGGAAGCACCATGCTCTATGGTGAACGTTCTTCGATTTGAAGGTTCGAGAGCTGGTAACATTGGAGGCAAGGACTCGATTGTCGGCGCAAAAAGCGCAAAGTGAAAACCCCCAGAATGGCTCAACTACCTGCATCAAAACCCACCGCGGTATTAATACAAGAGACTTTTCATGATAAATGATGATAGTATATGGTATGGGAAACAGAGGCTCACAAAGCTTCGCAATCCTGCCACTGTCAAAGTTCTCCAAACCTTTCCGTGGTGGAGAAGGGGCTCAATTCTATCGATAATTCGAGTTTCTTCAACGGCATGAAGAACATAGATGTCAAGAAGTTGTGTGGTGCTGCAGAGAAGGTGTCGAGTCTACCTTTGGTGTACTCGGTTGGAGTTCTGGTGGGTATCATAGCCATGGTGGGTCAACTGGCACGAAAATCAGCTTTAAAACGAGCTGTAGCCCACCAGACAGTTCCTTGTGTTGAGTATGAACTTACCTTGCTGATTATTGTTCGCAACCGTCACCTTCGCTCCACGCCGTACTGCCATGCGACTAGCTTGTGCGGTGCAACCAATATGTCTGTAGGTGCAACGTCGCTGAAAAGATTTATCCTCGACAGAACGAAGCCCAACACTAGTGTTGAGAAAATGGGACGTTACCTAACACCGGCTTGCTCAAGTTTAATTGAGTGTTGCCTCTATTGTCCTTAGGAATGATTCGAAATCATTGATTCTGCTGCATGTGTAGCTGTTTTGATGGTGTTCGATGGATGATTTGGCCTTCGCTATTCCTTCGTGGCACGAAGCAAGAATCGGTCTTGAACGTCAATGATAGAGTTTGTAGATCTGCAAGAGGGAGAGGTACTTGATTGAGTGACGGTAAGGTTCGTTCCCATAGGAGTGAGCACCATCAGTGAAGGGATCGATCAGCCGTTGAATGCGTGTGCTTAGAGTCAGACAAATAGGTCAACAGCAACAGCAACACAGAGTCTGCAGTAGACGCTCAGCGCCTAGGTGAGGTGGAGAATAGCCTTACTGTTAAGTACATTCACCGCTGCAGAATATCGTTAGACTTCTCAAGGGGTTCCCGCAAGCTGTCGTGAGTTTCCTCGACGATTGCAAATCTAGAGTTGAGGCTATTCAGGCCGCGATAGATCGAACAGATTTCTCGGTGGCAATCCTGCCCTTCGATCGGCTATTCAAGCCAAGGGGGACCACAGTGGAAGGCAATAGTCGGCAACGGTCCACGGGGAAGACAGTGAGACTCCTCCCGGAAGCTGTGTTGTGCCGATCTCACGCCCAATTTGGTTTCATGTCAGGCAGTACAGAGACGCGGGAGTGCTTGAAGTGGTGGCTCGAGGCTGTCTTAGCCATTCCTTAGTGAGTCTCACAGGGTAAACAAGGTAGCAGAATTTTCAACCCTCTTTTCGACGCCATCTTGTATCATCTCTGTGGATATGCCGACTAGGTGTTTATCTATGAATGAGTTTGGTTTTTATTTCTTTTTATTGCCCGCTGACATTTCCTCTTCCCTTTTGCATGGCCGATGCGCGGGAAGCGCTATCTAATGCAGTGGCCTAATGGTACTCATGAAGGCACTCAAAAGTTGGTTTCCTCGACCAGCTTGATGACATTATGCATGACGTCGAGTATCTCTGAGGACTGACCTCGTCTTGTGGACGGATAGCGCTCGCATTAGATACCTGAATCTTGAAAGTGTCAGCGATGGATTCGAAAAGACAAGATTATGTAAGATGGCCTCCAGATGATTCGCCATTACTATTAGTTGAACCACTTCCACGGATCATCGAAATGCTAGTTCTATTTCTTAGACGAATCAAATCATTATTTTCTGCCGTGATGCAGATGTGATGGGAGCCTCTGGCACTTCATCCGCGCTGGGTCCTGATACGTGTCACAGAGCCCATCAGATTCCGGAATGCCGCATCACTTAGCTGCATCTGATTACTCCCCATTGATGCCGGGTACTATCCGATCCTATCAAACAGAAAAACGAAGCCTCATAGTATACACCATGAACTGATAAACTCGCTTTGCTCCTTGCACCTCGCCTTGACCTCTGAGCTCTTCCACTCAGGTATATAATTCAAGTATACTAAGAAAGTGATAGGCTAAGCCTTCTCTGGGTATAAAAAGAAGTTTTGGGGGTCCAAGGTGCAAGAATCTTGTGTCGTGCGTGCTCGTTATTCTTAACCACCTTTCTTACTTCACAAATTTCCCTTATCCTCCACAAGAGACTTTGTTCATGACCCTTAAAAATGTAGACTCGCGGACTTTCGAACCAATTCTTTTCGAATAAAAGCATAGGATTTATCGTTCTTAAAACGACATAAATTATCACGGGAAATGTGTAGATATGCCAACGGCTGCGTCTTTCTCTGCCCTAAACGTTTGGTTTAGGTCCGTACCCATGCACTACGCCGAAAACCTTTACTGGTCGTGTTGCTACCGTTTCGAACACTGATTGGATCGGACACGTCGAGATGGTTCTCTAATGTAGCATCTTCTCGTGCCACTCTGGTCTGCGAGTAAAAGGGGGGGCATCTAAAACTTGCATGGTGAATTAAGCGAGCCTGCACAGCTATTCCTGTGCGGCACGGAGATGGCGCGTTCATTTCCAATGAAATCAGCCTGGCAGTCGTATCCTACCCAAGTAAGCGCGCATGCGCGAAGGAGAAAGGGGTTTCTTCCACCTGAAACATCTACCACACACATCCAGGATGGATTGGCAAAGGTCTTTCAAGGCTGAGGCAGTCGTATATACTTGTCGGGCGTAAGGACCCCCACGAAGAAACCACCTTCTGTATTCGGAAGATTACTGTCCTCATTAGCCTGCCGTTAATTTATTCGAGACAGAAAACTCAAAGTTATGCCATCTTTGGACTGTAACATTTGCATGCATCAAAGGTTGCTTGCTCGGAGCAAACTGATGCTGCCAGTCTCCATGAACTAGTTTCTCGACGCTGCATACTTGTAGATGAAACTTTTGCCAATCAGCAATATGCTCAAGGTCGAAAGGTTGGAAATCCAATGGCTGGGGGACAAGATTAGCATTTCATTGCATCATTCTCATGAATAGATTTGGCATTAAAAACGCATTTGAACATGATCTGAAAAGAATGAAAAGTAGGATGACATGCCTGAGAGCTTCCCATGTAGTGTCATATCGAGTATCTTACTGTCGAAAGGGCTGTGTCCGCCCCAAGGCTGCAAACTTACCCTGTATCCAACATATCTCGATCTGAATATTGACAGTCCCAGCCTCGTCTCGAGCTGTTCTTTGCAGTGGAGGGCACCCACCCCCGATTACAGCTGAGTGCAAGCCCCCCACAAGCCATACAAACATAAAATACCTGCTGAAGAGCGGACGGGGGGCCGGGGAACGAGATCCGGCTGGCTTCCGGCACAACCATGATCACATCTCAGAAATGAAGCATTTCTTCATGACACGAAAACGACGACTCTTGCTTGTGTCGATCGCGTATTCCGCTTACTCACCGCTCTGTTCTCAATATTTCTTCTTCGAATCGGGGTCGACAATGTCCAATAATGGCAGAGGAAGTCTCCCCCGGAGTCTGTGCGAAGTTCGCATCGTCAGCCACGACTACGAGCAGCCCGATTATTCCTCTAAGAAGCACAACTGCGTTCCAAGGGACAACCTCTTATATCATCAAAGACATCCCGAATAGCATGAGCTTCCTCATGACGCACGCAATGCAACATGGCCAACTCACGCAGTCGGAACAGTAAACCACAGAATCCAGTGTTTTGCACTTGGCCTGGGTGCAATAAAAGCTTCACCCGGGAGGCAGACAAAGAAAGGCACCGCTTGAATATACACCTTAAGCAAAAGTGTCTGTGTCCTTTCCCAGAATGCAGAGAGAAAGCCTTTCGGGCGGATAAGTTGAAGGAGCATGAGAGAAAGCGCCATCAACCAAAGCAGAAGGGTTAGTCGGTGCCTTCTCGCATTCTGCGGTGAGGACGGCATCAATCTAACAGATTATAGGAAACAAAACAGGAGACAAAAATCGCAAAGCAGGTAGATCCTCTGGAAGAGCAACGTTTCGAATTTCGAAGGCCGCTCTCGCACGAACGACCTCAGATACCATTCTCCACAAATCAACTGAATCGATGATTCAGACAACCACACCCAGCGTCGACCTCTGCGAGGCACTATTGATGGAAATGAATGTTGATGACGAAGCGACTATCCGGATGGCAGATGTGATGTGTCCACCTTACATACTGGGGCCTCAAGCTGATTTTCCCATGGCACACGCCAAAGCCTTGTTCGAATTAGATACTTCATCACTTCAGAAAGCATTGGATGAGGCAATCGCCGCCTCTAGAGACTGGATGAAGGACGAGTCCGCTAACGCAGACATGTAAAGCTGGGCTGTCTGATACAAATACTGCTCTGATGGTGGTTTAACAATCTGCAATGGTAGCTTTGCACAACAGCAGAACGAAACGAAGTCGCAGGCAGACACCAAAGTCACAATTCAAGTGGTATGAACAACGATATCAGAATGAAGCCCGTAGCATTGGTACTCTGATCAGATCAGTCACTCTTTGTTTCTCGTTGAGGTAAGAAACTTCCTATCCTCCCTCGTCGTCAGGCACTAACCTATGTCTCTAGCTGCCCAACACCTTCCTTCTCGAAACCACGCGTTCCACACGCAACATCAAATCTTTATAGTCGAATTTCACGAAAACTCTGGCACAAAGCCTGCTAGGTAGAACATTTCTTTCAATTCCATAAAGTGCCTAGGCAATTACTACCACCAATACCATACAATGCAAAGATATGCACACGCGCAGAAGACCAGACTACAAGCTCGCACTGCGTCATCTATGCTAAGTGAAGTGATGTGCAATGCCTTTTTCTTTACGTCTTTTTCAGACCAGGCATGTTATAATGTTGGACCGATAAAGGTAGGTATGCCACCCATGAATGCACAAAATAGGCTTTCGCCCCGAACCCCGTAATTATCTAGAAGGGGCATTCAGTTCCATCTATTGTTCTCTCTTTCCGCCTCCAATCGCGCAAGCCTCGCCTCCTCATTTTCATCAATAACACCACTTCTGCGTCCTTTCTTCCTTCTACCCTTCCCAGCAAGACCTTCATCACCATCATCTCTGCTTCTCTTTCTACCAACCGCAGCAGTAAGACCTGCGATACGTTGTGCCTCTTTCAGCAATCGTTCTCTGTTTCTCGCCTCTCGTTCTAGCTCGTGAGGATCCTTGGCTGGAGTAGAAGGGACAGATCGATCTTTCTCCTTCTCTCGCTCCTTCTCACGATCATAGCCACGATCACGCTGTCTATCTTTATTGCGGCCTGAACGGGAAGACTCATGCCTAGAAGGACGATCGTCATGAGAGCGTTTCTCCTTGAAGTCACGTGAAGAGGTAGAACTTGGGATTCGGTCTGATCGAGGACCGGTGGGAATTTTGATATCGTCGAGGGTGTGCTTGCGACGTTCTGAGGCACCTTTAATTTCGATGATTGAAGGTTTACGGAAGATCTCCTCCGCCTCGACAGGTGATTCCGCCACACTTGGCTCGGCTTTCGGTTCAGGTTGAGGCTCTTCGGAATAATGGCGGCTGCGGCGTCTGTGCGAGTCCCGCTCCCTGTCGCGGCTTCTTGACCTCTCACGATCGTCACGATGTGAGCGGCGTGAGCGGTGTCTGTGGGAAGATTTGCGATCTTTGTCAGAATCTCTGTCTCGCTCTCGATACTTATCCTTTTCTCTACGACTTACGTGACCTGAGCGTCTTGATCCGGATGGGGAAGCGGAACGAGATTTTTCATTTTCAGGCACGTCGTCTGTCTCAACCCTCTCTCCTGGACCATCATCAACAGTTTCTTCTTCGTGGCGGCGATGACGTTCTCTCTCCTTCTCTCGTCTCCGCTCCCTCCGCCTCTCCGTCTCCTTGTCATCTTCGGTAAGTGATGCAGACCGATGTCTATGCCTTCGATGATGTCGATCTCGGCTTCTGCTCCTCTGTCGGTTACGTGACCTAGATCTTGATCTTTCTTTAGACCTATCCGGGCCTCTTGAGGGTGATCTACTGTGCTCTCGCTCGTCTCCCTTTTCAGAGACATCTGGGGCAACACTGACGCTAGCACTGCCACTTGGCCTTGAACTAACGCCTCCAGGAATGTAGCCTCGTCCTCGCATATTGTAAATGCTTGTATTGGGAAGGCCTTCTCTCATGGCTTTGGGACCTGTAGGAGCATTGATAGGAACATCAAGAGGCTTCACGGGGGGCTGCATGGCAGAATAGCTACCACCACGTGCTCCTCGAAGATGACTTTGACCATAGCCGCCAGCTCCATAGTTGTCTACATTGTACTCCGTATCAACGTCATCCAAAGTCTGGATTGGCATAGGAGCATTGCTATCCTGTAAACTTTCCGGTTCCTGAGGTACAGCATCTGTAGTCAATTCGGCCACGGGATTATCGCTGCGTTCCTGTGGCTTGACAGCGCTTTCGTCATCCACTACTTTTGGCGTATCTTCCTTGGTGTCAGGGCGCAGCTCTCTACCAAACTCGTCGACATTTGGAGCAGGTTCGGATTCAGTCTTGGGCCCTTTAGGGATTGATCCAGTTTCACTTATGGGCCCATTCGATTGTTGATTTCCGTACTGCTGTGGAATCTGGTGTGAGAATGCTTCATTGGGACCATAATAGCCACCACGTCCATGGCCACCTCGGCCTCGACCTCGGCCACGAAATCCTTGGGATCCGTAGTTGTTCTGGTAATCATTGTAGTGGTTTCCACGACCATAATTACCTTGGTTAAATCCTGCAGTGTGAGAGGCGTATCCAGAGTTATTTGCGCCATAATCACCGTGACCGTGAGCCATGCTGGCTGCATTTGGATTGAAATTATCTCCGACATTCCATGATTGTCCGTTCCAACCATTATTGAAGCCTGCACCAACACCTCCCTCGAACCCTATTCCCATCCCCATATTCATGCCGTTCATGCCTGCTCCAAAACCACCGTTCAAGAACATGTTCTGCATTGCCATCGGATCCATCCCCGGCATTCCTTCACCATAATTAGCTCGTGTATAATGCCAGACAAGAACAACATACCCATCATAGGAAAGTTCCCGAAGCCACCTCCACCTCCCATGCCGTTTTGCATGGCCATCATCATTTGCATTTGATTGAAGTCGCCTCCAAATCCCATGCCAGGGAAACCACCAGCGGCACTGGGATCGAAGCCAAAGCCAGCACCAAATCCTGGTGTTTGAGGCACGGCTGAGTGTCCGTTGATATCTTTCTCTATGCTTTCCTCGCCATTCTGTGTGACCTCGGCCGTGTCAGTATCTAATTCACCTGTAGACTCTTGGCCAGGCGCAATCTCCTTCTCAAATGTTAGCTAGTGCTATTTGAGACCATTACGAAGGCTTACTTCAATTGATGGCTGTGGAATATCCTGCTCAGCCTGTGCTGCTTGCTCTGGGTCCAAGGTAGTTGGCAAAGGTGGGTCAGATGGTTCCGTTACTATATCAACCTTCTCGTCCTTCTCTTCTGCAATATTTGTAATGTCATTCGCGGGCGCGGGCTCTTCAACAGGAGCAACTGGTCCGGCAGGAGTTGGTTCGACAGTAATAGGGGTATCGGGTGGTGTGTTCTTCTCTTCCTTCAACCGTAGAGCTTCTCGTTTCTTCTCCTCCGTCCGTAGGAAGACCTTGATGGTGGTTCGAAGTGACTTATTCGGTTTGCAGTCTTCTGCAGAAATCGGGGTATGTTCGCAAACCGCGCATGTAGATGATAACTCTGAGTGGCCTGTTCGAAACGTTAGATATAGTCGAAATGCAAGTAGAATCGCTCACAGTGCTCGCATATTGCCTGATCACAGCAAGGCAACCTAAATGCATTGACTGCGAGTCTGCTGCAGATTGCGCAACGAAGCTTGATAGGGATCTCATCCTGAGATAGAGAGCTGTTTCAATGTTAGCAGAGCGTCTGGCAGGAAGCATGTGGCGAGAGGTATCTGGGAAGAAGCATCTGGGACAGCAACCAACCTTATAAGCTCTGCCTGAGCTGGGGTGATGGTGGACGCCGCCATGACAACTCTCGCGCTCCTGTTTCCCACGCGGAGAAGACTCGTAAGATTCTTCAAGGAAGTGTTCGCATATCGTAGAGGGGAAAGAGATCAGACTCTTTGCGAGGCGCAATATGACATGGTCGTGAATCACGGAGCGTCGCGATCGCGATTGTCAAGAAAAGATGCTTCAACGCTAGTGGACTTCCGATTGGCGCGCACGTGACTGTAGCAAACCACAACTCGGAGTCATCCCTCTTCTAGAGGCTCGTTGAAGAAACAATCAATTGTACGTAGAGGCACGGGGGATCCATGCATGCCTTTCTTAATAGGAGTGTTCTACGTTGCTATGTCGGGAAAGGCTTCCTACTTAGCATATTCGGCTAAGTTTAGTAACCTTAGAGATCATGTCATCATTTGGGAGAAAGCTCCATTTTGATGTTCCTGCGAACACAACAGGCAATCGATGGAGAGTCTTTTGTGTTGATATCAATTGACTCTTGAGTTCGATCATGATACTTGGGCAGGTTTCCTGGCTTGATTGCTTTGTCTTCTTAATTTTCCTAGCACCTCAGTTGATATGGCATGTCGGCTTCTTTCCAACTCTTTTCTGTGGCTTGCAAGCATTACCTTTCTTGGGTGAGACTATCGAGTCCCTTTAACCTTACTTGTTTACAACGCAACATCATCTCAAAGGCAGTTCTCGAAACTTTGATCTAATCCTTGTAGTCATCAAATTACCTCTGAGTCTCCTTTATGAAAGACTGTTGTTGAATCGAGAACAACAATCACCTTTCGTCCAACAAGCCTCTTGGTTTGAAGATGTCATCATAAGATGTGTTCGATATGCCTTTGCCTATATTCCGGCTCAAATTGGGCGAGTCTTTTTCTCGAAGCTGGTGGCGTTGCCATTCCTGCGCTTTCGGATGTTGAGACATGGATATTTCAAGTCACCGATCCATTGGCAAGACGTTAAGCAGGTAAACGATGTTCTGAACTGTGGTATGTTTCATACTGAATTTTGGCAGAACGATTTTAAAGGCATCTGGATTATTTCAGATCCTTCCCGAAAACCAGACGTCGTAATTTATTACGCGCATGGTAGGTGGACAATCTATCCTTTCTGTTCAAAATAATGTCCTTTCTTCTGGTTATCCTCATACCTAGCTTGCAATGTATCGATGTTGTGAATATGTGGCTGATACTTTCCAGGTGGTGGCTTCTCAATGGGGTCGTCGTACTTCTACTTAGAATTTCTTCTAGCATACCTGTCACTCCTCAAAACATCAACGAAGTTCCAAAACCCAGCAATCCTTGCTCTAGAATACACGCTAGTCCCAGATGCATCTTACCCAGCTCAGCTCCAGCAAGCAGCCGCAGGATACAAATACCTTCTATCCATCACCCACGATCCCGCCCAGATCGTGTTCAGCGGCGATTCTGCTGGGGCAACAATCATTCTCTCTCTCCTTCTTCACATCGGAAACAAAACCCCGAAGAAAAATGCATCCCACGATCAACGAATTCAAAGCGGTATCGAAGGTGTTGTGCCAGGCATGGCCGTCCTGATCAGTCCTTGGGTAACGCTCGTTTCGCCGAAAGACCGCAACACGACCAGCGACTACCTTGATGCCGATACTCTCCACCAATTTGCAAGACAATATGTCGCCGACAAGCTTTCGATCGACGATCCACTTGTGTCACCAGGGAATTGTAAAGATGTCACGTGGTGGAGAAATGCAGTACCCAGCGAAGGCTTCTTCTTCAGCTACGGTTCAGAGGAAGTATTTGCTCCCGAGATCAGGGACTTAATCAAGGAATTGGACACAGTGGGTATGCACGTCGAGTATCAAGAAGCAGATGCCGGTATTCATGCATGGCCAGTAGCCAGTTTGTTTTTGTGTTCGACCAAAGAGAAGAGACTGAGAGGTCTCCAAGCCATTGTCAAGCAGATCAGTACGCGAATAGTCACCCACATAGAGGAATGATGTGTATGTTAAAATTCACTATTATCTCCACTATCTAAGCAAAACCAGAGCAGTTTCTTAGCAAACCCAGAGCAGACCCAGAGCAAGTTTTTTTTTTAGCAAAGCAAGAGCAGACCCCTGAGCAGACCTCTTAACAGACCCGAAGCAAGTTTTGTTTTCTACACTACAGACCTTCTCCACTTGTCCCGCTTTGGACATACCAGAAAGAGTACAGGCGACCATCTTCCTGACATTCGAAAGCAGATAGGATCATGAGAACGGCGTGGCGCTGAGTCTGAAAGTTACTTCAAGAATGTCAGCCAATTTTCAGAGCTTAGCACGAACTGGAATGCCAGCAAAGCCCTTATTCTCTTTCAAGAATGCCTCCGTATACAGTTCCCAACCCTCCTTGAAACGACCACCATTCTTGCGAGCCTCAACGTTGATTGGTAATTGCTTGGTCCAGGCCATAAGTCGACGATAGATGTCGCCATCCTTGCAGCCAATTACGGATCTCAAACTGCCATCGGTGAAGCAGAAGGCATCGGTCAAAGCAACGGCATCAGGAAGCAGCTCCATCAACAGATCATCGATCAAGGAGGTCATGTCGAAAATCTGAGAGTAGGTGAAGTATCCATCACCGATAAATGTAGCAGTGTATGGGGCGATTGGAGATGCAATGACCGTAAGTCCGAACAGAGAAATCATACGACGAAGGACCTGCTGGATCTCGTGAGATGCCGTCTCCTCGGGGAGTGCTAGTTGCTGGATGCAAGCCTCAAGAATGTAAACTTCGATATGCGCACGAGCGGCAACGGTCAACTCCAAGCCGAATTTGTTCTGTGCCTTCGCACGGCTCATTCCTTTTCCAACCTCGCTGCTGACTTTAGCGTGGGCTTCATGAATTAATCTCGCAGCTCGATGCTTGAAGATCTCAACCAGAACAGTCAAGTCCAGGAAGTCCTTACCCTTAGCACGGCATTGTTCCTCATCAGCTGGACAATATTGATCGATGTAAGCCATATCAACAGGCAACGTGGTAGCATCCATGCCCTTCAACAAGTAACGACCGACTTGGCCCCACATAACCCAGTTCTCGCCTTCAAAGGTACAGGTTGCGGTGATACTCGCAACAATCTCTGGAAGACCAGACATAGCGAGATAACCATGGCCACCACACATCTTACGGGCTTCTTCTGCTCCATCCGCAGCAGTCTGAGTGCTCCAAGCTTTCAAGCTGCACATCAAAGCATGAATGTATGGCAATGTGGAGTGGTCGCCGTTTGTTTGACGAATACGGAGATCAGCATGTGCAAGATTACCGGCCTTCCAGGCAAACAAGATTGCATAAGCTTGAGAGATCATAGTAAGCAAACGGTAGTGCTGGTGTTTGTATGCCATAATGGAAGTTTCACCACTGTCGTCGAGGTCTAGAGAATGACCTTGTTCTCGGACAACAGAGTATCTAGTTGCAATTGTGAGGGCTTGAGCAAGTTGGAATGCTGCAGCACGAACGATGACCGAACGGCCGTTAAGCATGCCTCCATAGACAAGCTTGTCCCGAAGTGGAACAGAAGTGTAGGCACCAAGCTGGGAGACCGAAGCGTGGCGACTAAGAAGATCTGTGCGAGGAATGCGAACATAGTTGAATATTGCGTAACCGTTGTCAGTATCGTTGTAGGACATTTTGAGTCTGTGATAATGTTAGCCGCTGTAAAGGAGGTTGCCGAGGAACACATGCCCAATATCACCCATTTCAATGCCAGGCATAGGCTTGAAATCCTCCAACGAACGGAGCTGGACCATGAATGGATGAACACCGTAGTCATTTCCATCAATGATCAACCTAGCCATAAGAATTGTGTGCGAAGCACTGTAACCGATGCCACCAGGCCCTGTAACCACACCTGTCAGTAAAAGTTTCATACTGTCTGGCAATGGAGCTGCAAACAACGCTGTTGACGCGTTGCTCAAGCCATGAACAGCAAGGACGAAAGGGCTTTGATGGTGTAAAGGGTAATTGCTTACAGTACTTCGCTGACGTCGGGGTTGGAGAATGGATGACGAACTCATCGGTCTCACGGTCAAATGTAGCAGTAGTCTCAATGCCTCCCACATGAGTACCATGAGCCATCTCTGTTTGGGAGTAAGATCCAATGATTTGACCAGACTCCGCAAGAGGAAGCCAATGGGCAACCTGCTCATCAGTGCCAACCAACTTGAGGAAAGGTGTAAAGAGGAATGCAGTCAATCCGCATGGATTTGCATTACCCAGAGAGAAAAGATGAGTGGTGTAGTCAAAGATCGAGTGATTGTGCTTGAGGCCATCTTGAAAGGTTGCCTTGCCAGCGCGAAGACCTTCAAGGAGCATTTGCTGGCGATTGAGATCTCCATAGGTCGCAGGAAGCTTGAAATTGTCGTCTCCAAGAATATTTTCGACTCTTTCGAAGGCAGCAATTGCTTGCTCCATTTCCTGCTTGCTGAATTGATGTTAGGAGAGGAGAGAGAAAAGAGCAGGGAATCACACACCTTCCATAAATGATTGTGCCCAAATCCTTTGGATCGAAGCTCGCAGAAGAGCGACCTTTCTCCATGAGCTTTGATTGACGGCTGGGAGAAGCAGAAAAGCTCTTTGAGGGACAGGTCTGCGTTGAACGGGATACACGTGGGCGGGATTCTGAACGATCCATTGTGACAATGCGCGTAGCTTACACTCAAGGGAAGAATTACAAATTATGTTTTGATGCAGAGACGAAGAGGAGCGAAGATGATATAGTGGTGGTCCTTTGTGTGTTTGGAGAGAGGAATCTTGTGGATTGTGGAGAATTTCGTGGAACAGAACTTTTCGTGAGAGGGCTCGACTCAGAAAAAAACTCGCTTCCTATGGATGCTGCCAGTGACGTCGGTATCTATTGATTATAGGTAATATGGCAGCGTGGTAAGAGGTGGTTCAGTGGCGAGCCTTGTCTATCCACCGAATGTCGGACAATGAGCAGACTCGTGGCACTCTTTTTCATGTGCACCTCCAAATGTAAAAGTTGCTCGAGAAAAGAGAGCTCTATCACACCATCATGAGGCCGGACCTTTCAATAGAACGGTTTCTCTGGGCCATTGCGAAGAACAGGAAGCTTCGACCTCGGGCTCTTTGAGCCTTCATGGAAAGTATTGCACCACCACCAATTACCCGAAAATATTCCTTGGAACAGAAGGACGCAAATCACAGAACTACTTTGGGTCCATGTCTTGAGACAACACACCAAAAAGATCCAGTCAGTTTTCGTACACCACGGTGTTGGCCTCTGTCCCGTCAAGTGTAATTTCCGAATCCACCGCCTCCTGACCTTTTGACCATCCAATGGTTCAAGATAGCCGTGCTGACAGAGAACTATTATTCACAGTGTTGACTGTTGATGAAAAGTCAATATATCGACGTTTGCGGATTCCACTTCAGATCCCTAGCAGTGATCATCACAAAGAAGCTATATACGCTTCGGGATACCAATCCACTATATAATAGATTGATACGACGTAAAGAGTATAGGTCCTGTTAATTGATGCACAAAAATATACTGTCCCCAGTGACATCAAGAGAAAGATGCCACAAAGAGCCTTGTTTTACAGAGCCTGTTGTAGAGAGCGTACGTCAAAGAGCCAATGGCAGCAACGACGCGTCAGGATAGAGAAGGAGTGACACGCGAGTGCCATATAGGGCTGGAAACTTGGTCTGCAAGACCACAGATTGCCACAGCGCCTCTTCTTTTGATTAAAAGTTCTGCAGACTTTGGCAGCAACATGGCATTGTCCTGAAAGACCCCTAAGTCGGAGGTAGGGAGTCTATTCCCGACATCACATGCTCGTCTAAGCCTACCTAAGCATGCTCCCACAAAGTAAATTTTGAAGCTGGACGAGATAGGTCGATCTCCGCCCCTTCCTCTCCATTGTTAATCCTCACCCAACACAATGCAACGAAACGCCACAACTTTAAATAACGACGCTCTGCGCGTCAGCAACGATCTGCTGTCGTCCTCAATTTCGAAACCTCATGATCTCCTCCTTTGAAGAAGAGGTGAGTCGTGGAGTGCATTGGACGCGGTAGGTGATCCCAGCCCACAGACCTCCACCCAGAGCTTCACTTCCACCTAGAGGCTACTGACTCAAGGCACTAAGATACCGTCTTATGAAAAATAGGAGAGAGCAACTCGCGAAGGAGAGTGCAGCTCGCGAAGGAGAGTGCAGCTCGCGAAGGACAGAGCAACTCGCGAAGGACAGAGCAACTCGTGAAGGAGAGTCGACTGCAAGCGAGGCAAAGGGGGTTTCGCGAGGAATGCGGTAAGTGACCGATCTACAACGTGTTGGACTTCGATCGACAACTTAATGCTGATCCTGAAGCAGACAAGCTGAACCACGAGTCTTAAAAGAGCATCAAGCTATCACGATCGAAACTGAATACGGCACAAGAGCTCATTGATACTAGTCGGAAACCAAGTCCAACCACATCGGAGCCAAGTTTCATCGGGTAGGTGTCGGCATCGACAGCTGCCTTTTGCCTCTGGCAAGGCATATCTCACACCTGGCGATAGCAAGCTGGAATACGGACTGTGCTGTGGGGAACAAAGCAGGACAGATGGATGGCGTCCAGACCTGTTGTAGCTTTGCTCCGGGGCTGGACGTCAAGGATAGTTCGAGGAGTTCGGCCAAGTTGAAGAAGCTGTAAGTAGATCCTGCGATCAACACCAGCAATAATCCTAACCCTTTGCCTTTAGGTCGTTGTCAAGGACCGCGATACTGTGGTGGCTCCGGAGACGTTGGAAGCTGCAGCTGCTGCTGGTTTCATCAAGTGATTGCAATAGTTAGCCCTTGTGGGAGATCACAAGCAATTGCAAGCCACCTGCCCTTAGGTCGTCGTCAAGGACCTCGATATTGCGGCGGCTCCAGATTCGTTCGCTATATCAGTGAGCAAGAAGCTGTTATCGATGTATAAGCAGAGAAGGCGTGCGGTGTAACTGGTCGCAGCTGAGCCGATAGTCCCTCTAAGAAGCCGGCATTCAGCCAAGGCTTCGTTGCTTCTCTCTTTGCAGGAGCAAGAGGCCGAGGCTGCAATCAATGCCATGAACAACATCGAGTGAGTTCAGGAATACATACAATCCCGTGTGGATGCTGACAAGCGCAGGTTAGATGGTCGCACTATCAGAGTCGACAAGGCCAGAGTGGCGTGTGCCATCCAAGAGGCTGAGGCTGCAATCAATGCCATGAACAACATCGAGTAAGATCAGAAATATACAATCCCATGCGGTTGCTGACCAATGCAGGTTAGATGGGCGTACTTTTAGAGTCGTCAAAGGCCAGAGTGGCGTGTGTGGTTGCTACTGCCGCGACAAGAACAGGAACGACAAAAGACGGCCGAGGCAGCCATCAATGCCATGAACAACATCGAGTAAGTTCAGGAGCACATGCAATCCCGTACGAATACTGACCAATGCAAATTAGATAGTACCATTAGAGTTGACAAGGCGAGAGTGGCGGGTCCACGCAGAGCTCAACACTTCTACTAGTAGTGTTGGTCATCAAGCCAGCGCCTATCCTTTGAATTTCAACACTGATCTCGTGGTCATGGTCGTCGACGAAGCGATACCCTGATAGTCATCTCTGAAAGTGGTGGTGTGTTCCACCGACGAAGTGGTGGAAGATGAATGTGATCATGGATATTGGGATGACTAGCCAACGGTGTTATCGAGTTGGATCGGAGGACATGTGTCTGGAGTGGCGTTTTTGTCTCGGCGTAAGTTCTTGTACTTGAAGACATAGCATTTAGACAATGCAAACCCATCAAACATAGCCGCCTTGGCGTGCAACTTGAATCGTAGTACAGGTAAGTCATCAGCTGTGCTTACTTCTGCTGGAATGGATACTGAGACACCGCCTAGACACTGGAATACTCAATCCTCTGTTCTTGCATGGAAAGGTTCCAGATTGGAAGCACATTTAAGCTTAAGCTGCGCCAGTCTTTGCTGCCTACCGGATTTCTGGGGCGCTCTTTCTGGAGCTTTGCAGTTAAATCTTACTCACTACACTTTTCCAATTGCCAAAGACTCAGCCTGAGCGTGCGATATCGAAAGAGCACTGAGTATGGACATGTTTCCAAGCCTAAGCAAAGGTGTCGGGCGTGCCATAAGGAACTGGCGACGAGCAAGGTCTCTGAATTGTAAACTAATTGCTTTTCTTTCCTTGAAGCAAATTTTTTTGGCAGGCTATATATTCTGAACCGTGCTTTACAGGGACAGCAGAGATTGATAATACGGAGCTATTGCTGACCGGCAAAGAATTAGAGGATCCGATTGCCAAGCAATCTCTGAGTAGCGACGATATCGATAACACTGCTGTCGAGAGAGCTGATATCCAATCCTTGGTTTTGGACGATGGCCTGCAAACCAAGCTTTCCCAGACCGAATCTGGTATGTCCCTGCTTTTGATGCGAAGTGAGACTAATTGTTGATAGTACGGTCGGGTTGGCAACCTTCCCTTGAAGCACCTCGTTACCCACAATCAACAATGCCGTACACAAGTTACTACCATAGTACTACTGCCAACAATCTTTGCATTGGACCAATGTTGAAACGATCTTTTCTAGGAAAGCTTTTCCGCGTGGAAAAGTTGAATATGCAGGTTCCGTTTTCAAGATATTTTTCCAATACGATCCGAATCAACAAGGCCAATTCCGAGAAAAAGCCGGCATTGAGACAAAGCAGCATGAAGATGCGTTTGTCAGGTTTGTGAGAGTTCTTGATATCAGAGCTCATGTGCTGATTTCGAGGACAAGTAGCTGACATTGGTACACAGACCATGAATCATCAACTTCCGACGCGCATTTCAATCTCGACAACTCCGCACAAGGATCCGAGTTCATCGATCGACTCGCGATCGATGAAGACACTCTGAACACCATCCAACATGGTGGTCGACGTCTGATAGTGGAGTCGATAGTGTCGTTGCCACTTTGCTCGATCCCGGAACGAGTTGGACTTGTGAGGTAAGCGAAGCTTTTTACATCCTGGCTGTTGAGACTTCCGTATTTGAAAATTTTCGTTGTATAGACTTCGTTCTTGCCGTTATCAAAATAACTTCTTCGTTTGATGATTACAGTCCGAGATAGACAGCTCTCTTATCAGAGTTTCGTCTGATGATAGCATCCCAAGTGTCGAGTCCGAGGGTATAATCTGCATTTGACCAGTGAGGAAGATTTTGTGTCAAGTGTGACATTGTCTGGGGCAGTTGTTCGGTCGTGTTCTTGAACGAGTAACGGTTGCCGAAGTTTGAGATATTCGTCATCGGCATCGGCTTTGATTGTCTCATTGAATAAGAAATGGGTTTCCAGAGTATGAAAGGCTTGTTATCGGTAATGGCTTTGATTTCCATGTTGAAGAACCTTGGGACCACTGGTCTCATAGAATTGTTCGGAACATGTAAGAGGTTATCTTTGGGATTCGTTATTAACGCCTTCGAAGACGGCTTGATTTCAAAGACGAAACGAAGTAGCTGTAAATGATATCGAACCAAAGCTGCCAGACAGAGGTCGACATTCTGCTTAAAGAGAAGACTGAGCGGATGTGAGATTGTATTGGAAGCTTCATGACTGGATCGCAAAGTTTGATCTCTTCAAGCGCATAGAATTTGTGAATGACCCAGACACCACAGCGGAGAAGACCTTAGAGTAAACTTATTATCTGAGGTCTGAAACTGCTAGTGGGAGAACAGTGCGAGATGTCTGGGCTGGGCGAGAACGTGATGGGAACTTGTTGGTGAGTGATAGGGTGTGGTGAGGTGTTGGAAGAGGTCGGCGCGGATTGTGGATGCTGGGCTGGATGGTATGTTCATTTCGTCTTTATCGTTGTCGAGATACTGTATCCGTCTGATAGTCGTTCGACAAGGCCACATCAGGGTGACTGTGTAATCTCCGTCTCTATTCGAGAGCGCGCACGAGATATTGACGTGATGTTGACGTGATGGAGCCCAGATGATACGTGCAGGGACAATGACTGACGTGTAACGGTGTGAGAACAGATTGGCCGTGTTTGAAGCAATACTGGAGTCTTGTCGTGTCCTGAGACGTGTGGCTTCATCGTTGATGTCGATGTCCTGGTCTGCTCTGCTGGACAAGCTGGGCCCCAACGCACACTGGCAAAAGTACAGCGATAGACAGTGGAAAAGGGGGTGGAGGATATAGTGGCTGGAACGGTAATGATAGTCATCGTAAGCAATATTTTTCTTCGTGGTGCCACCTTTGCTAACGATGCGACAGAGTACTGGGTGACTATACTCTTCAGATTCTTTGTCTTTCTCGCTTTGGGACGTCGACGCCAATGTCGCTGGCTCCCGGGCTTGTTGAACATGGAGATATCGACTTTCTCTTCTGGTATTTTGACGAAGTTGGCGATCGGGTTGGGAGTCGTGTGATTCCTGCTTTTCCGAAGTACCGTTGTTGCAGCTGTCATTCTGCTTGCGACCTTGGGTGGTGGATGGTTGTTATTTGAGCAAATTTCGACTAGGACGCCGAGCCCTCAAAAGGCCGGTGGCGTGAGTCCTGAGGGCTGCTATATCCTTTGTGCGAATTTGTTCTGTTTGTGAGATGTTTCTGGGAAAACCGACCCATGAGAATCTCGACTGCTACTGGTACGTCTTGGCCGTCCTGCTTGCCAGTCCCATCTCAGACAAAGCACACAGAGGAGCACATTACCTGTCAAGTTTGTGATGGCGTGTTCATTTTGATGGATGCGAATCAATCTTAAAATGTTAGAAAAGCGTTCTAAATCAAACTGAACAATATTAGGTGAATTTTGCTAACAGTTTAGGCTCAGATACATACCGATTTTCAGAAGCGAGCTCTAGCTCAGGCAAGAACCGGATCCGAACCGCTGGAAGCTCCATTTTCCTGGTGGTGGCGCTCGTCTTCAGTAAGTCAACCAACTTCAGATTTAGCGATTCCCTTACGAAGCAAGGGTCGTAAAAGCTAACAGTGTGGAAGCAGAGGGGATGTCCAAGAGCCGCACTCTTCAACTCGGACAAAGTGCCTTCCTTTACCTTTTACTGAAATACTGCCATTCCAAATCCATTCGAGTTGCCTTCGGCTCAACCCAACTTCAATAAGAGCTTCGGACAAGGCATAATGCGTCACATGCAATCGCCATCGACTGTAAGCCCATACAACAGCTCTGGAAGCAACATTGGAAGCAACATGCAAACATCAAGTCCCATCAATGCTTCGTTTGGTTCCATCGTCTGCACTAGAGGTTGTTCTACCCGGGATCACTCCCAAGGCTTCGTCACAAACCTCCACGCCTGCCTACTCGCTCAAGAATTGTTTCTACTTGAGCGGGAGAGTATGGGTGATGACCCTGGTCTTCAGGGTCATCACACGCGATCACCCTCCAATGGAGCCATATCACAGCTTTGGGAGCGGCATTGGCAATATCCAATCACCAACTCCTGCAAGCACGTCATTCGGTTCTAACGTTGCTTGGGGTGCACTTCCTCCCAAGATGAGTCTTCCAGATGGATCCGTTTCCCGCTGTGACCCTGGCTTGCCGTATCTAAAGGCTTTGCCTGCGGCAGACCAATTAGTGTAGTTCTTTGTAGGTAGTTCAACGAGAATCCTCTTCTCCGTCTCGCTTTGCATTAGGTCTTCTCCTGATGTTCTGTTCTGCCGTTCGCCGGAGTGTATAACCTCTTTTAAGGATTGGCACTCGTGCCAAGTTTCGTTGAGGTTGACAATTCGACTTGGCTTGCAGAGCCTTGCCAAGGTGGACAGATATTCGGATTTATATCTTTTGAAGCCGTAGAGATAGACTGCCTGAATGACTTTACATTCATTTGGACATAGGTGGCTTTGGAGATCAGACAGGATCTGAGCTCATTCTTACAAGTGCCAAGAACCGTAGTACTCGCGCAGTCTCGAAGCTTTGTTACCTTTGATGGTAAAGATGGCTTCACCAGGGGTTGTTTCAGTTGTAGAGTAATCGCAGGGCTAGTTACGGTTCGGACAATGTCATGGCATGGCCACGATCGCATGAATGAACATAAACTGAAACCTAGTTATCGAAAAAAAAAGTTGTTCCAATCCTCACGACTAGAGAATTTGAGATGATATTTCTCTTAAGCACTGGCATTTGTGAGGTATGAGAAGACATCAGAAGGGATGTCATTCGCATTCATGGTATTTACTGCAGACGTGCAATGCTAACATAATCAGACATACACAACGTACCGTAAAACCACTACTTCTTGAAGAACCCTTTTGAAAATGGTTTCCGGTTAGAATCAATCTTCATCCCAGACCTTCCCTGAAGCCACGACTCCTTCACAGATCGAGCATTATGAGCTGCCTTTGGTGCCAAGTTCGTGCTTTGAGTCTTCGTGACACGATACGTTGTTTTACCAACTCGTCGATCTTTGGGTCCCTTCTCTAAAAGCTCCTTGAACTTCTTCTTCCTTGGGGCTATCCTCGGCGCCTCTTCAGCAGCTATGACTTCGTTTGGATCGTCGTCCTCCAGGAATTCCAGAGGTAAGAGATCTGGTACATCTCGATGTCTTGAGATCCTCGTAGGTGGAGCAACATCATCTTCGTCGTCGATGGCTTCAATATCAGCACGGACTTTTTCGTCCTCATCGTCGTCCGATTCGATCGTAATGATTACTCGATCCTCAAGCCTTTCCACCTCAGTCTTCGGTTTACGTTTCTTTGTAGACTCCGCCTGCTTCCTCAGAGTCTCTTCTCTCTCCTTTCGCTTCTGGCGAGATGCCGCTGCTTGCCTATAAATATGTCAGTAAAAGTTATGCAGGAACCATGCAACGGTAACTCACTCTTTGACCGCCTTTGCAGCATCCTTCTCCCTTGCTCTGATTGTCTGGGCGGCCTCCTGCATACCAACAGCTTCGGGAGCATCATCATCACTGTCTTCATCCTCATGCTCTTCAGATTGACTATCCTCGGCATTTCCGGCAGGCTCCCTTGTAGTGGAAAAAACCTCCTCGACGGGTTCTTCGCTGTCAAATCGACGATGGTTGGTCTTTCTGCCGCTTTCATGACCCTCAATTGTCCCTGTCGTAGCCCTTGGGGGACTCATCGTTCTCGCGGGTATCTCGACTACAGGTCTGGTGCTTGGGAGTTTCTCCTCGTCTCCATCTTTGCCACGGACCGGAAGGACCTTTCTCTTCTTTGGACTCGGCGTCTTGACTTTGACCTCACCGCTCAAGTCAGATACTGTGCGCTTCCGAGACTTGCTTCTCGGAGGTGGAACATCTACGATGATCGAGTTCTCGTCGTTTAATTCTTCGTCTTCGTCTTCGTCGAGAAGCTCATGTTGATGCGGTCTGGCTTTGACCATAATATCGTCAGTCGTTGGCGAAAGTTGTTTTGGGTTTGGTTGGGGCGTATATATAAGAGATCTAGCAGATTGAATAATTCTGGAGAACATAAAGCCTTGGTTTGTTCGAAGTTGCGGTCGTGGATGTATGCGCTTGATCTGGTGGGATGCAAATATGAATTTTCTTGGCAGAAAGCGAACGAATTAAAATGACACTAGTCTCACCGCCTTCACGACAACATCAGAGTTCAATTTGACCTAACCAATTTCGCGCAAGCAGTCCAAGATACGGTTTTGGAGGCATTGAGTTCATTGATATTGTCGAATCCCTTGTGTTGAACTCCTTTGCTTCCAATATTCCTTGACAGCTGAATCAAGAACCAATAATGTCCCGATTTGAGTCTCGTGCCTCGGCCTACATTGGGATTCTTCTACCTACATGTAGAAATACGATACGACAAGCAAGATGCTTTCACCCAACTTCTATCCCAAAGGCCCGACCAATTGCTAGAGCATCGCCGAAAACCAGAGCCAGATTGCAGCAACAAGAAGGCTCGATCAGAGTGAGGCAAGCACCAAACATTGAAGACTCTCTACCACCAGTTGTCCTTCTCAATTCGGCAAGAAAATCCGGTCTTCTTCAAATAGAGCCTGAAAAAGCCCTCGATTTTCTTCGTCAATACCAACAGCTAGCTGTAAACCCAGTTGGCTCATGGGAGCAAACATTATGTAATCGTTAGTACCTCGTTTACGGTTCGAATAATGTCTAATTCGAACAGAACATAACATCGACCCTGCTACTGTCGCTACCCTTGCTGGGATTCTGAGAAGAAGCCATGATAAGGCACAGCAGGTGTTAGCCAAAAAGATTATGCTGACGGCTTCCGCTCTGGGAGACAAATCGGCGACTCTGGAGATCATATCAGCTGCCCTCCGTTTAGGTAAATTACATGATTATCCCGCGCCTCTTCGACAACTTGGTATCCTTGCAAAGAAAGAGAATGATCTGCCAGCCTTAACCTTTCTCGGCAAAGTACACAATGCCCATGGTGATAAGAGAGGAGCATTGGAATGCTTTCGAAAAGCTACCAGACCTCCAACTGGCAATCTCGAATTCTATGGAGCTGGAGATGCTCTCGTGTCTGAGGGGCTGATTCTCTTGGAATTGAAAGACAAGGATGGTGCAGAGACTGCATTTGAGAAAGCCGCTTTGGAACTTGATGACCCGGCAGCTTATTTCTATCTTTCAAAACTCCAAGAGCCAGGTTCTCCTCAAGAGCAAATCTATCTCCTCAAGGCAGCTTCATCAGGTATCACAGAGGCGTGGCATAATCTTGGAGCACTAGAAATGGCAAAACGAAAGGATACAATAACGAAGCCGAGCAAAGTGGAAGACTTCGGAATGGCGTACGATTGGTTTCAAGTCGCTGCTACAGAGGGATTTGGACTAAGTATGCTGAACTTAGCGTTGATGTACAAGTCCGTGGGAAATGTTGAAGAAGGAATGACATGGTTGGAGAAAGCTGAAGAGAACGCGGATGTTCGAGACCAAGCAAGAGCGATAAAAGCAGACTTTCGAAACAGCAATGTGGGCGCCATATGATACCGGGCAAAGGCCAGCATTTGGATATTTCGGCTGATTCATCCGCGGCTCATGCACTGTTGCACATGGTCGGCCTTTTATTCTGTCAAGAAGACGGACATGAGTCGTTAAGACTCTCTATTTTCTCGAGCTCTACGGGTCAAGGGCTTTGGCATTGATCGTGGCTTACCCCAGCCTCAAGCTGGCCCGGAGCCTAGATACCACGCGGCTTTCCTTAAATCCTCCAGGGCCTCAGTGATTGGTCGACAGTCCTACTTTGTATGATACCCGTGGCCGCGCCAACGATGAACCCCCACGCATGTTCGCGTGTTTGTACGTTAGTTTCAAGTCCCCATGACTAACATTGCCTTCTTCCGACCCTTCATTACACATAATCCAAGTATCCTAGATCGGGTCGAGTTGAGCAAGCCATTAGTGTTATCCCGACTGAATAGCACAGCGCTGATATCGCGCATATCCTGTAGCAACGTCATGATCATGCGGAGCTTGGACTCTAGTTGAAATTGTATGCTGTCCGTCTTACTGCGCAAGTGAGTACACATTTCAAAGCTGCTCCACTGCAGCAAATTGCGATTGCACAACTCCTCCTCCTGCAATGTTTAAATCAGGAACAATGTACCCCGAGGTACATTGAGTAAGTAGCAGCGAATCTTGGCACAACAGTGTGAGTTGCATACTCCCTGGTGGAGATCGACATGCTTACTGATTCAGCGCTCGACGAATTTTGGTCTGACGAGCGGCGGAGCCTGTGGCTTCGGCCTGTATAGCCTCTGCGCCCAAGGAAGCGTTACAGCAAGCTGGACCGATGCTTGGTTAGGTGATACCTACACTGCTTTCTGCACCTCTTATCCCATGCTCTGTAAAGATCCTTCCAATACAACACTCCGTGGCAATTTTGCTGCGCCAAATGGGGATTACTACACCCAAGTATGTAACAGCTCAATTCTCTTCTTTTCACGAAAGGCGCTGATCAGTACAGGACTGGCCATCGCTTCCTGGTGGCTTTGATAACTACCTATGTGCGGAGAATGCATGGAGCTTGTTCAAACAGAAGCTGATAGAACGCATTATGCTGTCGGAGAAGCAGGATACACTGATCCGATTGTACTTGAAGTTGTTGATAGTTGTCCCTGTAATACCAATAGCAATGGTGCTGTGAGTCCCCCTTCATATCCACAGCTCTGACTTTCCTGATCATGTATGCAGGTGGTCCAGGTGCTGATCATGGCGGCGAAATCAACTTCAAGTATGGCTGTCCTTTGCCAGTGGGCAGCATCCTCCTTGATCTATCAGACATCGCCATGGGACGTCTCTAAGGGAATGGCTCTCTCACAACAGGTGTAATTCCCACTCGCTACAAACGAATCCCTTGCTCCACGCCAGGCAATATCTACCTCTAGCTTCGAGACGAAAGCGAACCTTACTATTTTGCCCTCTCAGGTCAACACTACAGGTATCAGCTCTGTCGTTAGCATCGAAGTTCAAGGTACCGGCACGACAACTTGGACAAGCCTCATCCATGACCCAAATCACACTGAGTCTCGACCTCAAGAGAGATATGGGAGCTGGACAATTCCGCAGGGCACTGGACCGTTTGAACTTCCTGTCGCGGTAAGGATTACGAGTCCCAGTGGTGAGCAGGTTGTTTCGATGGATGCGATAACCACGTTTATTGCTCCGGCGAGTACGCCGGCTGGGTTTTACTACATTGATCTTGGGGTACAATTCTCTTCTTAGCATAATGGGGGAACTCGCTGCGATAATTCCATAAATTGTACATATCATCCCTTATTTTTAAGAATTTTACACGATTAAATATTGAGATTTTGTTCGTAGGGTCAAACAATGCTCCTGTGACATGGACTCATCCAAAACTGACAACATGATGTCTGTGTGACTGTAATACCATTCTAATCCGACCTCGACATTTTGGATCTGAGTACAGGTTCTCAATACCCACAATGAAGTTCTCGTAAAGTGCCACAGTTTTTGCAGACTTCTTAACGTAAGATAAGCAGTTGTATTGATGCACTAACAGTATGTATTTCTCAATATCTCATTCCACCTCATCAATTGCCGTTTCAAGAAAGTCCCACGCGCTTCCCAGACTATTTCCCTCTATATTGCTTATCCTCTATTGAGAATTCCCTCAAGGAAGAATTTGCGTCCATAATTAGCACGACCTGAATGTCAAAATTAATAATGAAACGATTAGCTCCAGAAAGACTTAGTATCCACAGCCATTGAGATCGATAAAGAGATTCCACAAAACATCACGTATTATAAGTAAAGAAAGCTACAAAATACAGCATGGTTAAACACAAGTAAATAAAAAGGCATATCTCCAACATCTGAACATCATACCACATTAGACTTTACCTACGGCAAGTCACTGCTAACAACCTGACATCCTCCACCACTCCAACCCTTCACCTCAAGGCACCACGCCATAAACCACTCCCTCCCATCCACTCCCAACATTCACCGATGAAATCCTCCAGACATCACGCCATAAACCACGTGATCGGATGCGAATACACAGGTCTACAAAAGCCCCCAGAAGTATATAAACGTCGCTCACCGCAGCTCCAGAACAACAACAATTCTCAAACGGTGCGAATATTGGGTATGGGTGGTGTGTCCACCGGGGTGTGGGAACCCAGAGATTTGGACCCGGTGCAGTGTGCTTTTACTGTGGGAAAATAGAGGAGATTTTTAGCAGTGCATTGGGAATACGATGACAGTTGTTTATTGACAGTGAGATGATGTTAACAGCAGTGGGACATTGGTTGGCAACGGACAATTAGGGGATGAAAATTATTAGCGACAGGAAAATGATTGAGCAGACGAAAATTAAGAATTGAGGACAGACAAATGAAAGGGCTATACAAGTTCTGCATGGGGCAGACATTCTTGTTCTTAGAGTAACCAATATATACAAGGGCATTTGGAGGAAAATAAGTGTTCTTTTTGTGTTTACCGCGCAATGAATATGCTGATTGTGTGGAACACGGACAATGATTTCAGGTTGGATTTTATGTCGGGCAAACTTGCCGTCTAAAAAGAACATCCTGTAAAGTGTAATCATCACGGACAAGGAAGGCACTGCCACAAGTGAAAATTGGAATGGAGAAAAAGCAACGAATTCATTTGAAGACCAACGCACGCATGTTATCATTTCGCCATAGTAATGCTATCCACCAACGCCAAACCCAATCGAGAATTATCCTCCCAACCCCAGCAATCCCAACCAGACCTGCCCATATTTCCTCTCACTAATCATCACTCTTCTTTTTTCGTCCTCTACCCTTCTTCGGCTTCTTCTCCTCCTCACTACTATCACTCGCCTCCACCTTCTCCTTTCTCTTCTTCGCCTCTCCTCCAGCACCCTCCTGCGCCTCACTAACTCGTCCCACAATCTCAGCCAAGAAATCGAATTGCTCCGGACTGCCCAATACAACCTGCTTCAAGTGCTGCGCCGTGACCTTCTTTCCGCCCTTCTCCCGCGCCTTATCCGCCGCTCCGCTAACCAACGCAATCATGAAGAGCTCCAAAGCCTTGCTGACCGCAACCGGTGTAACCTGCGCCACCTTGCCGACTTCCTCGTCTGCTTGCATGATGCGCTTTATGCGCGCGACGGGGAACTTGGTCTTGATCTCGATGTTGTTGGGATTGGGGTTCTTGTAGGCTGGTGGAGGGGCGTTGGAGGAGAAGGTGTTAGAGGAAGAGGAAGGGTCGGCTTTTATGCGTGGGCCTCGAGACGACATGGTGGGGGAAGGGATGTAGTCTCCTTCTGCGTCGAAGTCGCTGTATGAGGATTCGGTCTTGACGAGGGGATTTCGAAGGCTCTGATGAGGCGTGAGATTGGGGTTGCCGAATGAATGTGACGGTGGCAGCACGGGGATCGGGGGCATGTATTGGTTGCTGCCGTACTCGTTGAAGTCGTTGTAGGATTGATTGGTTTGGTACGCGTGGATATTTTGGTGGTATTGAGGTTGAGGCGCGTTGTTGAAGGAGGGAATGACTGGCGACCTCGGTGCGTACGAGGTGGATTGCGGTTGTGGCTGATAGGGTTGTTGCGTTTTGGGAGGAGAGGAGAGGAAGCTGGACAGGTCGGGGGATTGAGGCGCATATGTAGAGTCCATTCTTTTCTGCTCGCGAGGCCGAGCTCTTATTTATTCGCTGGCGAGTGAATCGTTTTTGGTGAAGGCGGTGGGCGTTATGCAAGGCTAATGCAGTCGTGATGAAGCCCTGTGAAAAGCCAAATCGAGGAGGTGGACCTCCAAATCCGCGCTTCCGATTGGTTGAAAGTGTGCTAAGCTTATGAAATACGGTAATCCGGTCACAGATTGTCCAAAAGACCAATGTATGACCGTAATACCGTGTATATTGCCTGGAATTGTGTGGTAAACAACCCCTCGATACAATCGTGGCTGCCAAATGAGGACAAGTGGAACTCTGGGCGGTGAAAGATTGATTGGGTGTTCGGCGAGTTGAGGACGTCGGAGTAAATATGATCCGATCCGACTATGAAAGGCGCGAAGCCGTTTCAGGTATCGTGAAGAGAATGAATTTAGCGTGAAATCGATAAGAAGTAGTGGTAGTCGGACAGTGTCGGAACAAAGATGATCCGAAGTGAATAAGTCGGATTAATAAATGATCCAGAGTGAATCTCCGTAAAGTTTAGCCGTCGGTGAGTGGATGGTGTCGAGTGAAGAGTGGGTCTCGCGGTGCAGTCAAGTTTCACTGCAAGCGAGCGTGCATCTGCATTTTTTTCTCGGGGAACAAGGCCACTTATTTGTACGGAGCAGCCATCCCTCGAGTCGTGCTATGACGCATCAGGTTAGACCGTGCATAAAAATTTCCCAAGGGGTTGATGATCTTTGACGACATCAACAATGGAGTTACTCCATCGTCATCAGAAATATTTCACAGGGTTGAGAATGTCTATCGCAATATTTGAGAAAAGCTTTTCATGAGTTCACGCCCTCGTCTTGGCGGACATGATGCGTCGTTCGGTGTTTACGGATATTCGTTCCACAACAGCTTACATCTGTCCTATTTAACCGCGTCAGCCTCGCGGCGAAAGGGCGACATTCAGCTCCAGCCTTACTGAATGCCGAACGCCCCTCGCCCTTTCTCCTTCGTCGCCCTCTCGCCCTTTCTCATCTGTCGCAATATCATGTTTTGCATGCAGGTTATCGTTGTTTAGCTCTTTTTATCCTTGTCTCGTTGTCGCCCTTCAGAAGTCTGGAGGCCTGACAGGCAATACTTTTCAGAAGTCTTGGCATATTTTCAGGCACCGAATGTTGAATGATGAAAAATCGAGCACTGAGATCATCACAGCATTAATGCAACTTCTCGAATTCGAAACCTCGTCTTGTACGACGGTATCTGTCTGAGTGGGGTGATTGATGAGGTCCAATAACTTGATCTAATCTGACAACATGCCTGGCTAAGACACCTTTTCTGAGCGGAATCATTTACTTTTATCATCGGATTTTAATGCTCCATTTGAAGCAGATGCATGCTATTCGAGAGTTGTAATGTGTAAGGGTTATCTGACATCTTGCAGGAGTGGTTGGTTATGAATCTTTGCTGCATGAGTGATCCTCCTTTGTGGCGGGTGAACTGTCAATAAAGCGCAAAGCTCAGATACATCCCTTTTTCTGACCTTTCCTTTCACTTACTCATCCCATCAGTGAGTTCCAAGCTATAGTTTACAAAGAGTTGGTCGAAGAAGGTGGAAGAAGTGGGGCTAAGGAGGGTATCGGTAGCCGTGCCTGTTGCCTACATATGCTTCCGGCAAGTTGGATGCCTTATACATGCCATCTGAGTTGGTTGTATGTACCTCAATCTGAATCATAATCCTAGCGTCGAGTCTCTACAAGTTTTGCTGCATGTCGCAAGGTCGGGCAGTTCTTTCCCGACTTACTAGTGATATGCTTTGTTGCATATCGCATGGCTCCATCGCCCTTTCCAAGACTGACAAGCTCTCATCACATGTAGAACCTTAAGTCCTTTCTTACCTAAGTAGTCAAAAGTGTATTATACTGCATTATGGTCGCAGATTTCATTTCTGATTCTGCTAAAGCCTGCTGAATGTTATTCTTCTAATCGTCCTCTGCTACTCAATGTCTGCGTCGTTCGAAGCCTTCAAATTCCAATTGCTTCAGCCTGAGATCGTCCTGGAGAGATTCGAACCACTCCCAGTGCGTCAATCCATGTAAGCAGAAAGTCCGAAAGCCTCCATAACCCTGAATCTCAGGTTGAACACCGACTCTACACGTGACAGGAACACCACGTGCGATGTTACAAGGATCTGCAGTCAACCGAGATCGATAAGAACAGCTTCATCTTGCATTCCACCTTCTAAGTTCATCCATCCCACCTTGGATCTACCCTGCTCTGCCTGAGATCTCCAGTCAGGTACGGTACCTGATAAGAGGAGAGACGTTACATTATGATTGGGCCCTGAAATTTTATTGCGCAGCCATTTTAGGCTTTATTTCACCATGTTCCCCTCATCGCGAACTTGCTTCCAGGATCATCTCAAAACATTGGTTACGATGCTCACAACTTTCCTCATTACTGCACTCTTTCTGCAGGTATCATTTAGCATTCGGACTTCTCGAGATATTATTTATCGAGCGCCCAATGTCACGTCTCCGGAAATTCCGCTCGATGTATTCCAGGTCGAGGCACCGTTGAGGAATACATATGAGGGTGCGGCTTGTCAACAAGTTATTATGCAACACAATTTTACTGCAAGCTATGGCAGTCCCTATGTTGGTAATAACTCCCTCCTTCTTTCATCGACCTGAACTGACAGGCAAGGCACGTACTCGCCTCCCAAGAATTGCACGTTCACGACTACAATTTTTAATATGTCTATCACCTCAATTGGCATCAACTATGATCGATTAGGTCTCATCTTCTTGGGCGACATTGAAGTTTGGAGGACCACAACAGCAATGCCTGTACGAACCGGAATTTACTACAATTTTCAAAAGGACATGACGATCTTTGACACCCTCCTCCAGTCGGAACAGAAAGTGATCATGGAACTAGACAATATCTACGATTCAGTATTCACAGGCAACTATGATGTCACAATGACAGCGCTGTACTTCAACGATCACGACAAAGCAACACCAGCAGATCTTATTCTTCCCATCTCAGCCGAGCTTTCATCACAGAATAAATCTTCTGTTCTTTCTCTACCAGATGGGAATGCGACAGTGTCATTCACTTTGCCAAGAAACGTAGAGAGAGCCGTTGTTAGCATCCTTGCCTCGGGAAACGGAGCCGAGGAGTTCTGGTATACAAATGTCCCAACCCAATACGATGACACCTTTAACAATACCGCACTTTCTGGATACGGCCCGTGGCGCGAGGTTCAACTTCTGGTTGATGGTCAAGTTGCTGGTGTAGGGTGGCCCTTTCCAACTGTGTTTACTGGAGGCATTAGTCCCGGTCTCTGGGTTCCGATCGTTGGAATTGATACCTATGACTTGCCGAGCTTCGAAATTGATATCAGTCCTTGGCTTGGAGTACTGTGTGATGGGAAGTCACACACATTTGCGATGGAAGTTGTGGGATATGATTCTGTGACAACACTTGGCACGGTAGGCTCGAATTGGTGGATCACCGGATCAATTTTTCTTTGGGTTGACAGTGCAGGAAGTCAGACGACAGGAACAGTAAGTATGAAGATAACTTCATCTTCCGCAAGCTAATACAAGACAGACTATTCAATCATCCACCGCTGCACCGTCGTTCGATTTTGCTCCTACGATTGGAACTGCTTCGGGTCTAAATACCTCCCTGCTTGTCTCCCTCTCCGCTCATCGAACCATCAGCCACAGTAGTACAATCACCACCTCCCACGGTCCCCGCACTCTCACATGGTCCCAATCCCTCTCCTACATTAACAAACAAAACTTTACCGCGTTAGGCTACAACGCGACTCTCTACCAACTCACATCCGGCACTTCATCCTACTCCCCACTACTATCCCATCCTTCTACAGAAACCGACTTGATTACCAACAGTTACAGCTATCCCATTTCCTTCACACAACAATACATCGTTCCTATAGACCCCACAGTTGTGAACAGCACCTTAATCGCAGACCTCGATCGCAGTAAACTTACCTCCAGGATACCCATCCTATCCTACCTCACCAAACCTTCTGTATTCTCCGCTCCAGAGGTTCTATCAACAAGACAGAACGGCAGCTGCATCTATTTCTGGAACAATACCTACTACGATTTCGCTGGTGCAATCGATCCAGCAATGGGGACACTAGGAGCAACAGAACAATGGTTCAGCTTCTCGGGACCTGTAGAAAGTGGTGGAATGGAGAGTTATGGGAGGCATGTCAGGGCTATAGATGGCTACGTGCCTGTTCTGACAGAGGATGAGACCTTTGACCATACGATTGAGGTCCCAGAAACTCAGATTGTGCCCGGGAATGAACTTTGAAGGTGCTAAACTTTTAGATCACTAATAAAAGTCTTGAAAAACTATTCCTTCCTCCTTGAGTTTCGCACATTCTCTCAGTCAATTGCTTACGAGTTACATTCCCTCCAACCTCGCTCTGGTGCAGCACACAAGTCTCACGTGTTTCGTCCCAAATAGGCAATGATCGCTCTTGTTGCACTCGCAGCAGTGGTAAAATCGTCGTTCCCACACGGAAAACACAATGTGTTGTGACCATTATATGCAGCTCTCATCTTTGCTTGGAATTATTCCTGCTGTGTTAGTAATCTGCTTTCAATGTTAATTATATCTAACGCTGCCCACATTGGTACTTGAGATGGCGGGGTTTCGCTGACAGTAGTGGTTGACAAAGAAGGCGTGGATTCCATGGGGGTAGAATCCGATGCAATGACTTGTTACCTGGACAAAAGAGCTTCTTGTATCTATTCAGCTATTTTCACAGGAAGTTATGAAAGATTTAATCAATTCTTGTCCGGTCGGTCAGTCAGAAGTTGGTGCGGTCAGTTGAAAGCTGGTGCGGTCAGTTGAAATTTGATGCGGTCGGTCAGTCAAAAGTTCATGCTGTCAGGTCGAAAAAATAGATCTGCAGCACCGGTGCCGCGCTAAGATTTAGAACTGACCGCATGAGCTCAGGTTCTGAAAATTGATGCGGTCGGTCAGTTGCTTGAAAGATTGCGACGTGCAACAAAATAAATCTTTTAGCCAATACTTGGGGAGAGGTTCTCCTGGCTAGGAGAAATTGAATTTCTTTACATGTTATAATCTTACGATGGCCTGAAGTGAGGTCGGTTATACCCCCCATATCATCAAAGCCAACCTGGAATGCGGTCCCTAATGTTGCAATGAGTATGCCCATACCCGTTGCGCTAGTTGCGCTAATTGTGTCACAGCGCCAGCTGTTACCAATCGCCTGAGCCAATCGCCTGCGACAGAGGCCAGGCCGGGAATGGTGGCGTTCCCGAGCTTTAAGCCTACTAGGGCTTAGCTCCTCACATGACATCCCCTTCTAACATATATATGTATATAGATCTCTCCTCCTCTCCTTTCTTCTCTCCTTAGCTTTAGATTCTAAATGAATAGCCCGACGTTGCGTCGCCACCTCACACCATCGTCACAGTGCTGTCACAAATTGCGCTGGTCTCGCTGTCCGCGATGAATTCGCTCAACTACTGTTGGAAACACAATATACAGCTAATAATCACGTGATTCGTTTGGATGAGACCGTACCACGATGAGGTTATATTCCTTCTATCTGTGGTATT